CACACACATTTAATAACTTAATTTTTTTAAAACTGATTACGAGTCTTCATAGCCAATAACACCACAGCTTAACTGACAGACGACCAACAACATCGCGACGTAATTGACAAGTCAGATCTATAACCAGAGTATAATACCATCAAATGACCAATTCACTTTGACTCTGAAGATGACTACCGCACAGGTTGTCGAAACGTCAGTCACTGTCAACAACAACAGTCCTATTCAGGACTACATTCACCAGGACGATCACACTCAACCTCTTTTTAAATTTTTTAATCAACAGACCCTACAATCTTCAGCTGAAAATCTCCAAACCGTCATGATAACAACAGATGGTAGAGATAACGACATTCTAGATAAACAAGGAGTTGAAACGGATGCCAAAGACAGAAAAGAGACATTGAAAGATACACTTCAATCAAGTAACCGCATAAGAGAAAGTCAGGAGACATTATCTCTGAGGGAAGATGAAAATGAGCAGCAGGCTAAAATCACTGTTCACACAATAGAAGAGGCAATGACAACTACCGAAGAGCGCACGCCTGTAAGTGTTTGGTATGGCGCTAGAATATCTAGCCTTAGCTTGCCCAAATCGCAAGCTGTAAAAATAACTTTCACTAGACTTTTTTGGCGCTTTAGTCATCTCATTACTTCCCTTTACTTTTGACTGATCTTGGATTAGACGTCCTAACTTAGCAATATATAGTGAGCTTAAGCAACAAAGACGGCGGTGGTTACGAAAACGACACATCATAAAAAGAGAATTCGATTTGAGTCATACTTTATCGTACTTATTCCAACCGAACTCTTTCAATTCGTCAAATGATGGCAAATTAGACTGTATCGAAGTTGAGGAAAAGAAAAAGAAAGTCGTTGTCTTGTGTTGACGTTCTCCACAAAGCGTAAACTTAGGCCGTATTTTGACGTCACAGTCTTGTACTGACAGCAAAGAAATGTACAAAAAAGCGTGATGTACGTGCAAAGTTTTGTTTTCCAATCCAAGCCTATTAGCATTGCTTTTTTTCCGTTTTCGTTGTTGTTAATGTCGTCGTCGTTGTTGCTTCAGCTCCCTATTATTTATAAACGTGTTTGCTTTGTAAAGGACTTCAAGAAGACAACTACTTTCTTTGAAAAAAAGTAGTTGTCTTTTTCACGTCCTTCACAAAACCCGTGAAATTAGGCACTTAGTCACGTCGTTGTTGTTGCAATGTACAAAAAATCCTGATGTACGCGCAAAGCTGTTGTTTCTCTTATCGAAGGCCCTGTCCTCAATTATGCGTTTTCAAAAGTATGCGTTTTTGTTGTCATCGACAACGAGTCGATTGATTTGCGTCCACACTACCGTTTCGATCCGTTTTCGACTTTCTCTGTTAAGAAGTTCGAAAACGATAGCGTTACACGTTAAGAAGTAAGTTAAAGCATGAGCGCATCCTAGAAACATGCGCCTGCGATCTTTCCTCTGTTTCTGAAAGTGTATTCTAAATTTTCCTCCGGGACCCTATCGAGGACTTTCTTAAGTTAAGACCGCCTTTACAGATCTCAGCAGAACAGAGTGGCAGATACACGGTGACTCAGACCAGGAAAATCATCACAAATTCAGGAGGACAAGTTAGTTCCACTACTAATGACGAAGAAATACCTCACGTTCTTCTCAGTTTCTATATATACCAGATTCGCGCTTTATTAACGCCCTTAAGAAAAAATAAAACTAATAATACATTAAACTATTCAGAGCAACATACTAAGGGCTAAAGGATCAAGTCAACTCCTTTGTTAACTTCGTTAACAAACTTCGATCCCTTCGATATTTAATTCAGCTTTGTGAAAAGAATTCACAGAAACATGAGCATCTGCAGGTTTTTCAATGTTTTGGGACCTTAGTTTAACTGAGATGTTTGAAAGAAGCGTAACAATGTAGCATAGACTGTGTAAATTAAGCCGCACAGTTCCTACATTTAATATCTTACATTTTATGATCAACAGACAATACAATCTTCAGCTGAAAATTCCGATGCCGTCATGAAAACAACAGACGGAAGACATAAAGATATTCTAGATAAACAAGGAGTCGAAACGGATGCCAAGTATAGAGAAGAGACATTTGAAGATACACTTATATCAAGCAACAACATAAAAGAAAGTCAGCAGACACTATTTCCGAGGGAAGATGAAAATAAGAAGGCTAAAATCACTGTTCACACAATAGAAGAGGCAATGACAGCTAACAAAGAGCGCACGCCCGTAAGTGTTTGGTGTGGTTGTGATAATGCGTGATCCTTTTATATACTAGACTTTTTTGGCGCTTTTGTCGTGTTGTCACTTCCATTTACTTTTGACTGATATCTTGGGTTAGACGTCCTAACTTAGCTATAGTGATCTTAAGGAACAAAGTCGGCGGTGGTTAAGAAAACGTCACTTCATTAAAAGTGAATTCGATTTGCTTCAAACTTTATCGCACTTATTCCAACCGAACTCTTCGATTTGTCAGATGTGAGTGTTGGGAAATTTGTTCTGGGGTTTAATTCTAAAAGACTTTATCGAAGTTCAGGAAAAGAAAAAGAAAGTCCTTGTCTTGCGTTGACGTTCTCCACAAAACGTAAACTTAGAATTCACAGAAACATGTACCTCTTCTTGTGGCTGGAATAAAAAGCAGGTCTTTCTTTCCAGAATGATTTAGTACTATTGTTTAACCAGAGATGTTTAATGGAAGCGTTACAATATAGCATAAACTGTGTCAATTTAGCCACACACATTTAACAACTTAAACTTTTTTAATGAACAGACCCTACAATCCTCCGCTGAAAATCTCCAAACCGTCATGAAAACAACAGATAGTAGAGATAAAGACATTCTAGATAAACAAGGAGTTGAAAGATGCACCTATAACATTGTAACATTGGGGGCCTGTCCGGTAATGTTACGTGGGTAATCTTTTAGAGGACGGGTAGCTTGCAAACCAAACTGAACGCAGGGTTGTCAGAACAGTAACAAGAAGATTTATTCCAAGAATGAATGTAGTTTCCACGAAGTAAAACTCCACAACAGCACGTAACTCGATAAACTTACACGGCCTCCGCCAACTTGAATAAACTTGATAAACTTATACGGCCTCCGCCAACTTGGATAAACACTGCTTTCGTCACACTTGACTAAACACGACTAACGTCGAACTCTCCTCGCTTGTGAAAACTAGTTAAACCTTAACTCGGGCTCGCCTACTTATATATGCTTACAATAAGATTCTAGAACTTTCCAAATAGTCTAATTATCGAAAGATTACAAAATATACCGCTTTAGGAACTCTTACGCAAGATCCTAAAATAAACAAGCTACGAACTCTCGCGAAGCTTCTAGAAAGTCACGCTAGTCACGCAATACAATTTTTCGTAACAGTGTGCTTGTGAAAATGCTTGATCCTTTTATATACAGGTTGTCCCAAAAGTTCGCTCCTCTAAATTCATGCGTTATAGCTTTTGATCAAAACTTTATTCTTGCATGAAATTTTAGAAGGTGTTTATTGCTCTATGGAGTGCATGTATTTAGAATTTCAGTAAAGGGCATTCCCCCTTGGTTATTTTATCACATTCTGTAGTCGTTGCAGCGTGGAGTGGGATACAGCATGAAGATCCACAGACGACTCTATTTTAAGGAGGAGCCACTTCTCCACTTTGACACCCCCCCCCCCCTCCCCAGAAACAACATTTTTTTTTTCGTTTAGGCGTTTAGGCAGCTACAAAAATATACTTTAAGCATTCATCCATAAAAGATAATGATCCCAGCCCCTATTCAGAGTAAGGCTTTTGTACTGCTTTACAAATTTGAGACGAGCTGATCGTTGTTTTGCAGACTAAAAAGAGGTTTTGTTGCCATCTCAGGGGCCTATAACCTTTGCTTTTCATGAAACTGCTTTAGACATGGTTTGCCAACCATTGTGAAAGCTATCTTGTCGAATTATCTCTTTTGTATCTAACCTTCTTGAAAACTGTTCTAGCCGCTTTATTAAGGCTTATTAGTCTTAACTTTTTTTTTTTTTGTCTTCAAAACATTTATTTCTCGATGACCATTTCACCACCGAAAATTCGGATTTTTCCATTTTTTTTTTTATCAGTTATGTCTACTGATAAGCCGGTAAATCGAAGTAAACATGCTTATGCTGTCACGCAGCTGAACGTTTTGGCGTTTAGAGGTTTTTTTCTTTCATGATATTCTCAAACAAAAAAAAGGAAGGAGTTTGAGAAAATCGGGCTACACAATACAAAAACTATGAGGCGGGAAAATGTACTTGCGCACGCGCACCTTTAAAGCCGAATCACACAAATCGAATATTAGAGTCACAAGGTGGCACAACAAGTATAAACTGTTAAATTGCATTGAAAGACACAACTTTTCAGAATAACATACTAAACTATTCAGAGTAACATACTAAGGCGTAAAGAATCAAGTTAGACGTAGAACAGGCTAACTAAATTCCTTTGTTAACTTCGTTAACCAAGTTCGATCCCTTTGACATTTAATTCAGCATTGTGAAAAAAATTCACAGAAACATGTGCCTCTTCTTGTGACTGGAATAAAAAGCAGGTCTTTCTTTCCAGACTGATTTAGTGCTCTTGTTTAACCAGAGACGTTTAAAGGAAGCGTAATAATATAGCATAAACTGTGTCACTTTAGCCACTCACATTTAATAACTTAATTTTTTTAAAACTGATTACGAGTCTTCATAGCCAATGACACCACGGCTTAACTGACAGACGACCAATAACATCGTGACGTAATTGACCAATCAGATCTATAACCAGAGTATAATTCCATCAACTGACGTGATACAATTCACTTTGACTCTGAAGATGACTACCGCACAGGTTGTGGAAACGTTAGTCACTGTCAACAACAACAGTCCTATTCAGGAATACGTTCACCCGGACGATTAAACTCAGCCTCTTTTTAAATTTTTTAATCAACAGACCCTACAATCTTCAGCTGAAAATCTCCAAACCGTCATGAAAACAACAGATGGTAGAGATAACGACATTCTAGATAAACAAGGAGTTGAAACGGATGCCAAAGACAGAAAAGAGACATTGAAAGATACACTTCAATCAAGTAACCGCATAAGAGAAAGTCAGGAGACATTATTTCCGAGGGAAGATGAAAATGAGCAGCAGGCTAAAATCACTGTTCACACAATAGAAGAGGCAATGACAACTACTAAAGAGCGCACGCCTGTAAGTGTTTGGTGTGGTTATGATAATGCGTTATCCTTTTAGTATATAACAAGATCAAAGAAAGTAGTGTCCGATAGCCCGGGGTAGTGGATTTTGCTATCGGGCTAGTGAGTTTTGTTCTCGTAACTTGCCCGACGGGCAAGTGAAGTTTTTTTAGGAATTCAAATTACAGAAGAACTGTGAAATCAGTTCTGCTTATGAAAAGTTTTTTTAAGCTAGTTGAAATGACGTTAGCGCTAAACTTTTTTGGCGCTGTAGTCATCTTATTACTTCCCTTTACTTTTGACTGATCTTGGATTAGACGTCCTAACTTAGCAATATATAGTGAGCTTAAGCAACAAAGACGGCGCGGTGGTTACCAAAACGCCACATTATAAAAAGAGAATTCGATTTGCTTCAAACTTTATCGTACTTATTCCAACCGAACTCTTTCAATTCGTCAAATGTCGGCAAATTAGACTGTATCGAAGTTGAGGAAAAGAAAAAGAAAGTTGTTGTCTTGTGTTGACGTTCTCCACAAAGCGTAAACTTAGGCCGTATTTTGACGTCGCAGTCTTGTACTGACAGCAAAGAAATGTTCAAAAAAGCGTGATGCACGTGCAAAGTTTTGTTTTCCAATCTAAGCCTATTAGCATTGCTTTTTTTTCCGTTTTCGTTGCCGTTAATGTCGTCGTTGTTGCTTCAGCTCCCTATTGTTTATAAACGTGTTTGCTTTGTAAAGGACTTCAAGAAGACAACTACTTTCTTTGAAAAAAAGTAGCTGGCTTTTTCTTGTCCTTCACAAAACCCGTGAAATTAGGCACTTAGTCACGTCGTTGTTGTTGCAATGTACAAAAAATCGTGATGTACGCGCAAAGCAGTTGTTTTTCTTATCGAAGGCCCTGTCCACAATATGCGTTTTCAAAAGTATGCGTTTTTGTTGTCATCGACAACGAGTCGATTGATTTGCGTCCACACTACCGTTTCGATGCGTTTTCGACTTTCCCTGTTAAGAAGTTCGAAAACGATAGGGTTACACGTTAAGAAGTAAGTTAAAGCATGAGCGCATCCTAGAAACATGCGCCTGCGATATTTCCTCTGTCTCTGAAGGTGTATTCTAAATTTTCCTCCAGGACCCTAAAGAGGACTTTCTTAAGTTAAAACCGCCTTTACAGATCTCAGGAGAACAGTTTGGCAGATACACGGTGACTCAGACCGGGAAAATCATCACAATTTCAGGAGGACAAGTTAGTTCCACTACTAATGACGAAGAAATACCTCACTTTCTTCTCAGTTTCTACCAGATTCGCGCTTTATTAACGTCCTTACCAAAAAATAAAACTAATAATACATTAAACTAAAAATACATTAAACTAATAATACATTAAACTATTCAGAGCAACATACTAAGGCCTAAAGGATCAAGTCAACTCCTTTGTTAACTTCATTGACCAAGTTCGATCCCTTCAATATTTAATTCAGCGTTGTGAAAAGAATTCACAGAAACATGAGCATCTGCTCGGGCTTAAATAAAAAGCAGGTTTTCAATATTTTGGGACCTTAGTTTAACTGAGATGTTTGAAAGAAGCGTAACAATGTAGCATACACTGTGTCAATTAAGCCGCACAGTTCCTACATTTAATATCTTACATTTTATGATCAACAGACAATACAATCTTCAGCTGAAAATTCCGATGCCGTCATGAAAACAACAGACGGAAGACATAAAGATATTCTAGATAAACAAGGAGTCGAAACGGATGCCAAGTACAGAGAAGAGGCATTTGAAGATACACTTATATCAAGCGACAACATAAAAGAAAGTCAGCAGACACTATTTCCGAGGGAAGATGAAAATAAGGAGGCTAAAATCACTGTTCACACAATAGAAGAGGCAATGACAACTAACAAAGAGCGCACGCCCGTAAGTGTTTGGTGTGGTTGTGATAATGCGTGATCCTTTTATATAATAGACTTTTTTGGCGCTTTTGCCATGTTGTTACTTCCATTTACTTTTGACTGATATCTTGGGTTAGACGTCCTAACTTAGCTATAGTGATCTTAAGAAACAAAGTCGGCGGTGGTTACGAAAACGTCACTTCATTAAAAGTGAATTCGATTTGCTTCAAACTTTATCGCACTTATTCCAACCGAACTCTTTTGATTTGTCAGATGTTGGCAAATTTGTTCTGGGGTTTAATTCTAAAAGACTGTATCGAAGTTCAGGAAAAGAAAAAGAAGGTCCCTGTCTTTTGTTGATGTTCTCCACAAAACGTGAACTTAGGCCACATTTTCACCTCCCAGTCTTGCAGTGACAGCAAAGAAATGAACAAAAAAGCGTGATGCGCGTGCAAAGATGTTTTTTTGCCAGTCTAAGCCTGTGAGTATTGCTTTTTCGCCGTTCTCGATGTCGTTACCGTCATTGTCGTTGTTGCTTCAGCTCCCTATTGTTTATAAACCTGTTTGCTTTGTAAAGGACGTCAACAAGACAACTATTTTGTTTGAAAAGACGAAAAGAATTCGAAAAGACTGTATCGAAGTTCAGGAAAAGAAAAACAAATTCGTTGTCTTGTCTTGACGTTTTGGCAAAAAACGTGAACTTAGGCCGCATTTTCATTTCGCGGTCTTGCAGTGGCGGCAAAGAAATGTTCTTCTTGCCGTTACTGTCGTCGTCGTCGTAGTTGCTCAAGCTCCCTATTCTTTACAAAAGAGTTTGCTTTGTAAAGGAGGTTAACAAGACAAATACTTTCTTGTTCACGTCCTTTACAAAACCTCGAAGATTAGGCACTTAGTCACGTCGATGTTGTTGCAATGTACAAAAAACCGTGATGTACGTGCTAAGTTGGTGTTTGCTAATCTAAGGCCCTGTAAACACTAAAGAGTCACTAAAGCGTTATCAAAAGTATGCGTTTTTGTTGTCATCCACAACGCGTAGATTGATTTGCGTCCACACTATTGTTTTGATGCGTTTTTGACTGGCCACATAAAGAAGTTCGAAAACGACAGAGTTGCACTTTGAGAAATAACTTGAACAATGTGCGCATTCTACAATCACACGCCTGCCATATTTCGTCTGTCTCTGAAGGGTATTCTAATGTTTCTTCCAGGACCCTAAAGAAGGCTTTCTTAAGTTAAATTCGGCTTCAGGAGAAGAGAGTGGTGGATACACAGTGACTCAGACCAGACGAATCATCACAAATTCAGGAGGACAAGTTAGTTACACTTTTAATGAGGAGGAAATATTCTGAATTTCTTATCAGCTTCTATATAGACCAGATTCGAGTACCATACTAAGGCCTAACAAATCAAGTTAGACGTAGAACAGGCCAACTGAATTCCTTTGTTAACTTCGATAACCAAGTTCGATCCCTTTTATATTTAATTCAGCAGGATTGTGAAAAGAATTCACAGAAACATGTGCCTCTGCTTGCGACTGGAATAAAAAGCAGGTCTTCTTTTCCAGAATGTTTTGGCACTGTTGTTTAACCTCAGATGTTTGAAGGAAGCGTATACGTAATAATACAGCATAAAGTGTGTCAATTTAGTCACACACATTTAAGAACTTAAATTTTTTAAATTACAGACCCTACAATCGTCAGCTGAAAATCTTCAAACCGTCATGAAAACAACAGATGCTAGCGATAAAGACATTCTAGATAAACAAGGAGTTGAAACGGATGGCAAAGACAGAGAAGAAACATTAAAAGATGCACCTACATCAAGCAACAACATAGAAGGAAGTCAGCAGACACTATTTCTGAGGGAAGATGAAAATAAGCAGATGGCTAAAATCACTGTTCACACAACAGAAGAGGCAATGACAACTAACAACGAGCGCACGTCCGTAGGTGTTTGGTGTGCTTATGAAAATACCTAATCCTTTTATATACAGGGTGTCCCAAAAGTTTCGTTCCTCTAATTTCATGTGTTATAACTTTTGATGAAAACTTTATTCTTACACTAAATTTTAGAAGGTGTTTGTTGCTCTATGGAGTGCATGTAGTAAGAATTTTAGGAAAGGGCATCCCCCCTTCGTCATTTTATCACATTCTGTAGTCGTTGCAGCATGGAGTGGGGTACAGCATGAAGATCCACAGATGACTCTATTTTAAGCGGAAGCCACTTCTCCACTTTTACCCCCCCCCCCCTCCCTTAAACAATATTTTTTTAGTTTAGGCGTTTAGGCAGCTGGAGAAATATACTTTAAGCATGCATCCGAAAAAGATAATGATCCCAGCCCCTATTCATAGTAACGCTTTTGTACTCCTTTACAAATTTTAAACGAGCTCATCGTTGATTTGCAGAGTAAGCACAGGTTTGGTTGCCATCTCAGGGGCCTATAACCTTTGCTTTTCATGAAACAGCTTTAGACATGGTTTGCTAACCATTGTGACACCTATTTTGAATCTATTTTAGCCGCTTTATTCTGGACAATCAGTGTTCTCTTTCTTTTTTGTCTTTAAAACCTTTATTTCTCGATGACCATTTCACCACCGAAAATTCGGATTTTTCCATGTTTTGAATCAGTTATTTCTAGTGATAAGCCAGTAAATCGAAGTAAGCAAGCTTATGCTGTCACGCAGCTGAACTTTTTTGCGTTTAGATGTTTTCTCTTTCATAATATTCTCAAAAAACAAGGAAGGAGTTTGACAAAATCGGGCTACAAAATACAAAAAATAAATGGCGAGAAAATGTACTCGCGTACGCGCATCTTCGGCGCAAAACTACACAAATTGAATATTGGAGATAATAGTATAACAAGTATAAAATATTAAATAAAAAGCAGGTCTTCCATTCCAGAATGTTTGGCACTATTGTTTAACCTGAGATATTTGAAGGAAGCGTAATAATTTAACATTAACTGTGTCAATTTAGCCACACACATTTTATAACTTACATTTTTTAATCAACAGACCCTACAATCTTCAGTTGAATATTCCCAAACCGTCATGAAAACAACAGATGGTAGAGATAAAGACAGTCAAGATAAACAAGGAGTTGAAACGGATTTCAAATACAGAGAAGAGTCATTGAAAGATGCACCAACACCAAGCAACAACATAAAAGGAAGTCAGCAGACACTATTTCTGAGGGAAGATGAAAATAGGCAGGAAGCTAAAATTACTGTTCAAACAACAGAAGAGGCAATGGCAACTAACAAAGAGCGCACGCCCGTAAGTATTTGGTCTACTTATGATAATGCGTGATCCTTTTGTATACTAGAGTTTTTTGGCGCTTTAGTCATGTTGTTTTTTCCCTTTACTTTTAAGCAATAGTGAGCTTAAGCAACAAAGACTGCATTAGGTACGAAAACGCCACTTCATTAAAAGTGAATTCGATTTGCTTCAAACTTCGTCGCACTTATTCCAACCGAACTCCTTCATTTCTTCAAATGTTGGCAAATTTGTTCTGGGGTTTAATTCTAAAAGACTTTATCGAAGTTTAGGAAAAGAAAAAGAAAGTCCTTGCCTTGCGTTGACGTTCTGCACAAAACGTGAACTTAGGCCCCATTTCCACGTCGCAGTCTTGCAGTGATGGCAAAGAAATGTACAAAAAAGCGTGATGCACGACTAATGCACGACACATTGTTTCTCATTTTCAACTTGGATATGGTCTCTAAGAATTCAATTCCAGGAAGGTTTGCCTACATTTGACAGAATAAGTGGGTAGGAATAATTCCGATAAAGACTGAAAGAACGCAAATTCACTTTTTAAGCGTCGTTCTCGTTGCCGTCGAGTGGTTGAATCTTAAAGTCCCTATTAAGAAGTTCGAAAACGATAGAGTTGCACGTTGAGAAGTAAGTTAACCATGTAAGCATCCTACAATTACGCGCCTGCGATATTTCGTCTGTCTCTAAAAGCGTGTTCTAATTTTACCTCCAGGACCCTCAAGAGGACTTTCTTAAGTTAAAATCGTCTTCAGGAGAAGAAAGTGGCAGATACACGGTGACTGAGACCAGAATAATCATCGCAAATTCGGGAGGACAAGTAAGTTCCACTACTAATGAAGGGAAATATCTGACTTTCTTATTAGCCTCTACCTATACCAGTTTGGGGCTCTATTAACGAACTTAAGAAGAAATAAAACTAATAATACATCAGTTAGGCTTAGAACAGGCCAACTAAATTCCTTTTTTAATTTCGTTAACCAAGTTTGATCCCTTTGACATTTAATTCAGCATTGTGAAAAGAATTCACAGAAACATGTACCTCTTCTTGTGGCTGGAATAAAAAGCAGGTCTTTCTTTCCAGAATGATTTAGTACTATTGTTTAACCAGAGATGTTTAATGGAAGCGTTACAATATAGCATAAACTGTGTCAATTTAGCCACACACATTTAATAACTTAAACTTTTTTAATGAACAGACCCTACAATCCTCAGCTGAAAATCTCCAAACCGTCATGAAAACAACAGATGGTAGAGATAAAGACATTCTAGATAAACAAGGAGTTGAAAGGGATTTCAAATACAGAGAAGAGACATTGAAAGATGCACCTATATCAAGCAACAACATAAAAGAAAGTCAGCAGACACTATTTCCGAGGGAGAATGAAAACAAGCAGGTAGCTAAAATTACTGTTCACACAACAGAAGAGGCAATGGCAACTATGAAAGAGCACACGCCCGTAAGAATTTGCTGTACTTATGATAATGGGTGATCCTTTTGTATACTAGAGTTATTTGGCGCTTTAGTCATGTTGTTACTTCCCTTTACTTTTGAGCAATAGTGAGCTTAAGCAACAAAGACTGCATTAGTTACGAAAACGCCACTTCATTAAAAGCGAATTCGATTTGCTTTAAACTTTTCGCACTTATTCCAACCGAACTCCTTCATTTCGTCATATGTTGGCAAATTTGTTCTGGGGTTTAATTCTAAAAGACTTTATCGAAGTTCAGGAAAAGAAAAAGAAAGTCCTTGTCTTGCGTTGACGTTCTCCACAAGACGTGAACTTAGGGCCCATTTTCACGTCGCAGTCTTGCAGTGATGGCAAAGAAATGTACAAAAAAGCGCAATGCACGACTAATGCACGACTACCACGTTAAAATGCCTAACTTCGCGTTTTACAGAGAAAAAAAACAAGCAACGACGAAAATTTTTTTCTCATTTTGAACTTGGATATGGTCTCTAAGAATTCAATTCCAGGAGGGTTTGCCTACATTTGACAGAATCACTGGGTAGGAATAATTCCCATAAAGACTGAAAGAACGCAAATTCACTTTTTAAGCGTCGTTCTCGTTGCCGTAGAGTGGTTGAATCTTAAAGTCCATATTAAGGAGTTCGAAAACGATAGAGTTCCACGGTGAGAAGTAAGATAACAACGTATGCATCCTATAATCACGCGCCTGCGATATTTCGTCTGTCTCTAGAAGCGTGTTCTAATTTTACTTCCAGGACCCTCAAGAGGACTTTCTTAAGCTAAAATCGTCTTCAGGAGAAAAAAGTGGCAGATACACGGTGACTGAGACCAAAATAATCATCGCAAATTCGGCAGGACAAGTAAGTTCCACTACTAATGAAGGGAAATATCTGACTTTCTTATTAGCCTCTACCTACACCAGTTTGGGGCTCTATTAACGAACTTAAGAAGAAATAAAACTAATAATACATTAAATTATTCAGAGTAACATACTAAGGCCTAAAGAATTAAGTTAGGCTTAGAACAGGCCAACTAAATTCCTTTGTTAATTTCGTTAACCAAGTTTGATCCCTTTGACATTTAATTCAGCATTATGAAAAGAATTCACAGAAACATGTACCTCTTCTTGTGGCTGGAATAAAAAGCAGGTCTTTCTTTCCAGAATGATTTAGTACTATTGTTTAACCAGAGATGTTTAATGGAAGCGTTAAAATATAGCAGAAACTGTGTCAATTTAGCCACACACATTTAATAACTTAAACTTTTTTAATGAACAGACCCTACAATCCTCAGCTGAAAATCTCCAAACCGTCATGAAAACAACAGATGGTAGAGATAAAGACATTCTAGATAAACAAGGAGTTAAAAGGGATTTCAAATACAGAGAAGAGACGTTAAAAGATGCACCTATATCAAGCAACAAGATAAAAGAAAGTCAGCAGACACTATTTCCGAAGGAGAATGAAAATAGGCAGAAGGCTAAAATCACTGTTCACACAATAGAAGAGGCAATGACAACTAACAAAGAGCGCACGCCCGTAAGTGTTTGGTGTGCTTATAAAAATACTTGATTCTTTTATATGCAGGTTGTCCCAAAAGTTCGCTCCACTAAATTCATGCGTTATAGCTTTTGATCAAAACTTTATTCTTGCTTGAAATTTTAGAAGGTGTTTATTGCTCTATGGAGTGCATGTATTTAGAATTTCGATAAAGGGCATTCCCCCTTGGTTATTTTATCACATTCTGTAGCCGTTGCAGCGTGGAGTGGGATACAGCATGAGGATCCACAGATGACTCTATTTTAAGGAGGAGCCACTTCTCCACTTTGACACCCCACCCCGCTCCCCAGAAACAAGGCGTTTAGGCGGCTACAAAAATATTCTTTAATGATTCATCCATAAAAGATAATGATCCCATCCCCTATTCAGAGTAACGCTTTTGTACTCCTTTACAAATTTGAGACGAGCTCATCGTTGTTTTGCTGACTAAAAAGAGGTTTTGTTGCCATCTCAGGGGCCTCTAACCTTTGCTTTTCATGAAACTGCTGTAGACATGCCTTGCTAACTATTGTGACAGCTATCTTGTCGAATTATCTCTTTTGTATCTAACCTTCTGCAAAACTGTTTTAGCCGCTTTATTAAGGACTATGAGTCTTAACTTCTTTTTTTTGTCTTCAAAACATTCATTTCTCGACCATTTCACCACCGAAAATTCGGATTTTTCCATTTTTTTATCAGTTATGTCTACTGATAAGCCGGGAAATCGAAGTAAACATGCTTATGCTGTCACGCAGCTGAACGTTTTGGCTTTTAGAGGTTTTTTCCTTTCATGATATTCTCAAACAAAAAAAAGGAAGGAGTTTGAGAAAATCGGGCTACACAATACAAAAAATATGTGGCGGGAAAATGTATTTGCGCACGCGCACCTTTAAAGCCGAATCACATAAATCGAATATTAGAGTCACAAGGTGGCACAACAAGTATAAAATGTTAAATCGCATTGAAAGACACAACTTTTCAGAATAACATACTAAACTATTCAGAGTAACATACTAAGGCGTAAAGAATCAATCGTAAAGAATCTTGTGACTGGAATAAAAAGCAGGCCTTTCTTTCCAGAATGATTTAGTGCTCTTGTTTAACCAGAGATGTTTAAAGGAAGCGTAATAATGTAGCATAAACTGTGTCACATTAGCCACACACATTTAATAACTTAATTTTTTTAAAACTGATTACGAGTCTTCATAGCCAATAACACCACGGCTTAACTGACAGACGACCAATAACATCGCGACGTAATTGACCAATCAGATCTATAACCAGAGTATAATACCATCAACTGACGTGATGCAATTCACTTTGACTCTGAAGATGACTACCGCACAGGTGGTCGAAACGTCAGTCACTGTCAACAACAACAATCCTATTCAAGACTACATTCACCCGGACGATCAAACTCAACCTCTTTTTAATTTTTTTAATCAACAGACCCTACAATCTTCAGCTGAAAATCTCCAAACCGTCATGAAAACAACAGATGGTAGAGATAACGACATTCTAGATAAACAAGGAGTTGAAACGGATGCCAAAGACAGAAAAGAGACATTGAAAGATACACTTCAATCAAGTAACAGCATAAGAGAAAGTCAGGAGACAATATTTTCGAGGGAAGATGAAAATGAGCAGCAGGCTAAAATCACTGTTCACACAATAGAAGAGGCAATGACAACTACCAAAGAGCGCACGCCTGTAAGTGTTTGGTGTGGTTATGATAATGCGTTATCCTTTTAGTATATGACAGGATCAAAGAAAGTAGTGTCCGATAGCCCGGGGTAGTGGATTTTGCTATCGGGCTAGTGAGTCTTGTCCTTAACTTGCCCGACGGGCAAGTGAAGTTTTTTGAGGAATTCAAATTACAGAAGAACTGTGAAATCAGTTCTGCTTATGAAAAGTTTTTTTAAGCTAGTAGAAATGACGTTAGCGCTAGAATATCTAGCCTTAGCTTGCCCAAATCGCAAGCTGTAAAACTAACTTTCACTAGACTTTTTTGACGCTTTAGTCATCTTATTACTTCCCTTTACTTTTGACTGATCCTGGATTAGACGTCCTAACTTAGCAATAGTGAGCTTAAGCAACAAAGACGACGGTGGTTACGAAAACGCCACATCATAAAAAGAGAATTCGATTTGCTTCAGACTTTATCGTACTTATTCCAACCGAACTCTTTCAATTCCTCAAATCTTGGCAAATTAGACTGTATCGAATTTCGGGAAAAGAAAAAGAAAGTTTTTGTCTTGTGTTGACGTTCTCCACAAAGCGTAAACTTGGGCCGTATTTTGACGTCGCAGTCTTGTACTGACAGCAAAGAAATGCACAAAAAAGTTTGATGTACGTGCAAAGTTTTGTTTCCAATCTAAGCCTATTAGCATTGCTTTTTTTCTGTTTTCGTTGCCGTTAATGTCGTCGTCGTCGTTGCTTCAGCTCCCTATTGTTTATAAACGTGTTTGCTTTGTAAAGGACTTCAAGAAGACAACTACTTTCTTTGAAAAAAAGTAGTTGTCTTTTTCACGTCCTTCACAAAACCCGTGAAATTAGGCACTTAGTCACGTCTTTGTTGTTGCAATGTACAAAAAATCGTGATGTAAGCGCAAAGCTGTTATTTTTCTTATCGAAGGCCCTGTCCACAAATGCGTTTTCAAAAGTATGCGTTTTTGTTGTCATCGACAACGAGTCGATTGATTTGTGTCCACACTACCGTTTCGATGCGTTTTCGACTTTCCCTGTTAAGAAGTTCAAAAACGATAGGGTTACACGTTAAGAAGTAAGTTAAAGCATGAGCGCATCCTAGAAACATGCGCCTGCGATATTTATTCTGTCTCTGAAGGTGTATTCTAAATTTTCCTCCAGGACCCTAGAGAGGACTTTCTTAAGTTAAAACCGCCTTTACAGATCTCAGGAGAACAGAGTTGCAGATACACGGTGACTGAGACCAGGAAAATAATCACAAATTCAGGAGAACAAGTTAGTTCCACTACTAATGAGTTTCAGTTTTCAGTTTCTATGTATACCAGATTCTCGCTTTACTAAAGCCATTAAGAAAAAATAAAACTAATAATACATTAAACTATTCAGAGCAACATACTAAGACCTAAAGGATCAAGTCAACTCCTTTCTTAACTTCGTTAACCAAGTTCGATCCCTTCGATATTTAATTCAGCGTTGTGAAAAGAATTCACAGAAACATAAGCATCTGCTCGGGCTTAAATAAAAAGCAGGTTTTCAATGTTTTGGGACCTTAGTTTAACTGAGATGTAGCCTACACTGTGTCAATTAAGCCGCACAGTTCCTACATTTAATATCTTACATTATCTGTCCACACTAATGCGTTATCAAAAGTATGCCTTTTTGTTGTCATTCACAACGCGTCGATTGATTTGGGTCTACACTACTGTTTTGATGCGTTTTCGACTGGCCACATTAAGAAGTTCGAAAACGACAGAGTTGCACTTTGAGAAATAACTTGAAGAATGTGCGCATTCTACAATCACACGCCTGCCATATTTCGTCTGTCTCTGAAGGCGTATTCTAATGTTTCTTCCAGGACCCTAAAGAAGACTTTCTTAAGTTAAATTCGGCTTCAGGAGAAGAGGGTAGCGGATACACAGTGACTCAGACCAGACGAATCATCACAAATTCAGGAGGAAAAGTTAGTTACACTACTAATGAGGAGGAAATATTCTGAATTTCTTATCAGCTTCTATATAGAAAAGATTCGAGTACCATACTAAGGCCTAACGAATCAAGTTAGACGTAGAACAGGCCAACTGAATTCCTTTGTAAACTTCAAGTTCGATCCCTTTAATATTTAATTCAGGATTGTGAAAAGAATTCACAGAAACATGTGCCTCTGCTTGCGACTGGAATAAAAAGCAGGTCTTCTTTTCCAGAATGTTTTGATACTATTGTTTAACCTGAGATGTCCAAAGGAAGCGTAATAATACAGCATAAACTGTGTCAATTTAGCCACACATATTTAATAACTTAAATTTTTTTAAATTACAGACCCTACAATCCTCAGCTGAAAATCTTCAAACGGTCATGAAAACAACAGATGGTAGAGATAAAGACATTCTAGATAAACAAGGAGTTGAAACGGATGGCAAAGACAGAGAAGAGACAGTGAAAGATGCTCCTACACCAAGCAACAACATAGAAGGAAGCCAGCAGTCACCATTTCTGAGGGAAGATGAACATAAGCAGATGGCTAAAAACACTGTTCACATAACAGAAGAGGCAATGACAACTAACAAAGAGCGCACGCCCGTACGTGTTTGGTGTGGTTATGAAAATACGTGATCCTTTTATATACAGGGTGTCCCAAAAGTTTCGTTCCTCTAATTTCATGTGTTAGAACTTTTGATGAAAACATTATTCTTACACGAAATTTTAGAAGGTTTTTATTGCTCTATGGAGTGCATATAGTTAGAATTTTAGTAAAGAGCATCCCCCCTTTGTCATTTTATCACATTCTATGTTCATTGCAGCATGGAGTGGGATACTGCATGAAGATCCAAAGATGACACTATTTGAAGCGGAAGCCACTTCTCCACATTGAACCCCCCCCCCCCCCCCCGAAACAACTTTTTTTTTTAGTTTAGGCGTTTAGGCAGCTGGAGAAATATACCTTAAGCATGCATCCAAAAAAGATAATGATCCCAGCCCCTATTCAGAGTAACGCTTTTTCACTCCTTTACAAATTTTAGACGAGCTCATCGTTGTTTTGCAGTCTAAGTAGAGGTTTTGTTGCCATCTCTGGGGCCTATAACCTTTGCTTTCCATGAAAATGCTTTAGACATGGCTTCCTAACTATTGTGACAGCTATTTCAAAACTATTTTAGCCGCTTTATTCCAGACTGTCAGTCTTCTCTTTCTTTTTTGTCTTTAAAACCTTTATTTCTCGATGACCATTTTACCACCGAAAATTCGGATTTTTCCATTTTTTGAATCAGTTATTTCTACTGATAAGCCAGTAAATCGAAGTAAGCATGCTTATGCTGTCACGCAGCTGAACTTTTTTGCGTTTAGAGGTTTTTTCTTTCATAATATTCTCAAAAAAGAAGGAAGGAGTGTGACAAAATCGGGCTACAAAATACAAAAAATAATTGGCGGGAAAATGTACTCGCGTATCCGCACCTTCGGCGCAAAACTACACAAATCGAATATTGGAGATGATGGTACAACAAGTATAAAATATTAAATAAAAAGTAGATCTTCCTTTCCAGAATATTTTGGTACTATTGTTTAACCTGAGATGTTTGAAGTAAGAGTAATAATTTAACATTAACTGTGTCAATTTAGCCACAGACATTTTATAACTTACATTTTGTAATCAACAGACCCTACAATCTTCAGTTGAATGTTCCCAAACCGTCATGAAAACAACAGATGGTAGAGATAAAGACATTCAAGATAAACAAGGAGTTGAAACAGATTTCAAATACAGAGAAGAGTCACTGAAAGATGCACCAACACTAAGCAACAGCATAAAAGGAAGTCAGCAGACACTATTTCTGAGGGAAGATGAAAACAAGCAGGAAGCTAAAATTACTGTTCACACAACAGAAGAGGCAATGGCAACTAACAAAGAGCCCACGCCCGTAAGTATTTGGTGTGCTTATGATAATGCGTCATCCTTTTGTATACTAGAGTTTTTTGGCGCTTTAGTCATGTTGTTACTTCCCTTTACTTTTGACTGGTATCTTGAGTCAGACGTCCTAACTTAGCAATACTGAGCTTAAGCAACAAAGACTGCATTAGTTACGAAAACGCCACCTTATTAAAAGTGAATTTGATTTGCTTCAAACTTTGTCGCACTTATTCCAACCGAACTCCTTCATTTCGTCAAATGTTGGCAAATTTGTTCTGGGGTTTAATTCTTAAAGACTTTATCGAAGTTCAGGAAAAGAAAAAGAAAGTCCTTGTCTTGCCTTGACGTTCTCCCCATTTTCTTGTCGCAGTCTTGCACTGATGGCAAAGAAATGTACAAAAAAGCGTGATGCACGTGTAAAGTTGTTTTTTTGCCAATCTAAGCCTGTGAGTATTGCTTTTTTGCCGTTCATGTTGCTGTTGCTATTGTCGTCGTTGTTTCTTAAGCTCCTTATTGTTCATAAACGTGTTTGCTTTGTAAATAGCGTTAACAAGACAATTACTTTCTTTGAAAGAAAGTAGTTGTCTGGTTGACGTCTTTCTCAAAAACCATGAAATTAGACGCTTAGTCACGTCGTTGTTGTTGCAATGTTCAAAAAACCGTGATGTAGAGTATTAAGTAATGGTCCAGATAAGAAGGAAAGGACCAAAACGCAGTGAACACGTCGGAATGCAAAAAGGTGCTAACTTTACTATTGTCTCTACTAAGGTTCTGATTGGGTTAAACACCAAATTTTACGAAATCTTCGCAACGCAGCATGTATATTAATCCCTTTTTTTCTATCCAACTTCCTTATAACAAAATCTCGTCTGAGTCTAAGTAACACAGAAATCGTATGTGCGGATCATGTAAAATTGTGAACATTTCTTGGCCATTGTTTGCAACTCTTGTGATTGGTCGAAATGTTTTAACACAAAAATACACCCTTTAAAAGTGGAGTTTAAATACATTTTCTTTCGTAAACAGCCTTTTTGTAGATTTATGCATTCTCTGCGTAAAAATGAAAACATTTCTATGTGAGGAAAGCGTATTGCGCCACAACAAAAAAAATTGCTTCCCTTCTTACCTGGATCATTACTTAACAGCCACAAAGGCAAATAAAACCGAACGCTTTATTCGTTCATCTGCTCTGCTCGACACCAAGTCATCTCACTCAGTCTACGCCCGCTCACACTGTTCAGTTCTCGTATGTTCTGCGCGTAGAACCGCTGTACGCTATGCACTACAACCTCTGTATACTACATTCTCTCTTCATTCGTACATACACTTACATCAATGAAAATTACGCAAACAATATATTTACTTTCAACTTAAACAATCTTAGAATACAAAAATGCAATCAACCAAGTCTTTGGGAAATGACAATATAAATATAGCTAAGTTGAAAGGAAACACTGAATCTTTCGAAAAAACTAGACTTAATACAAAACATAATCGCTCCAAGTTTTTTGTCGTTCGGTAACCCTTCCAGATCTCCTTAGAGGGGGTGGCTGCTCAGCACCCGAGACTGGGACCTTACGGGGTATTTCCACTGCTGCTGGTGGTAAAGACATCCTTGGAATCTCTGTTGGTGCTGTTGTTGTAATAGGTGTCCCCGGCGTTGGTGCCGTAGCCTGTATAGCTGATGCAGACGCAGCTGTTGCAGACGCAGATCAGAGCTCTGACTTTGACGCCGCCCTTTCATGGTCTGGAATATTAAAGGCTTTACTATGGTGCATATTTTTCCTGTACTCCCCTCCGTTTGACGACCTCAAAACAACTTGATCTCCGTACCGAGCCATCAGCTCATATGGCTCCTTCTCACACGATGACGATGACTTGTTTTGTCTCTTCTGCTCCAACAGAACCCAGTCTCCCTCTCGCACGCCTTGCGCTCTTGTATGGAACCTTTTCTCTACATAGTCCTTGTTTGCTTGCTTCTTTTCGGTGTCACGGTCTCTGGCTCCTTGGTCAGTTATGTCTTCTTTCTCATCATCTAAACCCATCAGCTCAAGCATTTTACTACTTAGCACTCTTCTAAAGAGCAACTCTGCCGGACCCTTCCCCGTTGTCGAGTAGGGTATGAACCTGTTTGGCAACAGAAACTTGTTTAATTCTTCCCTCCAATTTTTCCCCTCCGCGTGGGCTGCTCTGATAGCTTTCAATGGTGTCCTATTCTGCCTTTCCACCTCACCATTGGCCCTTGGCTACAGAGAGGTTGTATGTGGGTGCTCAACTCCCATTTCTTTGAGATAATCCTCAATCTCGTTGGCCATTAAATTTGGGCTATTGAAAATCCACAAACCCTTGGGTATTCCATATCTCGCAAACGGAGAAATTACACGCTGAATAATTATTTTGCTCGTGGTTGCCCTGACAACGTCAGCCTCTATCCACCTGCTGTGATAATCCATTAGGCCTGACAGATTCTCCCCTGACGGAAGCGGACCCTATATATAAATCTTCTCATGGTCGCTGAGGCATAGGAGTAATTTTCACCGAAATGGCACGTGCAAACTTCTTGTTTTGTTAATCTAAGGCCCTGTCCACACTACTCCGTTTTCAAAAATTAAAAGTATGCGTTTCGTTGGCATCGACAACACATCGATTGATTTGCGTCCACACTACCAACGACTCCGACGGCAACGAAAACGTAAAAAAAATCAAAAGGCTCAATAAGCAATGACAACAACTTTGCACGTGCATCACGCTTTTTTGTACATTTCTTTCCCGTTTTTGCACGAATACCACGTTAAAATGCCTAATTTCGCGTTTTATAGAGAAAAAAAAAACAGGCAAGGACGAAATTTTTTTTCTCATTTTGAACTTGGATATGGTCTCTAAGAATTCAATTCCAGGAGGGTTTGCCTACATTTGACAGAATAAGTGGGTAGGAATAATTCCCATAAAGACTGAAAGAACGCAAATTCACTTTTTAATCGTCGTTCTCGTTGCCGTCGCGTCGTTGAATCTTAAAGTCCTTATTAAGAAGTTCGAAAACGATAGAGTTGCACGTTGAGAAGTAAGTTAACCATGTAAGCATCCTACAATCACGCGCCTGCGATATTTCGTCTGTCTCTAAAAGCGTGTTCTAATTTTAACTCCAGGACCCTCAAGAGGACTTTCTTAAGTTAAAATCGTATTCAGGAGAAGACAGTGGCAGATACACGGTGACTGAGACCAGAATAATCATCGCAAATTCGGGAGGACAAGTAAGTTCCACTACTAATGAAGGGAAATATCTGACTTTCTTATTAGCCTCTACCTATACCAGTTTAGGGCTCTATTAACGAACTTAAGAAAAAATAAAACTAATAATACATTAAATTATTCAGAGTAACATACTAAGGCCTAAAGAAGTAAGTTAGGCTTAGAACGGGCCAACTAAATTCCTTTGTTAATTTCGTTAACCAAGTTTGATCCCTTTGACATTTAATTCAGCTTTGTGAAAAGAATTCACAGAAACATGTACCTCTTCTTGTGACTGCAATAAAAAGCGGGTCTTTCTTTCCAGAATTATTTAGTACTATTGTTTAACCAGAGAGGTTTAAAGGAAGCGCTATAATATAGCATAAACTGTGTCAATTTAACCACACATATTTAATAACTTAAACTTTTTTATGAACAGACCCTACAATCCTCAGCTGAAAATCTTCAAACCGTCATGAAAACAACAGATGGTAGAGATAAAGACATTCTAGATAAACAAGGAGTTGAAACGGATTTCGAATACAGAGAAGAATCATTGAAATATGCACCTACATCAAGCACCAAGATAAAAGGAAGTCAGATGACACTATTTCTGAGGGAAGATGAAAATAAGGAGAAGGCTAAAATCACTGTTCACACAGCAGAAGAGGCAATGGCAACTAACAAAGAGCGCACGCCCGTAAGTGTTTGGTGTGGTTATGAAATTACGTGATCCTTTATATACAGGGTGTCCCAAAAGTTTCGTTCCTCTAATTTCGTGTCTTATAGCTTTTCATCAAAACTTTATTCTTGCATGAAATTTTAGAAGGTTTAATAATATAACATTAACCGTGTCGATTTAGCCACGCACATTACATTTTCTAATTAATAGATCCTGCAATCTTCAGCTGAAAATTCCCAAACCGTGATGAAAACAACAGATGGTAGAAATAACGAAATTCTAAATAAACAAGGAGTTGAAACTGATGCCAAAGACAGAGAAGAGACATTAAAAGATGCTCCTATATCAAGGAACAGCATAAAAGAAAGTCAGCAGACACTATTTCCGAGGGAAGATGAAAATAAGCAGAAGGCTAAAATCACTGTTCACACAATAGAAGAGACAATGACAACCAACGAAGAGCGTACGCCCGTAAGTGTTTGGTGTGGTTATGATAATGCATGATCCTTTTATGTAGTACACTTTTTTGGCGCCTTAGTCATGATGACTGGTATCTTGGCTTAGACGTTCTAACTTAGCAGTAGTGAGCTTAGGCAAGAAATACAGCATTAGTTACGAAAACGCCACCTCATTAAAAGTGAATTCGATTTGCTTCAAACTTTATCGCACTTATTCCAACCAAAGTCCCTCATTTCGTCAAAGTTGACAAATTTGTTCTGGGGTTTAATTCTAAAAGACTTCATTTAAGTTCGGGAAAAGAAAAAGAAAGTCGCATTTTCACGTCGCAGTCTTGCAGTGATGCCAGTGATGCCAAAAAGCGTGATGCACGTGCAAAGTTGTTTTTTGCCAATCTAAGCCTATTAGTATTGCTTTTTTGCCGTTCTCGTTGTCGTTACTGGCGTCGTCGCCGTTGCTTCAGCTCCCTATTGTTTATAAACGTGTTTGCTTTGTAAATGACGTTAACAAGACAACTACTTTCTTTCGTCTGGTTAACGTCTTTCACAAAAATCTTGAAATTAGACGCTTAGTCACGTCGTTGTTGTTGCAATGTACAAAAACCGTGATGTAGAGTATTAGCAGCCACAAAGGCAAATAAAACCGAACGCTTTATTCGTTAATCTGCTCTGCTCGACAACAAGTCAACTCACTCAGTCTACGCCCGCTCACACTGTTCAGTTCCCTTATGTCCTGCGCGTACAACCGCTGTACGCTACGCACTACAACCTCTGTACACTACATTCTCTCTTCACTCGTACATGCACTTACATCAATGAAAATTACGCAAACAATATATTTACTTTCAACTTAAACAATCTTAGAATACAAAAATGCAATCAACCAAGTCCTTGCCGAATAGCAATATAAATAAAGCTGAGTTCAATGGAAAGACTGAATCTTTCGAAAAAACTAGACTTAATACAAAACATAATCGCTCCAAGTTTTTTGTCGTTCGGTAACCCTTCCAGATCTCTTTAGAGGGGGTAACCCTTCCAGATCTCCTTAGAGGGGGTGGCTGCTCAGCACCCGAGACTGGGACCTTAGGGGGTATTTCCACTGCTGCTGGTGGTAAAGACATCCTTGGAATCTCTGGTAGTGCTGTTGTTGTAATAGGTGTCCCCGACTTTGGTGTCATAGCTTGTGTAGCTGACGCAGACGCACCTGTTGCAGACGCAGATCCAAGCTCTGACTGTGACGCCGCCCTTTTATGGTCTGGAATGTTAAAAGGTTTAATATTGTGCATATTTCTCCGGTACTCGCCTCTGTTTGACGACATCAACACAACTTGATCCCCGTACCAAGCCATTACCTCATATGGCTCCTTCTCATACGACGAGGATAACTTGTTTTGTCTCTTCTGCTCCAACAGAACCCAGTCTCCCTCTCGCACGTCTCGCTCTCTTCCATGGAACTTTTTGTCAACATAGTCCTTGTTTGCCTTCTTCTTTTGGGTGTCACGGTCTCTGGCTTCTTGGTCAGTTGTGTCTGCGTCCTCATCATCTAAACCCATAAGCTCAGGCGTTTTACTGTTTAGTAGTCTTCTAAAGAGCAACTCTGCCGGACTCTTCCCCGTTTTCGAGTAGGGTGTGCACCTGTATGCTAAGAGAAACTTGTTTAATTCTTCCCTCCAATTTTTTCCCTCCGCATGGGCTACTTTAGTAGCTTTCAATGGAGTCCTATTCTGCCTTTCCACCTCACCATTGGCCCTTGGCCACAGAGAGGTTGTATGTGGGTGTTCAACTCCCATTTCTTTTAGATAATCCTCAATCTCGTTGGCTACTAAATTTGGGCTTTTGACAATCCGCAAACTCTTGGGTATTCCATATCTCGCAAACTGAGCAATTAGACGCTGAATAATTATCTTGCTCGTGGTTGCCCTGCAACGTCAACCTCTATCCACCTGCTGTGATAATCCACCAGGCCTGGCAGATTCTCCCCTGACGGAAGTGGACCCAATATATCCATAGCTAAATCTTCTCATGGTCGCTGAGGCATAGGAGTAGGTTTCGCCGAAATGGCACGAGCAAACTTCTTGTTTTGTTAATCTAAGGCCCTGTCCACACTACTCCGTTTTCAAAAAAGTATGCGTTTCGTTGTCATCGACAACACATCGATTGATTTGCGTCCACACTACCGTTTTGATGCGTTTTCGACTGTCCATATTAGGGACTTTAAGATCCAACGACTCCGACGACAACGAAAACGTAAACAAACCAAAAGGTTCAATAAGCAATGACAACAACTTTGCACGTGCATCACGCTTTTTTGTGCATTTCTTTCCCGTTTTTGCACGACTACCACGTTCAAATGGCTAATTTCGCTTTTTATGGAGGAAATAAACAAACAACGACGAACTTTTATTTCTCTTTTTCAACTTAGAGATACTCCTCAGGAATTCAATCCCAGGGGGGTTCGCCTACATTTGACAAAGTAAGTGGATAGGAATAATTGCGATAAAGACTGAAAGAACGCAAATTCACTTTTTAAGCGTCGTTCTCGTTGCTGTTGCGTCGTTGAATCTTAAAGTCCCTATTAAGAAGTTAGGAAACAATGGAGTTGCACGTTGAGAAGTAAGTTAACCATGTGCGCATCCTACAATCACGCGCCTGCGATATTTCGTCTGTCTCTAAAAGCGTGTTCTAATTTTACCTTTAGGATCCTAAAGAGGACTTCCTTAAGTTAAAATCGCTTTCAGGAGAAGAAAGTGGCAGAGACACGTTGACTCAGACCAGAAGAATCATCAGAAATTCGGGAGGACAAGTTAGTTCCACTAATAATGTCGAGGAAATATCTGACTTTGTTATTAACTTCTTCCTAAACCATATTCGCGCTCTATTAACGCCCTTAAGAAGAAAAACACTAATAATACATTAAATTATTCAGAGTAACAAACTGAGGCCTAAAAAATCAATTTAGACGTAGAACAGGCCAACTAAATTCCTTTGTTAACTTCTTTAACCAAGTTCGATCCTTTTGACATCTAATTTAGCATTGTAAAAAGAATTCACAGAAACATGAGCCTCTACTTGTGACTAGAATAAAAAGCAGGTATTCCTTTCCCGAATGTTTTTCATCGGCCCTGGCTAGTTTAACTGAGACGTTTAAAGGAAGCGTAATAATACAGCATAAACTGTGTCAATTTAGCCACACACATTTAGTACCTTACATTTTTTTAATTAACAGAGCCTACAATCTTCAGCTGAGTATTCCGAAACCGTCATGAAAACAAGAGATGGTAGAGATAAAGACATTCAAGATAAACAAGGAGTTGAAACGGATTTCAAAAACAGAGAAGAGTCATTTAAAGATGCACCTACACCAAGCAACAACATAAAAGGAAGTCAGCAGACACTATTTCTGAGGGAAGATGAAAATAAGCAGAAGGCTAAAATCACTGTTCACACAACAGAAGAGGAAATGACAAGTAACAAAGAGCTCACGCCCGTAAGTGTTTGGTGTGGTTATGAAACTACGTGATCCTTTTATATACAGGGTGTCCCAAAAGTTTCGTTCCTCTAATTTCATGTGTTATAACTTTTGATCAAAACTTTATTCTTTCATGAAATTTTAGAAGGTTTAATAATATAACATTAACTGTGTCAATTTAGCCACACACATCTTATAAGTTACATTTTCTAATTAATAGATCCTGCAATCTTCAGCTGAAAATTCCCATACCGTCATGAAAACAACAGATGGTAGAAATAACGGCATGCTAGATAAAAGAGAAGTTGAAACTGATGCCAAAGACAGAGAAGAGACATTGAAAGATACACCTATATCAAGGAACAGCATAGAAGAAAGTGAGCAGACACTATTTCCAAGGGAAGATGGAAATAAGCAGAAAGCTAAAATCACTGTTCACACAATAGAAGAGGCAATGACAACCAACAAAGAGTGCACGCCCGTAAGTGTTTGGTGTGGTTATGATAATGCATGATTCTTTTGTGTACTAGACTTTTTTGGCGCTTTAGTCATGTTCTTGCTTCCCTGTACTCTTGACTAATATATTGGATCAGAGGTCCTAAGTTAGGAAAACGTCGCTTTATAAAAATTGAATTCGAATTGCTTCAAACTTTATTGCACTTATTCCAACCGAACTATTTCATTTTTTCATATGTTGGCAAACTTCTCTGGGGTTTAATTCGAAAAGACTGTATCGAAGTTCAGGAAAAGAAAAACAAAGTCGTTGTCTTGTGTTGACGTTTTGGCAAAAAACGTGAGCTTAGGCCACATTTTAATTTCGCGGTACTGCAGTGACGGCAAAGAAATGTACAAAAAAGCGTGATCAAGGGCAAAGTTTTTTTTTGTCAATCTCAGGCTATTAGTGTTGCTTTTTTCGAGTTCTCGTTCCCGTTACTGTCGTCGTCGTCGTCGTTGCTCAAGCTCTCTTTTGTTTACAAAAGAGTTTGCTTTGTAAAGGAGGTTAACAAGACAAACAAACACCGGAAATTAGGCTCTTCGTCACGTCGATGTTGTTGCAATGTACAAAAAACCGTGATGTACGTGCTAAGTTGTTGTTTTGCCAATCTAAGGCCCTGTCTACACTAATGCGTTTTGAAAAGTATGCCTTTTTGTTGTCATCGACAACGCGTCGATTGATTTGCATCCACACTACTGTTTTGATGCGTTTTCGACTGTCCATATTAAGAAGTTCGAAAACGACAGAGTTGCACTTTGAGAACTAACTTGAACAATGTGCGCATCCTACAATCACACGCCTGCCATATTTCGTCTTTCTCTGAAGGCGTAGTCTAATTTTTCTTCCAGGACCCTAAAAAGGGATTTCTTAAGTTAAATTCGGCTACAGGAGAAGAGAGTGGCAGATACGCGCTGACTCAGACCAGAAGAATCATCACAAATTTAGGAGAACAAGTTAGTTCCTCTACTAATGACGAGGAAATATTCTGAATTTCTTATCAGCTTCTATATAGAGTACTTTGAATATAGACCAGATTCGAGTAACATACTGAGGCCTAACGAATCAAGTTAGACGTAGAACAGGCCAACTGAATTCCTTTCTTAACTTTGTTAACCAAGTTCGATCGCTTCAGATATTTAATTCAGCATTGGCAAAATAATTCACAGAAATAAGTGCCTCCTTTCCAGAATGTTTTGGTACTATTGTTTAACCTGAGATGTTAAAAGGAAGCGTAATAATACATCATAAACTGTGTCAATTTAGCCACACACATTTAATAACTTACATTTCTTAATCAACAGACCCTACAATCTGCAGCTGAAAATCTTCAAACCGTCATGAAAACAACAGATGGTAGAGATAAAGACATTCTAGATAAACAAGAAGTTGAAACGGATTTCAAATACAGAGAAGAGTCATTTAAAGATGCACCTACACCAAGCAACAACATAAAAGGAAGTCAGCAGGCACCATTTCTGAGGGAAGATGAAAATAAGCAGAAGGCTGAAATCACTGTTCACACAACAGAAGAGGCAATGACAACTAACAAAGAGCGCACGCCCGTAAGTATTTGGTGTGGTTATGAAACTACGTGATCCTTTTAAATACAGGGTGCCCCAAAAGTTTCGTTCCTCTAATTTCATGTGTTAAAACTTTTGATCAAAACTTTTTTCTTGCATGAAATTTTAGAAGGTTTAATAATATAACATTAACTGTGTCAATTTAGCCACACACATTTTATAACTTACATTTTCTAATTAATAGATCCTGCAATCTTCAGCTGAAAATTTCCAAACCGTCATGAAAACAACAGATGGTAGAAATAACGAAATTCTAAATAAACAAGGAGTTGAAACTGATGCCAAAGACAGAGAAGAGACATTAAAAGATGCTCCTATATCAAGGAACAGCATAAAAGAAAGTCAGCAGACACTATTTCCGAGGGAAGATGAAAATAAGCAGAAGGCTAAAATCACTGTTTGCACAATAGAAGTGGCAATGACAACCAACGAAGAGGGCACGCCCGTAAGTGTTTGGTGTGGTTTTGATAATGCATGAATTTTTTGTGTACTAGACTTTTTTGGCGCTTTAGTCATGTTCTCGCTTCCCTTTACTCGTGACTGATATATTGGATCAGAGGTCCTAAGTTAGGAAAACGTCGCTTTATAAACATTGAATTCGAATTGCTTCAAACTTTATTGCACTTATTCCAACCGAACTATTTCATTTTTTCATATGTTGGCAAACTTCTCTGGGGTTTAATTCGAAAAGACTGTATCGAAGTTCAGTAAAAGAAAAACAAAGTCGTTGTCTTGTGTTGACGTTTTGGCAAAAAAACGTAAACTTAGGCCACATTTTAATTTCGCGGTATTGCAGTGACGGCAAAGAAATGTACAAAAAAGCGTGATCAAGTGCAAAGTTGTTTTTTGTCAATCTCAGGCTATTAGTGTTGCTTTTTTCGAGTTCTCGTTGCCGTTCCTGTCGTCGTCGTCGTAGTTGCTCAAGCTTCCTATTTTTTTTTTACAAAAGAGTTCGCTTTGTAAAGGAGGTTAACAAGACAAATACTTTCTCGTTCACGTCATTTACAAAACCCCGGAAATTGGGCTCTTAGTGACGTCGATGTTGTTGCAATGTACAAAAAACCGTGATGTACGTGTTAAGTTTTTGTTTTGCTAATCTAAGGCCCTGTCCACACTAATGCGTTTTCAAAAGTATGCCTTTTTGTTGTCTTCGACAACTTAACGCGTCGATTGATTTGCGTCCACACTACTGTTTTGATGCGTTTTCGACTGTCCATATTAAGAAGTTTGAAAACGACAGAGTTGCACTTTGAGAACTAACTTGAACAATGTGAGCATCCTACAATCACACGCCTGCAATATTTCATTTGTCTCTGAAGGCGTGTTCTAATTTTTCTTTCCTGACCCTAAAGAGGGCTTTCTTAAGTTAAATTCGGCTTCAGGAGAGGAGAGTGGCAGATACTCGGTGATTCAGATTAGAAGAATCATCACAAATTTAGGAGCGCAAGTTTGTTACACTACTAATGAGGAGGAAATATTCTAAATTTCTTATCAGCTCTCTATATAGACCAGATTCAAGTAACATACTAAGGCTTAACGAATCACGTTAGACGTAGAACAGGCCAACTGAAATTCCTTTGGTAACTTCGTTATCCAAGTTCAATCCTTTTGATATTTAATTCAGGATTGTGAAAAGAATTCACAGAAACATGTGCCTCTGCTTGTGACTGGAATAAAAAAAGCAGGTCCTCTTTTCCAGAATGTTTTGGTACTATTGTTTAACCTGAGATGTCCAAAGGAAGCGTAATAATACAGCATAAACTGTGTCAATTTAGCCACACATATTCAATAACTTAAATTTTTTAAATTACAGACCCTACAATCCTCAGCTGAAAATCTTCAAACCGTCATGAAAACAACAGATGGTAGAGATGAAGACATTCTAGATAAACAAGGATTTGAAACGGATGGCAAAGACAGAGAAGAGACATTGAAAGATGCTCCTACACCAAGTAACAACATAGAAGGAAGTCAGCAGTCACTATTTCTGAGGGAAGATGAAAATAAGCAGATGGCTAAAATCACTGTTCACACAACAGAAAAGGCAATGACAACTAACAAAGAGCGCACGCCCGTACGTGTTTGGTGTGGTTATATGATAATGCGTGATCCTCTTTTATACTAGACTTTTTTTCCTCGCTTAGATGTTTGAAGGAAGAGTAATAATTTAACATTAACTGTGTCAATTTAGCCACACACATTTTATAACTGACATTTTGTAATCAACAGACCCTACAATCTTCAGCTGAAAATTACCAAACCGTCATGAAAACAACAGATGGTAGAGATAAAGACATTCAAGATAAACAAGGAGTTGAAACAGATTTCAAATGCAGAGAAGAGTCACTGAAAGATGCACCAACACCAAGCAACAACATAAAAGGAAGTCAGCAGACACTATTTCTGAGGGAAGATGAAAACAAGCAGGAAGCTAAAATTACTGTTCACACAACAGAAGAGGCAATGGCAACTAACAAAGAGCGACCGGCCGTAAGTATTTGGTGTGCTTATGATAATGCGAGTTTTTTGGCGCTTTAGTCATGTTGTTACTCCCCTTTAGTTTTGACTGGTATCTTGGCTTAGACGTCCTAACTTAGCAATAGTGAGCTTAGGCAAGAAATACAGCATTAGTTACGAAAACGCCACTTCATTAAAAGTGAAATCAATTTGCTTCAAACTTTAACGCACTTATTCCAACCAAACTCCTTCATTTCGTCAAAAGTTGGCAAATTTGTTCTGGGGTTTAATTCTAAAAGACTTGGTTCAAGTTCGGGAAAAGAAAAAGAAAGTCGTTTCTTGTGTGTTCACGTTTTCCGCAAAGCGTGAACTTAGGCCGCATTTTCACGTCGCAGTCTTGCAGTGATGCCAAAAAAAAATGTACAAAAAGCGTGATGCACGTGGAAAGACGTTTTTTTGCCAATCTAAGCCTATTAGTATTGCTTTTTTACCGTTCTCGTTGTCGTTACTGGCGTCGTCGTCGTTGCTTCAGCTCCCTATTGTTCATAAACGTGTTTGCTTTGTAAATGACGTTAACAAGACAACTACTTTCTTTCGTCTGGTTGACGTCTTTCACAAAAACGTAATTAAACCTTGAAATTAGACGCTTAGTCACGTCGTTGTTGTTGCAATGTACAAAAAACCGTGATGTAGAGTATTAACAGCCGCAAAGGGAAATAAAACCGAACGCTTTATTCGTTCATCTGCTCTGCTCGACAACAAGTCAACTCACTCAGTCTACGCCCGCTCACACTGTTCAGTTCCCTTATGTCCTGCGCGTACAACCGCTGTACGCTATGCACTACAACCTCTGTACACTACATTCTCTCTTCACTCGTACATGCACTTACATCAATGAAAATTACGCAAACAATATATTTACTTTCAACTTAAACAATCTTAGAATACAAAAATGCAATCAACCAAGTCCTTGCCGAATAGCAATATAAATAAAGCTGAGTTCAATGGAAAGACTGAATCTTTCGAAAAAACTAGACTTAATACAAAACATAATCGCTCCAAGTTTTTTGTCGTTCGGTAACCCTTCCAGATCTCTTTAGAGGGGGTAACCCTTACAGATCTCCTTAGAGGGGGTGGCTGCTCAGCACCCGAGACTGGGACCTTAGGGGGTATTTCCACTGCTGCTGGCGGTAAAGACGTCCTTGGAATCTCTGCTTGTGCTGTTGTTGTAATAGGTGTCCCCGACTTTGGTGTCATAGCTTGTGTAGCTGACGCAGACCCAGCTGTTGCAGACGCAGATCCAAGCTCTGACTGTGAAGCCGCCCTTTTATGGTCTGGAATGTTAAAAGGTTTAATATGGTGCATATTTCTCCTGTACTCGCCTCTGTTTGACGACATCAACACAACTTGATCCCCGTACCAAGCCATTACCTCATATGGCTCCTTCTCATACGACGAGGATAACTTGTTTTCTCTCTTCTGTTCCAACAGAACCCAGTCTCCCTCTCGCACGTCTCGCTCTCTTGCATGGAACGTTTTGTCAACATACTCCTTGTTTGCCTTCTTTTTTTGGGTGTCACGGTCTCTGGCTTCTTGGTCAGTTGTGTCTGCGTCCTCATCATCTAAACCCATAAGCTCAGACGTTTTACTGTTTAGTACTCTTCTAAAGAGCAACTCTGCCGGACTCTTCCCCGTTTTCGAGTAGGGTGTGCACCTGTATGCTAAGAGAAACTTGTTTAATTCTTCCCTCCAATTTTTTCCCTCCGTGTGGGCTACTCTAGTAGCTTTCAATGGAGTCCTATTCTGCCTTTCCACCTCACCATTGGCCCTTGGCCACAGAGAGGTTGTATGTTGGTGTTCAACTCCCATTTCTTTTAGATTATCCTCAATCTCGTTGGCTACTAAATTTGGGCTTTTGACAATCCGCAAACTCTTGGGTATTCCATATCTCGCAAACTGAGCAATTAGACGCTGAATAATTATCTTGCTCGTGGTTGCCCTGACAACGTCAACCTCTATCCACCTGCTGTGATAATCCACCAGGCCTGGCAGATTCTCCCCTGACGGAAGTGGACCCAATATATCCATAGCTAAATCTTCTCATGGTCGCTGAGGCATAGGAGTAGGTTTCGCCGAAATGGCACGTGCAAACTTCTTGTTTTGTTCATCTAAGGCCCTGTCCACACTACTCCGTTTTCAAAAAAGTATGCGTTTCGTTGTCATCGACAACACATCGATTGATTTGCGTCCACACTACCGTTTTGATGCGTTTTCGACTGTCCATATTAGGGACTTTAAGATCCAACGACTCCGACGACAACGAAAACGTAAACAAACCAAAAGGTTCAATAAGCAATGACAACAACTTTGCACGTGCATCACGCTTTTTTGTGCATTTCTTTCCCGTTTTTGCACGACTACCACGTTGAAATCGCTAATTTCGCTTTTTATGGAGGAAATAAACAAACAACGACGAACTTTTATTTCTCTTTTTCAACTTAGAGATACTCCTCAGGAATTCAATCCCAGGGGGGTTCGCCTACATTTGACAAAGTAAGTGGATAGGAATAATTGCGATAAAGACTGAAAGAACGCAAATTCACTTTTTAAGCGTCGTTCTCGTTGCTGTTGCGTCGTTGAATCTTAAAGTCCCTATTAAGAAGTTAGGAAACAATAGAGTTGCACGTTGAGAAGTAAGTTAACCATGTGCGCATCCTACAATCACGCGCCTGCGATATTTCGTCTGTCTCTAAAAGCGTGTTCTAATTTTACCTTTAGGATCCTAAAGAGGACTTCCTTAAGTTAAAATCGCTTTCAGGAGAAGAAAGTGGCAGAGACACGTTGACTCAGACCAGAAGAATCATCACAAATTCGGGAGGACAAGTTAGTTCCACTAATAATGTCGAGGAAATATCTGACTTTGTTATTAACTTCTTCCTAAACCATATTCGCGCTTTATTAACGCCCTTAAGAAGAAAAACACTAATAATACATTAAATTATTCAGAGTAACAAACTGAGGCCTAAAAAATCAAGTTAGACGTAGAACAGGCCAACTAAATTCCTTTGTTAACTTCGTTAACCAAGTTCGATCCCATCTAATTTAGCATTGTAAAAAGAATTCACAGAAACATGAGCCTCTACTTGTGACTAGAATAAAAAGCAGGTATTCCTTTCCAGAATGTTTTTCATCGGCCCTAGCTAGTTTAAGTGAGAAGTTTAAAGGAAGCGTAATAATACAGCATAAACTGTGTCAATTTAGCCACACACATTTAGTAACTTACATTTTTTTAATTAACAGAGCCTACAATCTTCAGCTGAGTATTCCGAAACCGTCATGAAAACAAGAGATGGTAGAGATAAAGACATTCAAGATAAACAAGGAGTTGAAACGGATTTCAAATACAGAGAAGAGTCATTTAAAGATGCACCTACACCAAGCAACAACATAAAAGGAAGTCAGAAGACACTATTTCTGAGGGAAGATGAAAATCAGCAGAAGGCTAAAATCACTGTTCACACAACAGAAGAGGAAATGACAAGTAACAAAGAGCTCACGCCCGTAAGTGTTTGGTGTGGTTATGAAACTACGTGATCCTTTTATATACAGGGTGTCCCAAAAGTTTCGTTCCTCTAATTTCATGTGTTATAACTTTTGATCAAAACTTTATTCTTTCATGAAATTTTAGAAGGTTTAATAATATAACATTAACTGCGTCAATTTAGCCACACGCATTTTATAACTTACATTTTCTAATTAATAGATCCCGCAATCTTCAGCTGAAAATTCCCATACCGTCATGAAAACAACAGATGGTAGAAATAACGGCATGCTAGATAAAAACGAAGTTGAAACTGATGCCAAAGACAGACAAGAGACATTGAAAGATACACCTATATCAAGGAACAGCATAGAAGAAAGTGAGCAGACACTATTTCCAAGGGAAGATGGAAATAAGCAGAAAGCTAAAATCACTGTTCACACAATAGAAGAGGCAATGACAACCAACAAAGAGTGCACGCCCGTAAGTGTTTGGTGTGGTTATGATAATGAATGATTCTTTTGTGTACTAGACTTTTTTGGCGCTTTAGTCATGTTCTTGCTTCCCTGTACTCTTGACTAATATATTGGATCAGAGGTCCTAAGTCAGGAAAACGTCGCTTTATAAAAATTGAATTCGAATTGCTTCAAACTTTATTGCACTTATTCCAACCGAACTATTTCATTTTTTCATATGTTGGCAAACTTCTCTGGGGTTTAATTCGAAAAGACTGTATCGAAGTTCAGTAAAAGAAAAACAAAGTCGTTGTCTTGTGTTGACGTTTTGGCAAAAAACGTGAGCTTAGGCCGCATTTTAATTTCGCGGTATTGCAGTGACGGCAAAGAAATGTACAAAAAAGCGTGATCAAGGGCAAAGTTTTTTTTTTTGTCAATCTCAGGCTATTAGTGTTGCTTTTTTCGAGTTCTCGTTCCCGTTACTGTCGTCGTCGTCGTCGTTGCTCAAGTTCTCTTTTGTTTACAAAAGAGTTTGCTTTGTAAAGGAGGTTAACAAGACAAACAAACACCGGAAATTAGGCTCTTCGTCACGTCGATGTTGTTGCAATGTACAAAAAACCGTGATGTACGTGCTAAGTTGTTGTTTTGCCAATCTAAGGCCCTGTCTACACTAATGCGTTTTGAAAAGTATGCCTTTTTGTTGTCATCGACAACGCGTCGATTAATTTGCATGCACACTACTGTTTTGATGCGTTTTCGACTGTCCATATTAAGAAGTTCGAAAACTACAGAGTTGCACTTTGAGAACTAACTTGATCAATGTGCGCATCCTACAATCACACGCCTGCCATATTTCGTCTTTCTCTGAAGGCGTAGTCTAATTTTTCCTCCAGGACCCTAAAAAGGGATTTCTTAAGTTAAATTCGGCTACAGGAGAAGAGAGTGGCAGATACGCGCTGACTCAGACCAGAAGAATCATCACAAATTTAGGAGAACAAGTTAGTTCCTCTACTAATGACGAGGAAATATTCTGAATTTCTTATCAGCTTCTATATAGAGTACTTTGAATATAGACCAGATTCGAGTAACATACTGAGGCCTAACGAATCAAGTTAGACGTAGAACAGGCCAACTGAATTCCTTTCTTAACTTTGTTGACCAAGTTCGATCGCTTCAGATATTTAATTCAGCATTGGCAAAATGTATAATTCACAGAAATAAGTGCCTCTGCCTGTGACTGGAATAGAAAGCTGGTCCTCCTTTCTAGAATGTTTTGGTACTATTGTTTAACCTGAGATGTTAAAAGGAAGTGTAATAATACATCATAAACTGTGTCAATTTAGCCACACACATTTAATAACTTACATTTCTTAATCAACAGACCCTACAATCTTCAGCTGAAAATCTTCAAACCGTCATGAAAACAACAGATGGTAGAGATAAAGACATTCTAGATAAACAAGAAGTTGAAACGGATTTCAAATACAGAGAAGAGTCATTTAAAGATGCACCTACACCAAGCAACAACATAAAAGGAAGTCAGCAGACACCATTTCTGAGGGAAGATGAAAATAAGCAGAAGGCTAAAATCACTGTTCACACAACAGAAGAGGCAATGACAACTAACAAAGAGCGCACGCCCGTAAGTATTTGGTGTGGTTATGAAACTACGTGATCCTTTTAAATACAGGGTGCCCCAAAAGTTTCGTTCCTCTAATTTCATGTGTTATAACTTTTGATCAAAACTTTATTCTTGCATGAAAATTTAGAAGGTTTAATAATATAACATTAACTGTGTCAATTTAGCCACACACATTTTATAACTTACATTTTCTAATTAATAGATCCTGCAATCTTCAGCTGAAAATTTCCAAACCGTCATGAAAACAACAGATGGTAGAAATAACGAAATTCTAAATAAACAAGGAGTTGAAACTGATGCCAAAGACAGAGAAGAGACATTAAAAGATGCTCCTATATCAAGGAACAGCATAAAAGAAAGTCAGCAGACACTATTTCCGAGGGAAGATGAAAATAAGCAGAAGGCTAAAATCACTGTTTGCACAATAGAAGTGGCAATGACAACCAACGAAGAGGGCACGCCCGTAAGTGTTTGGTGTGGTTTTGATAATGCAGATTCTTTTGTGTACTAGACTTTTTTGGCGCTTTAGTCATGTTCTTGCTTCCCTTTACTCGTGACTGATATATTGGATCAGAGGTCCTAAGTTAGGAAAAAGTCGCTTTATAAACATTGAATTCGAATTGCTTCAAACTTTATTGCACTTATTCCAACCGAACTATTTCATTTTTTCATATGTTGGCAAACTTCTCTGGGGTTTAATTCGAAAAGAGTGTATCGAAGGCAGTAAAAGAAAAACAAAGTCGTTGTCTTGTGTTGACGTTTTGGCAAAAAAACGTGAACTTAGGCCGCATTTTAATTTCGCGGTATTGCAGTGACGGCAAAGAAATGTACAAAAAAGCGTGATCAAGTGCAAAGTTGTTTTTTGTCAGTCTCAGGCTATTAGTGTTGCTTTTTTCGAGTTCTCGTTGCCGTTCCTGTCGTCGTCGTCGTAGTTGCTCAAGCTTCCTATTCTTTACAAAAGAGTTCGCTTTGTAAAGGAGGTTAACAAGACAAATACTTTCTTGTTCACGTCATTTACAAAACCCCGGAAATTGGGCTCTTAGTCACGTCGATGTTGTTGCAATGTACAAAAAACCGTGATGTACGTGTTAAGTTTTTGTTTTGCTAATCTAAGGCCCTGTCCACACTAATGCGTTTTCAAAAGTACGCCTTTTTGTTGTCTTCGACAACTTAACGCGTCGATTGATTTGCGTCCACACTACTGTTTTGATGCGTTTTCGACTGTCCATATTAAGAAGTTTGAAAACGACAGAGTTGCACTTTGAGAACTAACTTGAACAATGTGAGCATCCCACAATCACACGCCTGCCATATTTCATTTGTCTCTGAAGGCGTGTTCTAATTTTTCTTTCCTGACCCTAAAGAGGGCTTTCTTAAGTTAAATTCGGCTTCAGGAGAGGAGAGTGGCAGATACTCGGTGATTCAGATTAGAAGAATCATCACAAATTTAGGAGCGCAAGTTTGTTACACTACTAATGAGGAGGAAATATTCTAAATTTCTTATCAGCTCTCTATATAGACCAGATTCAAGTAACATACTAAGGCTTAACGAATCACGTTAGACGTAGAACAGGCCAACTGAAATTCCTTTGGTAACTTCGTTATCCAAGTTCAATCCTTTTGATATTTAATTCAGGATTGTGAAAAGAATTCACAGAAACATGTGCCTCTGCTTGTGACTGGAATAAAAAGCAGGTCCTCTTTTCCAGAATGTTTTGGTACTATTGTTTAACCTGAGATGTCCAAAGGAAGCGTAATAATACAGCATAAACTGTGTCAATTTAGCCACACATATTCAATAACTTAAATTTTTTAAATTACAGACCCTACAATCCTCAGCTGAAAATCTTCAAACCGTCATGAAAACAACAGATGGTAGAGATGAAGACATTCTAGATAAACAAGGATTTGAAACGGATGGCAAAGACAGAGAAGAGACATTGAAAGATGCTCCTACACCAAGTAACAACATAGAAGGAAGTCAGCAGTCACTATTTCTGAGGGAAGATGAAAATAAGCAGATGGCTAAGATCACTGTTCACACAACAGAAGAGGCAATGACAACTAACAAAGAGCGCACGCCCGTACGTGTTTGGTGTGGTTATCATAATGCGTGATCCTCTTTTACACTAGACTTTTTTGGCGCTTAGATGTTTGAAGGAAGAGTAATAATTTAACATTAACTGTGTCAATTTAGCCACACACATTTTATAACTGACATTTTGTAATCAACAGACCCTACAATCTTCAGCTGAAAATTACCAAACCGCCATGAAAACAACAGATGGTAGAGATAAAGACATTCAAGATAAACAAGGAGTTGAAACAGATTTCAAATGCAGAGAAGAGTCACTGAAAGATGCACCAACACCAAGCAACAACATAAAAGGAAGTCAGCGGACACTATTTCTGAGGGAAGATGAAAACAAGCAGGAAGCTAAAATTACTGTTCACACAACAGAAGAGGCAATGGCAACTAACAAAGAGCGACCGGCCGTAAGTATTTGGTGTGCTTATGATAATGCGTGATCCTCTTTTGTACTAGAGTTTTTTGGCGCTTTAGTCATGTTGTTACTCCCCTTTAGTTTTGACTGGTATCTTGGCTTAGACGTCCTAACTTAGCAATAGTGAGCTTAGGCAAGAAATACAGCATTAGTTACGAAAACGCCACTTCATTAAAAGTGAAATCAATTTGCTTCAAACTTTATCGCACTTATTCCAACCAAACTCCTTCATTTCGTCAAAAGTTGGCAAATTTGTTCTGGGGTTTAATTCTAAAAGACTTGGTTCAAGTTGGGGAAAAGAAAAAGAAAGTCGTTTCTTGTGTGTTCACGTTTTCCGCAAAGCGTGAACTTAGGCCGCATTTTCACGTCGCAGTCCTGCAGTGATGCCAAAACAAATTGTACAAAAAGCGTGATGCACGTGGAAAGACGTTTTTTTGCCAATCTAAGCCTATTAGTATTGCTTTTTTGCCGTTCATGTTGCCGTTACTGGCGTCGTCGTCGTTGCTTCAGCTCCCTATTGTTCATAAACGTGTTTGCTTTGTAAAGGAAGTTAACAAGACAACTACTTTCTTTCGTCTGGTTAACTTCTTTCACAAAAATCTTGAAATTAGACGCTTAGTCACGTCGTTGTTGTTGCAATGTACAAAAAACCGTGATGTAGAGTATTAACAGCCGCAGAGGGAAATAAAACCGAACGCTTTATTCGTTCATCTGCTCTGCTCGACAACAAGTCAACTCACTCAGTCTACGCCCGCTCACACTGTTCAGTTCCCTTATGTCCTGCGCGTACAACCGCTGTACGCTATGCACTACAACCACTGTACACTACATTCTCTCTTCACTCGTACATGCACTTACATCAATGAAAATTACGCAAACAATATATTTACTTTCAACTTAAACAATCTTAGAATACAAAAATGCAATCAACCAAGTCCTTGCCGAATAGCAATATAAATAAAGCTGAGTTCAATGGAAAGACTGAATCTTTCGAAAAAACTAGACTTAATACAAAACATAATCGCTCCAAGATTTTTGTCGTTCGGTAACCCTTCCAGATCTCTTTAGAGGGGGTAACCCTTACAGATCTCCTTAGAGGGGGTGGCTGCTCAGCACCCGAGACTGGGACCTTAGGGGGTATTTCCACTGCTGCTGGTGTTAAAGACATCCTTGGAATCTCTGCTTGTGCTGTTGTTGTAATAGGTTTCCCCGACTTTGGTGTCATAGCTTGTGTAGCTGACGCAGACGCATCTGTTGCAGACGCAGATCCAAGCTCTGACTGTGACGCCGCCCTTTTATGGTCTGGAATGTTAAAAGGTTTAATATGGTGCATATTTCTCCTGTACTCGCCTCCGTTTGACGACATCAACAAAACTTGATCCCCGTACCAAGCCATTACCTCATATGGCTCCTTCTCATACGACGAGGATAACTTGTTTTCTCTCTTCTGTTCCAACAGAACCCAGTCTCCCTCTCGCACGTCTCGCTCTCTTGCATCTAACGTTTTGTCAACATACTCCTTGTTTGCCTTCTTTTTTTGGGTGTCACGGTCTCTGGCTTCTTGGTCAGTTGTGTCTGCGTCCTCATCATCTAAACCCATAAGCTCAGACGTTTTACTGTTTAGTACTCTTCTAAAGAGCAACTCTGCCGGACTCTTCCCCGTTTTCGAGTAGGGTGTGCACCTGTATGCTAAGAGAAACTTGTTTAATTCTTCCCTCCAATTTTTTCCCTCCGTGTGGGCTACTCTAGTAGCTTTCAATGGAGTCCTATTCTGCCTTTCCACCTCACCATTGGCCCTTGGCCACAGAGAGGTTGTATGTGGGTGTTCAACTCCCATTTCTTTTAGACAATCCTCAATCTCGTTGGCTACTAAATTTGGGCTTTTGACAATCCGCAAACTCTTGGGTATTCCATATCTCGCACACTGAGCAATTAGACGCTGAATAATTATCTTGCTCGTGGTTGCCCTGCAACGTCAACCTCTATCCACCTGCTGTGATAATCCACCAGGCGTGGCAGATTCTCCCCTGACGGAAGTGGACCCAATACATCCATAGCTAAATCTTCTCATGGTCGCTGAGGCATAGGAGTAGGTTTCGCCGAAATGGCACGAGCAAACTTCTTGTTTTGTTAATCTAAGGCCCTGTCCACACTACTCCGTTTTCAAAAAAGTATGCGTTTCGTTGTCATCGACAACACATCGATTGATTTGCGTCCACACTACCGTTTTGATGCGTTTTCGACTGTCCATATTAGGGACTTTAAGATCCAACGACTCCGACGATAACGAAAACGTAAACAAACCAAAAGGTTCAATAAGCAATGACAACAACTTTGCACGTGCATCACGCTTTTTTGTGCATTTCTTTCCCGTTTTTGCACGACTACCACGTTCAAATCGCTAATTTCGCTTTTTATGGAGGAAATAAACAAACAACGACGAACTTTTATTTCTCTTTTTCAACTTAGAGATACTCCTCAGGAATTCAATCCCAGGGGGGTTCGCCTACATTTGACAAAGTAAGTGGATAGGAATAATTGCGATAAAGACTGAAAGAACGCAAATTCACTTTTTAAGCGTCGTTCTCGTTGCTGTTGCGTCGTTGAATCTTAAAGTCCCTATTAAGAAGTTAGGAAACAATAGAGTTGCACGTTGAGAAGTAAGTTAACCATGTGCGCATCCTACAATCACGCGCCTGCGATATTTCGTCTGTCTCTAAAAGCGTGTTCTAATTTTACCTTTAGGATCCTAAAGAGGACTTCCTTAAGTTAAAATCGCTTTCAGGAGAAGAAAGTGGCAGAGACACGTTGACTCAGACCAGAAGAATCATCAGAAATTCGGGAGGACAAGTTAGTTCCACTAATAATGTCGAGGAAATATCTGACTTTGTTATTAACTTCTTCCTAAACCATATTCGCGCTCTATTAACGCCCTTAAGAAGAAAAACACTAATAATACATTAAATTATTCAGAGCAACAAACTGAGGCCAAAATCAAGTTAGACGTAGAACAGGCCAACTAAATTCCTTTGTTAACTTCGTTAACCAAGTTCGATCCTTTTGACATCTAATTTAGCATTGTAAAAAGAATTCACAGAAACATGAGCCTCTACTTGTGACTAGAATAAAAAGCAGGTATTCCTTTCCAGAATGTTTTTCATCGACCCTAGTTTAACTGAGACGTTTAAAGGAAGCGTAATAATACAGCAATACTAATAATACGCATTTATTAACTTACATTTTTTTAATTAACAGAGCCTACAATCTTCAGCTGAGTATTCCCAAACCGTTATGAAAACAAAAGATGGTAGAGATAAAGACATTCAAGATAAACAAGGAGTTGAAACGGATTTCAAATACAGAGAAGAGTCATTTAAAGATGCACCTACACCAAGCAACAACATAAAAGGAAGTCAGCAGACACTATTTCTCAGGGAAGATGAAAATAAGCAGAAGGCTAAAATCACTGTTCACACAACAGAAGAGGAAATGACAAGTAACAAAGAGCTCACGCCCGTAAGTGTTTGGTGTGGTTATGAAATTACGTGATCCTTTTATATCTCGGGTGTCCCAAAAGTTTCGTTCCTCTAATTTCATGTGTTATAACTTTTGATCAAAACTTTATTCTTTCATGAAATTTTAGAAGGTTTAATAATATAACATTAACTGTGTCAATTTAGCCACACACATTTTATAAGTTACATTTTTTAATTAATAGATCCCGCAATCTTCAGCTGAAAATTCCCATACCGTCATGAAAACAGCAGATGGTAGAAATAACGGCATGCTAGATAAAAAAGAAGTTGAAACTGATGCCAAAGACAGACAAGAGACATTGAAAGATACACCTATATCAAGGAACAGCATAGAAGAAAGTGAGCAGACGCTATTTCCAAGGGAAGATGGAAATAAGCAGAAAGCTAAAATCACTGTTCACACAATAGAAGAGGCAATGACAACCAACAAAGAGTGCACGCCCGTAAGTGTTTGGTGTGGTTATGATAATGAATGATTCTTTTGTGTACTAGACTTTTTTGGCGCTTTAGTCATGTTCTTGCTTCCGTTTACTCTTGACTGATATATTAGATCAGAGGTCCTAAGATAGGAAAACGTCGCTTTATAAACATTGAATTCGAATTGCTTGAAACTTTATTGCACTTATTCCAACCGAACTATTTCATTTTTTCACATGTTGGCAAACTTCTCTGGGGTTTAATTCGAAAAGACTGTATCGAAGTTCAGTAAAAGAAAAACAAAGTCGTTGTCTTGTGTTGACGTTTTGGCAAAAAAACGTGAATTTAGGCCGCATTTTAATTTCGCGGTATTGCAGTGACGGCAAAGAAATGTACAAAAAAGCAATAATCAAGTGCAAAGTTGTTTTTTGTCAATCTCAGGCTATTAGTGTTGCTTTTTTCGAGTTCTCGTTGCCGTTCCTGTCGTCGTCGTCGTAGTTGCTCAAGCTTCCTATTCTTTACAAAAGAGTTCGCTTTGTAAAGGAGGTTAACAAGACAAATACTTTCTTGTTCACGTCATTTACAAAACCCCGGAAATTGGGCTCTTAGTGACGTCGATGCTGTTGCAATGTACAAAAAACCGTGATGTACGTGTTAAGTTTTTGTTTTGCTAATCTAAGGCCCTGTCCACACTAATGCGTTTTCAAAAGTATGCTTTTTGTTGTCTTCGACAACTTAACGCGTCGATTGATTTGCGTCCTCACTACTGTTTTGATGCGTTTTCGACTGTCCATATTAAGAAGTTTGAAAACGACAGACTTGCACTTTGAGAACTAACTTGAACAATGTGCGCATCCTACAATCACACGCCTGCCATATTTCGTCTGTCTCTGAAGGCATAGTCTAATTTTTCTTCCACCACCCTAAAGAGGGCTTTCTTAAGTTAAATTCGGCTTCAGGAGAAGAGAGTGGCAGATACACGCTGACTCAGACCAGAAGAATCATCACAAATTTAGGAGAACAAGTTAGTTCCACTACTAACGAGGAGGAAATATCTTGAGTTTCTTATCAGCTTCTATATAGATTACTTTGAATATTGATCCGATTCGAGTAACATACTAAGGCCTAGCGAATCAAGTTAGACGTAGAACAGGCCAACTAAATTCCTTTGTTAACTTTGTTAACCAAGTTCGATCGCTTCAGATATTTAATTCAGCATTGGCAAAATAATTCACAGAAACATGTGACTCTGCTTGTGACTGGAATAGAAAGCAGGTCTTCCTTTCCAGAATGTTTTGGTACTATTGTTTAACCTGAGATGTTTAAAGGAAGCGTAATAATACATCATAAACTGTGTCAATTTAGCCACACACATTTAATAACTTACATTTTTTAATCAACAGACCCTACAATCTTCAGCTGAAAATCTTCAAACCGTCATGGAAAAAACAGATGGTAGAGACAAAGACATTCTAGATAAACAAGGAGTTGAAACGGATTTCAAATACAGGGAAGAATTATTGAAAGATGCACCTACACCAAGCAACAACATAAAAGGAAGTCAGCAGACACTATTTCTGAGGGAAGATAAAAATAAGCAGAAGGCTAAAATCACTGTTCACACAACAGAAGATTCAATGACAACTAACAAAGAGCGCACGCCCGTAAGTGTTTGGTGTGGTTATGAAAGTATTTGGTCCTTTTATATGCAGGTTGTCCCAAAAGTTTCGTTCCTCTAATTTCATGTGTATTAATAATAATAATAATTTAATATTTATATTGCGCAAAATACATGTAAATATGATCAAATGCTCATTACATGAAAGTAAATTATCAACATTAATAAGTTATCCAAAATAACTAAAAATATTATACAAAAAAAAACCATGGATCTATAAAAATATAATATATACATAATCCTAAAAAAAACCCGAATAAAAAGCTAATCTAAAAAAATGGGTCTTAAGTAAACCTTTAAACCTATTAAAATTGGGCTCATTTCGTATTTGTGATGGTAACCCATTCCACAGGTTAGGCGCTGAAGCTAAAAAAGAACGGTCACCCAATGTCTTTTTAGTTAAAGTTCTTGGCGTTTGAAGCATGATTCCCATTGCACACGATCTTAAATTGTATCTCTCTTACTCCTTTTTGCTAATGAGTTCTTGTAGATATACCGGAGCTTTTCAAAACTTTATTCTCGCATGAAATTTTAGAAGATTTAATAATATAACATTAACTGTGTCAATTTAGCCACACACATTTTATAACTGACATTTTGTAATTAACAGATCCTGCATTCTTCAGCTGAAAATTTCCAAACCGTCATGAAAACAACAGATGGTAGAAATAACGACATTCTACATAACAAAGAAGTTGAAACTGATGCCAAAGACAGAGAAGAGACATTGAAAGATACACCTATATCAAGGAACAGCATAAAAGAAAGTGAGCAGACACTATTTCCAAGGGAAGACGAAAATAAGCAGAAGGCTAAAATCACTGTTCACACAATAGAAGAGGCAATGACAACCAACGAAGACGTCACGCTCGTAAGTGTTTGGTGTGGTTATGATAATGCATGATTCTTTTGTGTACTAGACTTTTTTCGCGCTTTAGTCATCTTCATACTTCCCTTTACTCTTGACTAATATATTGGATCAGAGGTCCTAAGTTAGGAAAACGTCGCTTTATAAAATTGAATTCGAATTACTTCAAACTTTATTGCACTTATTCCAACCGAACTATTTCATTTTTTCATATGTTGGCAAATTTCTCTGGGGTTTAATTCGAAAAGACTGTATCGAAGTTCAGGAAAAGAAAAACAAAGTCGTTGTCTTATGTTGACGTTTTGGCAAAAAACGTGAACTTAAGCCGCATTTTAATTTCGCGGTAGTGCAGTGACGGCAAAGAAATGTACAAAAAAGCGTGATCAAGTGCAAAGTTGTTTTTTGTCAATCTAAGGCTATTAGTGTTGCTTTTTTCGAGTTCTCCTTGCCGTTCCTGTCATCGTCGTCGTCGTCGTCGTTGCTCAAGCTCTCTTTTGTTTACAAAAGAGTTTGCTTTGTAAAGGAGGTTAACAAGACAAACAAACACCGGAAATTTGGCTCTAGGTCACGTCGATGTTGTTGCAATGTACAAAAAACCGTGATGTACGTGCTAAGTTGTTGTTTTGCCAATCTAAGGCCCTGTCTACACTAATGCTTTTTGAAAAGTATGCCTTTTTGTTGTCATCGACAACGCGTCGATTGATTTGCGTCCACACTACTGTTTTGATGCGTTTTCGACTGTCCATATTAAGAAGTTCGAAAACGACAGAGTTGCACTTTGAGAACTAACTTGAACAATGTGCGCATCCTACAATAACACGCCTGCCATATTTCGTCTGTCTCTGAAGGCGTATTCTAATTTTTCTTCCAGCACCCTAAAGAGGGCTTTCTTAAGTTAAATTCGGCTTCAGGAGAAGAGAGTCACAGATACATGGTGACTCAGACTAGAAGAATCATCACAAATTTAGGAGTACAAGTTAGTTCCACCACTAATGAGGAGGAAATATTCTAAATTTCCTATCAGCTCTCTATATAGACCAGATTCGAGTAACATACTAAGGCCTAACGAATCAAGTTAGACGTAGAACAGGCCAACTGAATTCCATTGTTAACTTCGTTAACCAAGTTCAATCCCTTTGATATTTAATTCAGCATTGGGAAAATAATTTACACAAACATGTGCCTCTGCTTGTGGGTGGAATAAAAAGCAGGTCTTCCTTTCCAGAACATTTTGGTACTATTGTTTAACCTGAGATGTTTAAAGGAAGCGTGATAATACATCATAAACTGTGTCAATTTAGCCACATACATTTAATAACTTACACTTTTTAATCAACAGACCCTACAATCTTCAGCCGAAAATGTTGAAACCGTGATGGAAGCAACAGATGGTAGAGATAAAGACATTCTAGATAAACTAGGAGTTGAAACGGATTTCAAATACAGAGAAGAGTCATTTAAAGATGCACCTACACCAAGCAACAACATAAAAGGAAGTCAGCAGACACTATTTCCAAGGGAAGATGAAAATAAGCAGATGACTAAAATCACTGTTCACACAACAGAAGAGGCAATGACAACTAACAAAGAGCGCACGCCCGTAAGTGTTTGGTGTGGTTATGAAAATACGTTATCCTTTTATATACAGGGTGTCCCAAAAGTTTCGTTCCTCTAATTTCATGTGTTATAACTTGTGATCAAAACTTTATTCTTGCATCAAAATTTTAGAAGGTTTAATAATATCACATTAACTGTGTCAATTTACCTACACACATTTTATAACTTACATTTTCTAATTAATAGATCCTGCAATCTTCAGCTGAAAATTCCCAAAACGTAAGGAAAACAACAGATGGTAGGGGTAAAGACATTCTAGATAAACAAGGAGTTGAAACTGAAGCTAAAGACAGAGAAGAGACATTGAAAGATACGTCTGTATCAAGGAACAGCATAAATGAAAGTCAGCAGACACTATTTCCGAGGGAAGATGAAAATAAGCAGAAGGCTAAAATCACTGTTCACACAATAGAAGAGGCAATGACAACTAACAAAGAGCGCACACCCGTAAGTGTTTGGTGTGCTTATGATCATGCGTGATCCCTTTGTACACTAGACTTTTTTGACGCTTTTGTCATGTTGTTACTTCCCTTTACTTTTGACTGGTATCTTGTCGTAGACGTCCTAACTTTGCAATAGAGAGCTTAAGCAACAACGACGGCATTAGTTACGATTACTCCACTTCATTAAAAGTGAATTCGATTTGCTACAAACTTTATCGCACTTATTCCAACCCAACTCCTTCATTTCGTCAAATGTTGGCAAATTTGTTCTGGGGTTTAATTTTAAAAGACTTTATTGAAGTTCACGAAAAGAAAAACAAAGTCGTTTCTTGTGTGTTCGCGTTTTCCGCGAACGTGATCTTAGGCCGCATTTTGACGTCGCAGTCTTGCAGTGATGGCAAAGAAATGTACAAAAAAGCGTGATGCACGTGGAAAGTCGTTTTTTGCCAATCTAAGCCTATTAGTATTGCTTTTTTACCGTTCTCGTTGTCGTTACCGTCGTCGTCGTCGTTGCTTAAGCCCTCTATTGTTCATAAACGTGTTTGCTTTGTTTCCAAGCGATGCTTTTTTCGACTTAGAACGCTCGGAGTATAAGTGTGGCCCGGAAGGCACCAACGCTTCGAAATGTATGCGTTTTCAAACGAAAACGTATTAGTGTGGACGGGTCCTAAACCTATTACTTTATTGACGTTTTTGTTGCCGTCACCGTCGTCGTTGCTTAATCCAGTTCCAGGACTATTTTTCATTCTCTCCTGGATAGTTTAAGATTGCGAAGTCAAGAAAAAAAAGTGGGGTGAAAAATCAGAAACTTGCCTATTGTCAGCAAGTTAGCTTGATATAGACTGCAAGCAGTCTTGAGTTTGCGTTGATGGAGAATGAGAGTACTTGCACGGTACTAATTGTTGTTATATTATTAACCTCAGTTACTTTCGGAGCGTTTCCCATAACAGAGCTCAGCCGCGCCGCGGATAGGTTTCTGTGCCTATGTGAACGGTTATTCATACGAGCTGATAATAACCTGTCCGGTATAGTGTATAAAGACATCACATTAGTCTCTGGTCGAGGGATAACAACATTTGGATTTGTGAGTGAATATGCCTAAGCCGCGTCCGCTAACACCTATTTCATTTTTTCTTCCTTTAAGACACTGTAGTTCCACCTTAATTTACATTAAAACATGTACAGCTAGTGCTAAGGGAAGATAATATTACACGTATTTTAATGATTAACGACTAATGTGAGCAATGAACTGAAGACAAGGCCAGCGACCTTTCGTTTTTGTAATAACATGCTTAACATCTCTCAGGTTAACACCTCGCTGCATGCGCTCTTAATTTCTTTCATTAGGTACAGAGAACATCACTAAGTGGTACAAGAGATGTTCGGTTAATTTCAGCGGAAAGATTCTCCAGCGGCAAGGGCACGGCACGTGAAGCACAGCCTGCTAACCATGACTCTTCGTATTCCCTCACTGATAAAGATGGCAGCCCTGGCACTGGAGTTAGCCCCAGCATTGATCATTCAACCTCTGCAAGGTAAGTGAAAAAAATTGACTTCGGCTTATTTGGATATTTTAAATCGCTGCTCAGTGACCTTTGTAACTCTATCGCTTTATGGTTGAATTATATTTGTTTTCATCAGATGCTTTTTTTATCATCTGTTTTTTTAGTTATTGATTTACATTTCTCCATTTTTCTATTTATTCATTTATTTATACAATCATTAGATGTTTTGTTACAATATTTTTGGGCACAATCGTTACTCTAGAGCGAATCAGGTGATTCCGGACTCGTTAATGTATTCTCTCAAATACTAGAGATTAAAACAACAGCTTTTTTTTCTTTTTTTCTGATTCTCCGATCGTTCAATGTGATGTCGTTGATAACGACGATGATCATAATTATCGTAAAACCTTATTTACTTCATTGGATAAATCCAATGGAAAGGGTTTACAGGAACAGTTGTGCTACCTAAATATTTATCAACTTAGGTCGGATAAAAGTCATAAAACAGGACCAAATTTTAATGCTGTGCTGACAAAGAGCAAGAGCAGTTTTCTCTCAATATTACTCTTTTTGTCCATATAATTAAAGAGGCAGCACTGTCAGGGTTCCTGCATAGAATTAGCCTCATTTAAAAAAACCTTTGTTAGACCAGACATCACATTCTTAAGTGTAATCGCCGTGTACTATTTGGCTGAAACAACACTATTAACATAGTAGCATTCAAATGCGAGTTTCCCGGCCAAATTTAATAAATGTGGCATTGTTTATTAAATTTCTGGTTAAGAGTGGGGAACTCGAGTTCGTAAAAGTGACAAATGACGAGGAAATTTTTCACCTACAAAAGCGGCTGAAAAATTCCATTGAGAAGGCCAGTTATGACACAAGCGCAGATCCTCTTCTTGAGTAACTCAACTGGAAACGGTTGGATACTCAGCGACAAATACAAGTGGCCACCATGGTCTATAAATCTATACATGGTCTTGCGCCCGACTATCTTGGTTCTCTTTTCACTAAATATAATCCACCTTATAATTTAAGGAACTCTGAAAACAAACTAGCTGTTCCATTGCCCCGCACCAATTTCTTGAAAAATAGCTTTAGCTATAATGGTGCGGTTATCTGGAACAGCTTGTCCCCTGAATTGCGGCAAGCAAAATCACTTAAATCTTTTCGAAATGGTTGTCGCGATTTCTTTGACTGAATCGATAAAACGCACACGGCATCTATGTAAAGCAGAATTTCTTTATTTTCTCTATTTTTACTATTTAAATTTTTAGATCATGTTTATATAGATTAAAGTAGATTGTAATTTTTCTTCTTATTATTATTTTATCTGATAGATTTACCGTGTTTAAATAAAAATAAAGTTCAAGTTCAAGTTCAAGTTCCACATTGATGAGTCTCGGCATCTTTAGAGAGCAAAAACATCCGCTGCATGACAAAGACTCAAAGTTTGAAACTCAAATCCAATGTCATTTTGTCCTCGTGAGCTATCATTCAGTTATACTTTTTACATGCATGACTAAAATTGAGATAAATTTGGAAATAAAACGAGATAATAGTGGGTAAAACAAGGTATGCTTCTCTTTTCGCACCATCACAAGCAAACTAATCGAAACTTCCGATTCCTAACCAGTAAAGTTTGAGTACTAGCATTTTGTATGATTATTTTATTTTAATTAACTGGTAACTGGTAGCAAAGTGTATATCTGGTTTATCTGTTTGTTTAAGTCTGACCGCATCATGTTTCAAACATTGATTCAAAAATATGGTTCAGCTAAACTGGTTTAAAGGACGGCGTTCTCCAAAAGCCAAATGGTACTTCGAGTTTACTAATCTACAAAAGCGAAAATTATCGTAATGTTCGCTTTATTATCTCAGATTTCCGATGGCTTAAGCTATCGAAAAAGGGTCGAAGAAAATGTAGTTACTTTTAAACATTTTTGTTTTTCTTCCGAGTCGCCTGTGTCACTGACTGAAAATCATCTTTCTCACTTTAAAACATGTTTGAAAAAAGCACTTTGGGCTACTGAACGTAGAAAGTAGCGCAGCTGTTATACATTGCTACTCTCCGATATTCACAGGGTGTTTCAAAAGTTCGTTCCGATTTTTTCTTTGCTCAAATTTCACTGATTATTAAAAATACCTTTTGCAAAACTTAGTATGTTATTCATTATTCATTTAACATTGAATAACCGAAATATCGCTAACCAGAATGTCCTTCTTTGTGTTTTCTGACATTTTCTAAGTGGTGAAGTATAGAATGTACGAGCTCCCAAAGTGTGTCTAAAGACACACTTTTCCAGGCGAAGCATAGTCACTGCCTTAGCTCGTCGAGTTATTTGGGGGCTGGTTCTTTGTATGTTAACTAGTCAACGATAATTTAGATGGTCTCCAGAGGGTTCACATCACGTGAGTTCGCTAGCCGGTCGCCCTTTGCTATAAAGTTTCCAAATCCTTCTGACATCATGTCTGCATGTGCGCCGCCTTTTTCTCTTCAAGGCAAGGCTTTCCAACCTTTGATGGTCATATATTTTCATACCGTTGTGCTCGAAACCTTGATATTGGGAATTTGAAGTTTTTTTTTTTACCTTTGTGTCGTGTAGATGTATTACGCATATACTTACAGTTTTTTCGATAACATTTCTCACACATTGAAAAAAAGACGGCCATACACTCCTTGTTTTGTCTTCTAAAGTCTTTACTTTCGACCACTTGTTCACTTTTATCATTCAGACTTTAGTCAAAAGTTTAACAATTTCTTTGACTGAATGGCCATAGAACCAAAAAAAATAGATGCCTCAGCTGTAGGGCAAACAGTGTAGGCCTTCATTTTCGTGACAGAGTGAAGAAAATTAAAGACAACGGAAAAAAGACGAAAATAGAAAACCTAAAAAATGGGTAAGAAAAATATGACGGGAAAAACCTCGCGTACGTGCACATTTGGGGCAAAACTTCAAAAATATTATAATTTCTTCAAATTTTAGTTTGAAATTGCTTTGAACGGTTATTTGGATAAATGTCTTACCTGAATCAGTTTACATTTGCCTAAAGGAGCATTAAATGCTTTGCGCAAAATACAATTTACAATCGGAACGAACTTTTGAAACACCCTGTATAAGTGCTCCCTTTAATCTAATCACTAATGAACTGACACATGCACTGATCTACTAACACATACCGGTGAAGACAAGGAAATTGTTGAGCGGGACATGTCTTTACAACATTCTCCCTCTTTAGCACTGAGTGCAACACACCGAAAATTGTGTGTTCTATGGTCATTGGGACGATCAGGATCAGGATCGACCATCCTAGATCACTCAGATCATGGTACATCAAATGAATCAATCAGTCCTTTCCCAGGGTGGATTCATCTGTTCCTTTGATGTGATGCCTATCCAGATCTTTCCAATAGGACATAAATTCAAACCCGTTGAATTTCATGTAAATTGTTTCTGGAACAGAATTTTCTCCGTGTATTGTCTATAGGGTACTTCGACTTGTCCGGCCTCAACAATATTGACTGGATTGTCTCCAAGTATGTCCCGGTGTCTTAGTTCGTAAGAAGATCTGAGTCACGTTGTTTCGTCTTTTTTTCTGATTTTATATACATTTCTGTTCTGGTGGGTTGTCAACAGGTCCAATGAGTTAGTGGATTATCTAAAGAAGAAGTTTGATACCGTGGATCAAAGCCTATCTGATTTGGAATGCAGTGTTAAGCACTCAGCCAAGAATTTCATGGACTTGAAATCCACTAAGAATGCTTTGGATGAGTACAAGGTAACAAAGCATCTTTTCTTCCAATGGAAGATTAAGATACCCCCACCCCTCCCGCTCCCTTAATATTAGGTGAATTTTGTATACCTTTTTCAAAAGTGACCTTTTTTGCAGATGTGATTTCAAGTTATGTAAATTGTATGTCCTCTATTTCTTTTTTTTAAAATAACCTATCATCATTCAATTTTGCAGTTACCATGCGACATATTTTCAACTTATTGTCTAAAGAAAGTGTGGCACCTGGATTTTGCGCAAAAAAGCACCGAAATCATCTGTTTTTCACCGATATTTCTATAAGGATACTCGTCTTTAGTAATAACTCCATTTGATAGATACGTATTTAGACTACAGGCTAATGTGTTCTGTGCCCATTCGCTATAGATGTCACCAAGGCAGCATTCACACTTGCTACCCGGCCACAGTGCACTAATGTGAACACACTTTTTTTTTAAGTACCTACGCTAGAATTCGGGCACGGTGCCGGTGCCTAAGTTAAGATTGATCCCTTGTACTCAGAGGCAAAAAGTGAGCACCGGTAACTTGTGTGCACATTTTTTTTGTACTTTTGAGGCAGTCCACTGCTTTGTACTCGCTGCTAAGATTACGTCTCAAAAATGGCGTTTAACTGGAAATAACTATGTACACAGTTACATATCGGGTACTCAGGGTGTGAACACAACACCATTTTGTACCTGTACCCAGGCACTGGTTCCCGGGCACCAAGTGCGGACAGGCCCATAGAAGCTGGATAATTTTCTTTTTATCTGATTCGTATCTCAGGAGGTACTCAACCATTTTACGTCAGTAGAATCTGACACATATCATGTTCTTGATGAAGGAAGACAATTGATAAAAGACGCACGCTTTGACAGAGCACATGGGGAATACTTTCATGATAGAATTGAAGTAACAGCCATAAGGATCAGAACTATTAAGGAAGATATTAACAGAGAGCATCAAAGGTATGCCCTATGTTCACTGCTTCTTAAGAGCCTTTTGTATCACACGTGTTGTAATCATCTCTGATAATTCCATCGTCGTTTCTTAGAAATGAGTTCAATAGTTTTTTTGTTTCAGGATATGACTTGTCTTCTTGCAGATGGCACTTAACTAGAGTATTAAACAAGTAACACAATTTTTCTTCTCTTGTTTTTCAGGTTGTTTGATCTATATCTTATTTTGCTAAGACAGCACTTGGAACGGATGAATGATTGGCTATTGCCAGCTGAGTCTCGAATATCATTGGATGATGTGATAGAACCAACCTATAAGAGAGTGCAACAGCAAGTCTGGGAGCATCAGGTACATGCATGTGTGATTACTACATAGGCGGTAAGGGAGAACATGCATGGTTAAAGGCCATCACGTAATGCCCAATTAAGACGAAGTACGTGATATTCATTCACTAAGTGATCCAATTCTCATACACTTGAAAGTGGCTTGCTCACAACTCACTTGTTTGAAAATAAAGGATACAGTGGTCTTCGCATTATGTACTGCATAGCAGTGAAACGTTTACTTTCACCAGGATTAATTGAATTATTAAAAATAACATAAGCCTTTGTCATCTGAGACTCTTGCTATTAAATATCTGAGATATCTCTAATTAAAATCTCTCTGATATTGATATAAATGTCTGTAATATGAAACTCACCAGTACATTTCTATAAACCTGTAGAGTGTAGTAAATTTGTTTATGAAGCTCCAGTTGAACGGTCAATTTTCTTAGAAAAAGACGCCGTTGAACCGGCGAAGTGTCTCCATCCAGGACGTTTGTGTCCCAAAAAAGGCAAGAAAATGATTGAAGATCAAAAGGGGGCCAATTTTACAATGTGGCCGTACGTGTCTTAAAGTTGTCCGTTAATAGGGAATTGACTGTGTGCTGCAGTTATATTATTATAAGTTGGCTATAAAATGGCTGCACAAATTTCATGTTTCTGCACTGCTGTTCTGTAGGTTTTTCAAGAAGAACTGTCAAATTACTCCATGGCAAACGTGATACTGGATATGGACTTGGAACACCCAGCTTTGGATGAAAACACAAGGGACTGGGTCAAGGTATTTTCAACATAAAAAAGCTGTATTGTTAGACCACATTCCACCCCTCCCCCCCTCCCTTCTCCCCCTGAGTACATTCAATACAGTGGGCTATACGGGAAAAATCCGCCCTACAGGAGTTCCTTTTTCAGGCTTCAGGTATATGAGGATTCATTAGTATAAAGGAAAGAAATTTTGTAAATTTGGTCTATATAAAGGAATAACATGTGCATTTTACGGCTGTGAATAACTCGAGTCTAGTGACATCTTAAAGAGGGTAAATTTACAGCGCTTAAGGTATGCGAAAGGAGTATCATTTGTCAATAGAAGGTGTACATAGGAAAGGGCAGATACCCTTTCCGCCAAAAATGAAGTATCACAGGGTGAGGTGTTGGACCTCAGGGCGTAGCCCCCTCTTATGAAACTTTGTTGAGTACCCGCCACGTTTGAAACACTATTTCACAAGCAGGTTTATAACTACAGGTATTAAGCGAGCGTTGGGCGGCTGTGTGGAACTGGGCGGAAGAGTGGAAGGAGAAGCTCAACCAGGCTCTTATTGTTTGGCAAAATTTACGTGAAGAAGAGGCTGCATTGCTTTCCTGGCTTGCAAGCAAAGAACAAACCTTTGAGTTAATTGGAGAAACAGATATCACCAATGAAGAACAAGTTACGATGCATTTAAACCTGTTCGAGGTAAGAACATTTCATTTTGGTTATCTGTAATCTTTATCGATTCTCGACCCTTCACATGAAAAACCCAAAGTCATTTTTCTTTTCGTGTCCTCTTCTTGAGGCCGAGTGAAATAGTCTTCGTTTAAAGAACCAAGAACTGATTTCAGAATTGTTTATGCCTTTAAAAAAACTTGGATGATTTTACATTTGGGGTGACCATCAAAAACTTTTCATGAAAAGAGGTTATTTGTGGAATAAAAGTCGAATGCCTTTGTTCACGTCATTATGAATAACAACAAAATAATGTTAAAATCTATAAAAAGTGGTTCCACACTTAAAAAGCTAGATGTTGCCAGTTTTTAAGAACGATTATCAACAATCTTTAATATAATTCATTTTCGCCAGTTAGAGGACGTTTCCACAGCCCCAGGTTATAAGTAATTGTTAAAAATTTTAAGTGCGACGGAACAGTGTTGCCTGATTTAGGGTTCACTTAACTAGCAGACTGAAATTGGCGCGTCTAATGCGTCCCTCTTCACTTTGTCTCTCAGACAATGGAAAAAGAAATGGAAAGCCGACAAGAGGAACGATTAGACTCATTGCGTGAGACCGGAGAAAAGCTGATCAAAGACGCTGAGTACCATGATGCGACAGCTAAGGGGATCCGTGACCAGGTGAATGACTTGTGCACTTGCTGGAAGGACATCACTGAATCGATTAAGGAAAGGAAAGCAATGGTAAGTGATGTGATTGGCCATTATAAAGTAACCGCAGAATTATCCTTTTTGTCATGCACATCATCATCATCATCATCATCATCATCATCATCGTCATCAACGTTATCATCATCGTGAAGTCGATCTGGATCTGCCTTTAATTTTTACGAGCATCCTTCACGTTTTCTTATCCAACCGACAGTCGATGAATGTTCTTACTACCGTGTGGCACGAAAGCGGAAGCCTATTTTTGATACGAGGATTGGCGATTGGCGTGATTTTTTGTGTTTTGCGGGAACTAAGTTTTGCGATTAGGTAAGATTGGTTTTTCTTACTGGAAGCTGGTTTTTTTGCGAAAGAAAGAAAGTCCCGGACAAATCATTGATAATATTTTCGTCCAGTTTTATTGATTACGTGCAATGGAAATACATATTTTAAAACAACACTACGTTTTGCGTACCTTATGTAAAACCAATAAAATAGACTACTTTTCTTTGTCGTTCGATTACAAAAACGAACAGGCACGACTACTTTATTTGCATTGTGCTTTTGTGTAGCGTATTTAAGTTAGAGGATATTTGCTCTGGAGTAAATTTTTGCTCGAAAAATCTTTGCGGTAATTTTTTTTTTTTTTCGCGGGAATTTATTTTGCGGATCGGTGGAAAAATCGCAAGCACCGCAAATATTAGAACCCGTAAAAATTTTGTGCCACGCTGTAATTTTGTGCCACGCTGTTTTTATGCTATTTAACGGTCAAACGGAACATAACTTAAACATTTCGGGTAGCTATGCAGCAATAGCCGGCAAACTTGCAGTGCTCAAACGACCGTAAAAAAACGTTCTGATGCCCTGTTTCAAAATGATTGCGTCCAGAGCAATACTGTATTGAGCTTAAGCGAGGCATTATGGATTGGTTTTCATACAGAGTAAATAATATAAGTCGAAAGCATAATCTCGGAACTATGACTAGATTGCTGTTTTCAGTTTGCTTGCTTGTTTTTTTTGTTTGTCTGTTCGTTTTTGTTGTTGTTATCGTTTTGTTCGTTGTTGTTGAAACCACAGGGCGTCCACACAATCTGTTTGTGTGATCGATTCTTATTTATAGTAAATGCCTTGGATTTACCGTTTGCTTCCTAGCTCTTCCTCTATAGCGATATATCGCTAAACATGTGTATAGATCAATGTTAAATAAATGTTGTGTTGCCTTACCTCCGGTATATTGTCGCCCTTTTCACTCAAAAGAGCTGTTTTGAGAGATTTGGAAGGATTTTGAGTTCGCCGTTTACTGTTCCTCTGAGGCAAAAGGACGACATTATTTTAAATTCTATTTCATTAACTTGGCAAAACAATAAGATAAGTGACACTACCAAAAAACAACAACAACAACAACAACAAAATGTACATATAATCACAGGAGTACAGGCGGGGACACTGCAACGGCGAGCGCCAATTACAAAAAATCAAAAACTAATCTAAAAACAACAGGTGATGTTAGATAGTATTGCAGTTTTTACATTTTTCTTAGCGATCTGTGTCTTGGGCCCGCGGTAATACCATACGCAAGGTAATATAACGTTTATTTAAGATTAACCTATATGCATATTTAGTGGTATATCGCCATAGATGAAGCAAACCGAAAATCCCTTACATTTACTATTAAATTACAACCGGTTACACGGGCGCCCTGTGTTCAAACATGGACTATTTTTTGTATTCTAGCTTCTGGAATCCCAAAACAAGGTGAAAAGAATGGGAATTTTAATGAAAGAAGTCAGAGCTTGGTTGGACGAGGCAGAAAAATTCATCAAGCTCGCTAGTTTGCAAGAGGATCCACAAAAAGAAACCGAGATACAAGAAAAGATTGAGGTCAGAACAAAGAGCTATAAAATAAGCTGACATTATTTTCAGTTACAGATTACAACTGCATCCAGTTTTTGCGTTAAGGTAGAATAACGCAACTAAAACGAATAATTCATAAAGAAGAAAATTAAAAGAAATTCATGTTTAATGAGTGTCTTTGTATCTGATAAAGACAAAGCTAAACTTTAAGTCCAATTTTTTAGACCAAAATAACCCAAAATCTAAATATTAGTGTAACAATGAGATTTTGAAGCCGTTCAATGAACTCGCAGTCGTTATTATCAGGTCTAAAAACACTCGGCTTCGCATGGAATTTATAACCCTGATTATACACCCCTGCTCGTTTTTGAAACAGTACTTGAAAACAGCAATACCATCACCGGGGGTACAAATCTTTGCTTCTAGTGGATTTGCACGTGGCTAATCTCGCTAGAACAGTGACTCCAATTGAATAGCCAAAAAGAAACAAAACAAATCAAATATACCAATATATATATAAACAAATCCAGGTAATTCACCGTTGGATCCAGAACAGTGCTCAACAATTAAGGAGCGGTTTAACAGTAAATAGACTACTCAATATGAGCACATATGGATTTTAATACAGGTCTGTTTCGTAGACCAACAAAAAGTTGATCCACTCATCAGTTAAACCCCATGCACACAGAAGCATCACAACGGTTAACACAGCAACATGATCGCGTGACATATTTTTGCGGTTGTCATGACAGAGGCGTTAGGGGTTCAACTGATGAGTGGATCAACTTTTTGTTGGTCTACGAAACAGACCTGTATTAAAATCCATATGTGCTCATATTGAGTAGTCTATTTATATATATATGTGCTCATATTGAGTAGTCTACATCTAAAGTTAACGCTTCATTAACGCGAATTTCATTTAAGTTGTGTTAATTTCTTGAAACGTTAATTTTCGCGCCTTTAATTAAGTGGAGAGTTATTCCCGCAACCTTTGTATTCATTATTTTGAATACACTTCTGACATTCTTGACGCCTAAGAAAGAGAAGTATTCTATCAGGGTGGAGATCCACCATTAACAGTGAAACATTGAAGAAGAACCCTTGAAGTGGCCAGATTTAATCCCTGGACCCCCTTTGGTACGTTTAAGGAAATTACTGCGAACATAGTTTCCATTTCAGATTATACCTTTAACTTTGTTTCTCTTGTCTCGAAGTTTTGTTTCTTTGCGAGCCTTCCGTTAATTTTGCGTGTTTTTTTTTCTTGTTGTTGTTGTTGTTACCCTCCCTTTCGCATTAAATTCTTTATAATTATGAAAGTCGCTTTCCACTAGATTCGCCTCAATTCCAGTCGCGTTAATTTCCAAGACCTTAATTTCATAAAGCGTTAATTTCCTATAATAAGGTACAAGGTCTACCTAGACTGCTCCGCAGACGAAAGTAAACTTCTGGTTAAGTATATGTCTGCGAAATAGCGCCAAAATCCTCGTTCTGGGCCTCCACCCAAATATCAAAATTTGAGAGCCCGCCATGACTGGCCTGTTAAAAATCTTGTTGTCGATTTGTCGGTCAAGGAAATTCGAAACGCATTTGCGGTAATTCGTTGAGTCCGAAAAGGCTCTGCTTCGCAGATGTTACTAACCGGAGTTGGATTACGTTTGGGACAAATGCTAGGTACACCGTATGTGAACATTCTCTGATCTATTATTTAAAATAGATTTATTTTTAGTTGCTCATTTACCTTGTTAATACCGCAAATACATTTTTTATTATCATCTCTGCAGATTGAATGCAAAGAAAGAGAAAAAAATCAGCCTAAGGTTGACGAAGTCAAAAGGCTGGAAGACTTGCTCAGCAGTGAAATCGACAAAAAGTCAAATTATTATTTGAAAAGAGTCACCAAGCCGTTCTACAAGAGGTGGAATGACGCTAGTATGGCCCTTAACAGATATCGCAATGAAGACTACCCGTTTGTCAAACCCAACGATTGCTCCGTACTTTTTAGATACATGAATCAAATTGAAATCAATTTGGAAGGGAAACGAGATAATAGTGGGTAAGGCAAGGTTTGCTTCTCTTTTCGCACTATCACAAGCAAACTGAACTATTAATCGAAACTTCAGAGTTCATAACCAGTAAAGTTTGAGTACTAGTATTTTGAATGATCACTTTATTTTAATTAGCTGGTAACTAGTGGCACAGTGTATATGTGGTTTATCCATTTGTTTACTGAGTCTGACCGCATCATGTTTCAAACATGTATTCAAAAACATCGTTCAGCTATTCATTGCCACTCTCCGATATATATGAGTACCTTATTTAATCTAATCACTTATGAACTGACACATGCACTGATATACTAACACATACCGGTGAAGACCATGAAATGGGACATGTCTTTACAGCTGCTCCCTCTTTAGCACTGAGTGGAGCACACGGAAAATTTAAGGGCGTGTTCCATTCCATGGTCATTGGGACGATCAGGATCAGGATCGACCATCCTAGATCACTCAGATCATGGTACATCAAATGAGTCAATAAGTCCTTTCACAGGGTGGATTCATCGGTTCCGTTGATGTGATGCCTATCCAGATCTTTCCAATGGAACACACACAGATTCCTTTTACTTTGTCGCCACTTAATAGAACATGAATTCAAACTCGTTGAATTTCATGTCAACTGTTTCTAAAACAGAATTTTGTCCGTGTATTGTCTATCGAGTACTTCCACTTGTCTGGCCTCAATGATACTGACTGGATTGTCTCCAAATATGTCCCAGCGTCTTAGTTAGTAAGATGATCTGAGTCACCTTGTTTCGTCTTTTTTTTTCTGATTTCATTCTGGTGGGTTGTCAACAGGTCCAATGAGTTAGTGGATTATCTAAAGAAGAAGTTTGATACTGTGGATCAAAGTCTATCTGATTTGGAATGCAGTGTTAAGAACTCAAACAAGGATTCCATGGACTTGAAATCCACTAAGAATGCTTTGGATCAGCACAAGGTAACAAAGCTTCTTTTCTTCCAATAGAAGTCTAGGATACCCCCACCCCTCCCCCTCCCTTAATGTTAGGCGAATTTTGTTTCTCTATTTGAAAAATGACCTTTTTTGCAGATGTGATTGCAAGCTATGCGAAATTAAATGTCATCTATTTCTCCTTTTAATAACCTATCATTGTTCAATTTCGCAGTTACCATGCGACATATTTTGCAACTTATTTGTCCAAATAAAGCGTGGCACCGGGATTTAGCGCGAAAAAGCACTGAAATTATGTGTTTTTTACCGATATTTCTAGAATGGTCGCTGCTCGTCGTTAGTAATAAATCCATTTGATAGTTTACAGACTAATGTGTTCTGTTCCCATTCGCTATAAATGTCACTAAGGCAGCATTCAAAGTTCGTACCCGGGCACATTGCGCTAATGTGAACACAACCTTTTTTGAAGTACCTACGCTAGAATTCAGCCACGGTGTCGGTGCCTAAGTTAAGATGGAGCCCTTGTACTCAGGCGAAAAAGTGAGCACCCGTTACTTGTGTGCACACTGTTTTTGTAATTTTGAGGCAGTCCACTACTTTGTTTTCGCTGCTAAGCTTCAACTCAAAAATGGCTTCTGACTGGAATTAACTATATACACAGTTACATATCGGGTACCCATGGTGTTAACACAACACCATTTTGTACCTGTACCCAGACACTGGTTTCCGAAAACACATAGACTAGACAGCCCCATAGAAGTTGGTTAATTTCTTTTTTATCTGATTCGTATCTCAGGAGGTACTAAACCATTTTACGTCAGTAGAATCTGACACATATGATGTTCTGGAGGAAGGAAGGCAATTGATAAAAGACACACGCTTTGACAGAGCACATGGGGAATACTTTTATGAAAGAATTGAAGTAACAGTCATAAGGATAACAACTATAAAGGAAGACATTAACAGAGAGCATCAAAGGTATCGGCCGTGTTCACTGCTTTCCTAGGAGCCAAATTTGGATTACACGTGTTGTAACCATCTGTGATAATACCATCGTCGTTCCGTAGAAATGAGTCCAATAGTTTTTTGTTGTAACTTAACTAGGATATTAAACAAGTAACACAAGTTTTGTTCTCCTGTTTTCCAGGTTGTTCGATCTATATCTTATTTTACTAAGACAACACTTGGAACGGATGAATGATTGGCTATTGCGAGCTGAGTCTCGAATATCACTGGATGATGTGATAGAACCAACCTATAAGAGAGTGCAACAGCAAGTCTGGGAGCATCAGGTACATGCTTGTGTGTTTACTACATAGGCGGTAGGGGAGAACATGCATGATCACAGGCCATCACGTAATGCCCAATTAAGACAGTACGTGATACGTGACCCAATTCTCATACACTTCAAAGTGGCTTGCTCACAACTCACTTGTTTGAAAATAAAGGATACACTGGTCTTCGCATTATGTAGTGCATAACAGTGAAACGTTTACTGTCAACAGGATTAATTAAATTAGTAACAATAACATATGCCATTGTCATTTGAGACTCTTGCTATTAAATATTTGAAATATGTCTAATCAAAATCTCTCTGATATGAATATAAAGGTCTGTAATATTAAACTCACCAGTACATTTCTATAATCTTGTAGAGTGTAGTAAATTTGTTACGGAGCGCCAGTTGTGCGGTCAATTCTATTAGGAAAACGACACCTTTGAAACGGGCGAAGTTTCGCCATTTTGGAGGTGTCTGTCCCAAAGAGGCAAGGAAATGATTGAGGATCAACCGGGGGCCAATTTTACAATGTGGCCGTACGTGTCAATACCAGGAAGCTCTCGGTCTTGGGAATTGACTGTGTCTTGACGTTATATTATTATAAGTTGGCTATAAAAAAGCTCCACGAATTTCATGAATTTCTCCACTGCTGTTCTGTAGGTTTTTCAAGAAGAACTGTCAAATTACTCGATGGCAAACATGATGCTGGATATGGACTTAGAACACCCAGCTTTGGATGAAACCATAAGGGACTGGGTCAAGGTATTTTCAACATAAAAAAGCTCTATTTTTGCACCACATCTCCCATCCCCCCTCTCCTGGGTACACTCAATATAGTGGCCTATACGGGAAAGCTCTGCCCTAAAGGAGTACCTTTTCCAGGCTTCAGGTATATGAGAGGGTTGTTTAGTATAAGGGAAGGAAATTTTGTAAATTTGGTCTATATAAAGGAATAACAAATGCATTTTACGGCTGTAAATAACTCGAGTCTAGTCATATCTTAAAGAGAGTACATTTACAGTGGTTAAAAGGGATACAAAATTCTTAAAACTAGGTATGTGAAAGGCGGCTAATTGTTTTAGTATAAATACGTTGATGATTATTCGAGAAAATAAAATTATTGATCAATTTCTGACTCCGAAACATCAACAAATCTTCCTGCCATTTTGAAAACTGCCAGCCTTCAATGTTATAATCACCGCGCGGTGATTATAGCAGGATAAAGCAAAGCTCCTAGCCAGTCACAGCGCTCTATTTTCGATAATCATCAATGTAATTATAATAATTGTCAATAGAAGGTATACATACGAAAGGGAAACCTTTTCTGCCAAAAATGAAGTATCAAAGAGTAAGGGGTTGGACCTCGGGGCGGAGCCCCTTCTTATAAACCTTTGCTGCGTACCCGCCAGGTTTAAAACACTATTTCACTGGCAGGTTTATAACTAGGAGGAAACTTTCCATTCTATTGCGGCCATACAGGTATTAAGAGAGCGTTGGACGGTTGTGTGGAACTGGACGGAAGAGTGGAAGGAGAAGCTTAACCAGGCTCTAATTGACTGGCAAAATTTACGTAAAGAAGAAGCTGCCTTGCTTTCCTGGATTTCAAGTAAAGAACAAACCTTAGATTTGATTGGAGAAACAGATGTCACCAACGAAGAACAAGTTACGATGAATTTAAATCTGCTCGAGGTAAGAACATTTCATTTCAGTTATCAGTAATTTCTATCAATTCTCGACCCTTCACATGAAAAACCCAAAGAAACGGTGATAATTTCATGCCTTTGATGCTTATTAATTCCTAAGGTCATTTTTCTTTTCTTGTCCTCCTCTTGAGGCCGAGTGAAATACTCTTCGTTTAAAGAACAAAGAACTGATTGAAGAAATGTTTAATTAAAAAAACTTGGATGATTTTACAACTGGGGTGACCATCAAAAACTTGTATAGAAAGCATGTTATTTGTGGAAGAAAAACGAAGTCGAATACCTTTGTTCACGCCATTATGAATATCAAGAAAATAATGTTAGAATCTATAAAAAGTGGTTCCACTCTTAAAAAGATGTTGCCAGTTTTCAAGAACGATTATAAACAATCCTTAAATATAATTCATTTTCGTCAGTTAGGAGACATTTCCACAGCCCCAGGTTATTACAATATCGGTATAAGTAATTGTTAAAAGTGCGACGGAACAGTCTCGCCTGATTTAGGGTTCACTCAACTAGCATAAGAAATCGGCGGGTCTAATGCGTCCCTCTTCACTTTCTCTCTCAGACAATGGAAAAAGAAATGGAAAGCCGACAAGAGGAACGATTAGACTCATTGCGTGAGACCGGAGAAAAGCTGATCAAAGACGCTGAGTACCATGATGCGACAGCTAAGGGGATCCTTGACCAGGTGAATGACTTCGGCACTTGCTGGAAGGACATCACTGAATCGATTAAGGAAAGGAAAGCAATGGTAAGTGATGTGATTGGCCATTATAAAGTAACCGCGGAATTATCCTTTTTGTAATGCACATCATCATCATCATCATCATCGTTATCATCATCGTGAAGTCGATCTGAATCTGCCTTTAATTTTTACGAACATCTTCACCTTTTCTTATCCAACCGACAGTCGATGAATGTTCTTACTACCGTGTGGCACGAAAATTTTTGCGGACGTTCATTTTTGAGGATTGGCGATTGATGCGATTTTTTGTATTTTGCAGGAACTAATTTTTGCGTTTAGAACTGATTTTTGCAAAAGAAAGAAAGAAAGTCCCGGACAAATCATTGATAATATTTTCGTCCGTTTTTTTTTTTTTTTTTTTTTTGTACTTGCAATGGAAATACATAGTTTAAAACAACACTATGTTTTTCGTACCCTGTGTAAAACGTATAAAATAGGTTACTTTTCTTTGTCATTCGATTACAAAAACGAACAGACACGACTTCCTTATTTGTACTGTATTTTTGTGTAGCGAATTTAAGTTCGAGAATATTTACTCTGAAGTAAATTTTCGCGGGAAAAATGTTTACAGTATTTATTATTATTATCGTTATTATTATTTTGTTATTATTATTTTTTTTTTTGCCGGAACCTATTTTAGCGGATCGCTGGAAAAATCGCAAACATTAGAACCCATAAAAATTGTGGGGCCACTCGGTAGTCTGATTATGCTTCTACCTGATTTAACGGTTAAACGGAACATAATTTAACTGTTCGGGTTGTAGCCATGTAGTAATAGCCGGTCAACCTCCAGTGCTCAAACGACCGTAAAATAACGTTCTGATGCCCAGTTTCAAAATGATTTCTTTTAAGCATTATTTAAGATTGCGTCCAGAACAATACTGTATTGAGGTTAAGCGAGGCATTATGGATTGGTTTTCATACATAGTAAATAATATAAGTCGAAAGCTTAATATAACCTCGGAACTATGACTAGACTGCTGTTCTTGAATTTTTGTTTGTCTATTCGTTTCGTTTGTTGTTGTCGTTTTGTTCGTTGTTGTTGAAACCACAGGGAGTCCAGACAATCTGTTTGTGTAACCGATTTTTACTCTATAGTAAATGTATTGTATTTACCGTTTGCTTCCTCTATTGCGATATATTGCTGAACATGTATATTGGTCAATGTTAAATACATAGCGTTGCCTCACCTTCGGTATATTGTCGCACTTTTCACTCGAAAGAGTGATTTCGAGCGATTTGGAAGGATTTTGAGTTGGCCGTTTACTGTTCCTCTGAGGTAAAAGGACGACAATATACCGCAGGTAAGGTAATATAACGTTTATTTAAAGGGAACCTCCACTTCAACAAAAAGATAACTTTAAATCACAGGAAATAAATGTTACAGTCAAGTCAATCTAAAATATTTTTAAAGAAAGCGTTTGTATCCGAAAGAAATAACTTTTAGCTTCGCCTATTTTTGTTTTCAAATTTTGCGGGCGTCGCCATCTTGAATAATTGTGACGTGTAATGGTTGCCCCATTGTTATTAAACAAAAGCTCTTTGTGTCAGAACAACAGAGCAACCATTACACGTCACAATTAGTCAAGATGGCGGCGCCCGCGAAATTTGAAAGTGAAAATAAGCGATTTTAAAATTCACTTTTCCTGCTATAAACACTTTTTTTAAGACAAATTTCGAACAAATTTGTTTATCAACATAATTTTATTCGATTTAAACTTATTCTGTAGTAAGAGTGGAGGTTCCCTTTAACATTGACCTATATACATATTTAGTGGTATACCGATATAGACGACGAAGCAAACAGAAAATCCGTTACATTTACTATAACATTACAATCGGTTACACAAACAGGTTGTGTGGGAGCCCTGTGTTGAAACATGGACTGTTTTTGTATTCTAGCTTCTGGAAGCCCAAAACAAGGTGAAAAGAATGGGAATTTTAATGAAAGAAGTCAGAGCTTGGTTGGACGAGGCAGAAAAATTCATCAAGCTCGCTAGTTTGCAAGAGGATCCACAAAAAGAAACCGAAATACAAGAAAAGATTGAGGTCAGAATAAAGTGCTATAAAATAAGCTGACATTATTTTCAGTTACAGATTACAATTGCATCCAGATTCTGCGTTAAGGTAGAATAACGCAACCAGAAACTGATTCCTAATTCATAAAGAAAAAAATCAACAGAAATTCATGTTTAATGAGCGTCTTTATATCTGATAAAGACACGGCTAAACTTTACGTCCAATTTTTTGGACCAAAATAACCCCAAATCTAAATATTAATGTTAGAATGAGTTGATCTTTATTACAGAGATTTTGAAGCCGTTCAATAAACTCGCAGTCGTGTATTATGAGGTCTAAAAACACTCGGCTTCGCCTCGAATTTATGAACCTGACTATACACCCCTGCTCGTTTATGAAACAGTACTTGAAAACAGCAATACCTTTACCAGGGGTACAAATCTTTGCTTTTAGTGGATTTGCACGTGGCTAATCTAGCAAGAACAGGGACTCCAGCTGAATAGCCACAAGAAACAAAACAAATGAAAAATACCATATACCATTATAAGTTAACGCTTTATGAAATTAAGGCGAATTTCATTTAAGTTGTGTTAATTTCTTGAAACGTTAACTTCCGCGCCTTTAATTAAGTGGACAGTTGTTCCCGCGGCCCTTAATTTTATTATTTTGGATAAATTTCTGACATTGTTGACACCTAGAGTATTCTAGAGTATTCTATCAGGGTGGAGATGCACCAGTAACAGTGAAACTTTGAAGAACCCTTGAAGTAGCCAGATTTAATCCCTTGACTCTCTTCGTACGTTTAAGAAATTACCACGAACAAAGTTTCCATTTCAAATTTTACGTTTAACTTTGTTTTGTCTTGTCTCGAAGTTTTGTTTGTTCGAGAGCGTTGGTTAATTTTGCGTTTTTTTTTTTTTTTTTTTTTTTTTTTTACCCTCCCTTTCACATTAAATTCTTTATATGAAAGTCCTTTTTCACTAGATTCGCCTTAATTCAAGTCGCGTTAATTTCCAAGACCTTAATTTCATGGAGTGTTGATTTCCTATAATGAGGTATAAGGTCTACCTAGACTGCTCCGCAAACGAAACTGAACTTCTGGTTAAGTCTGTCTGCGAAATAGCGCCAAAATCCTCGTTCTGGGCCCCCACCCAAATACCATCATTTGAATACCAGCCATGACTGGCCTGTTAAAAATCTTGTTGTCGATTTGTCGGTCAAGGAAATTTGAAACGTATTTGCGGTAATTCGTTGAGTCCGAATAGGCTCTGCTTCGCACACGTTACTAACCAAAGTTGGATTACGTTTAGGACGTAGGCTAGGTACACCATATGTGAACATTCTTTGATCTATTATTTAAAAAAGCTTTTTTAGTTGCTCATTTCCTTTATTAATACCGCAAATACTTTTTTTTATTATCATCTCTGCAGATTGAATGCGAAGAAAGAGAAAAAAATCAGCCTAAGGTTGACGAAGTCAAAAGGCTGGAAGACTTGCTTAGCAGTGAAATCGACAAAAAGTCAAATTATTATTTGCAAAGAGTCACCAAGCCGTTCTACAAGCGGTGGAATGACGCTAGTATGGCCCTTAACAGATATCGCAATGAAGACTACCCGTTTGTCAAACCCAACGATTGCTCCGTACTTTGTAGATACGTGACTCAAATTGGGAACAATTTGGAAGGGAAACGAGATAATAGTGGGTAAGACAAGATTTGCTTCTCTTTTCGCACCATCACAAGCAAACTAACCCAGTAATGGAAACTTCAGAGTTCATAACCAGTAAAGTTATGAGTACTTTATTTTAATTAGCTGGTAACTAGTGGCACAGTGTATATGTGGTTTATCCATTTGTTTAAGTCTGACCGAAACATGTTTCAAACATGTATTCAAAAATATGGTTCAGCTATTCGATTCGTAAACTAGTTTAAAGGACGGCGTTCTCAGAAAGCCAAATGGTACTTCGAGTTCTTCGAGTACTTCGAATGTTCGCTTTATTATCTGAGGTTTCCAATCAATTAAGCTCAGATCAAAAAAGCGTCGAAGAAAATGTAGTTACTTTCAAACATTTTTTTTTCCTTCCGAATCGCCTATGTCACTGACTAAAAAATCATCTTTCTCACTTTAAAACATGTTTGAAAAAAGAACTTTGGGCTACTGAACGTAGAAAGTAGCGCAGTTGTTATACATTGCTATTCTCCGATATATATGAGTACTTCATTTAATCTAATCACTATTGAACTGACACATGCACTGATATACTAACACATACCGGTGAAGACCAGGAAATTGTTGAACAGGACATGTCTTTACAACATGCTCCCTGTTTAGGACTGAGTGCAGCACACGGAAAATTTAAGGGTGTGTTCCATGGTCATTGGGACGATCAGGATCAGGATCGACCATCCTAGATCACTCAGATCATGGTACATCAAATGAATCAATCAGTCCTTTCCCAGGGTGGATTCATCGGTTCCGTTGATGTGATGCCTATCCAGATCTTTCCAATGGAACCCACACAGATTCCTTTTACTTTGTCGCCACTTAATAGAACATGATATCAAACTCGTTGAATTTCATGTTAACTGTTTCTGGAACAGAATTTTCACGTGTATTGTCTATCGAGTACTCCCACTTGTCTGGCCTCAATGATATTGACTGGATTGTATCCAAATATGTCCCGGCGTCTTAGTTCGTAAGGCGATCTGAGTCACGTTGTTTCGTCTCCTTTTTTTTTTCTGATTTTATATACATTTCTGTTCTGGTGGGTTGCCAACAGGTCCAATGAATTAGTGGATTATCTAAAGAAGAAGCTTGATACCGTGGATCAAAGCCTATCTGACTTGGAATGCAGTGTTAAGCAATCGGCCAAGAATTTGATGGACTTGAAAGCCACTAAGAATGCTTTGGATCAGCACAAGGTAACAAAGCATCTTTTCTTCCAAAGAAGTTCAAGATGCCCCCACCCCTCCCCCTCCCTAAATGTTAGGCGAATTTTATTTAGCTATTTGAAAAAAGACCTTTTTTTGCAGATATGATTGCAAGCTACTATATACACGAAATTAAATGTCATCTATTTCTCCTTTTAATAACACCTGCATCGTCCAATTTCGCAGTTACCATGCGAGATATTTTGCAACTTATTTGTCCAAATAAAGCTTGGCACCTGTATTTTGCGCGAAAAAGCACACAAATCATGTGTTTTTCACCGATATTTCTAGAAAGGTCGCTGGTTGTCGTTAGTAATAAATCCATTTGATAGTTTACAGACTAATGTGTTCTGTGCCCCTTCGCTATAAATGTCGCTAAGGCAGCATTCAAAGTTCGTACCCGGGCACATTGCACTAATGTGAACACAACCTTTCTTGAAGTACCTACGGTAGAATTCGGGCACGGTGCCGGTGCCTAAGTTAAGATTGAGCCCTTGTACCCAGGCGAAAAAGTGAACACCGGTAACTTGTAAGCACACTGTTTTTGTACTTTTGAGGCAGTTTACTGCTTTGTTCTCGCTACTAAGATTCAAATCCAAAATGGCGTCTGACTTGAATTAACTATGTACACAGTAACATATCGGGTACTCATGGTGTGAACACAACACCATTTTGTACCTGTACCCAGACACTGGTTTCCGAAAACACAAAGACTAGACAGCCCCATAGAAGCTGGTTAATTTTCTTTTTGTCTGATTCGTATCTCAGGAGATACTTAGCCATTTTACGTCAGTAGAATCTGACACATATGATGTTCTGGAGGAAGGAAAGCAGTTGATAAAAGACACACGCTTTGACAGAGCACATGGGGAATACTTTTATGATAGAATTGAAGTAACAGTCATAAGGATAACAACTATTAAGGAAGATATTAACAGAGAGCATCAAAGGTATGCCCTATGTTCACTGCTTCCTAAGAGCCAAATTTGTATCACACGTGTTATAACCATCTGTGATAATACCATCGTCGTTCCGTAGAAATGAGTCCAATACTTTTTTGTTGTAAAATATGACTTTTCTTCTTGCAGATGGCACTTAACTAGGATATTAAAAAAATAAAACAATTTTTGCCCTCCTGTTTTTCAGGTTGTTCGATCTATATCTTATTTCACTAAGACAACAGTTGGAACGGATGAATGATTGGCTATTGCGAGCTGAGTCTCGAATATCACTGGATGATGTGATAGAACCAACCTATAAGAGAGTGCAACAGCAAGTCTGGGAGCATCAGGTACATGCATGTGTGATTACTACATAGGCGGTAAGGGAGAACATGCATGATCGCAGGCCATCATATAATGCCCAATTAAGACAAAGTACGTGATATTCACTCACTAAGTGACCCAATTCTCATGTACTTCAAAGTACAGTGGCTTGCTCACAACTCAGTTGTTTGAAAATAAAGGATACACTGGTCTTCGCATTATGTAGTGCATAGCAGTGAAACGTTTACTTTCACTAGGATTAATTGAATTAGTAACAGTAACATATCCCATTGTCATTTGAGACTCTTGCTATTAAATATTTAAAGTATCTCTAATCAAAATCTCTCTGATATTAATATAACTGTCTGTAATATTAAACTCACCAGTACATTTCTATAAACCTGTAGAGTGTAATAGATTTGTTTGCAGAGCTCCAGTTGTGGGGTCAATTCTCTTAGGAAAAGGACGCCGTTGAAACAGGCGAAGCTTCGCCGTCTTGGAGGTGTCTGTCCCAAAAAAAGGCAAGGAAATGATTGAAGATCAGCCGGGGGCCAATTTTACAATTGTTCCGTGCGTGCCCATACCAGGAAGCTCTCGGTCTTTTAAAGTTGTCCGTTAATATGGAATTGACTGTGTCTTGACGTTATATTATTATAAGTTGGCTATAAAAAAGCTGCACGAATTTCGTGTTTCTCCACTGCTGTTCTGTAGGTTTTTCAAGAAGAACTGTCAAATTACTCGATGGCAAACGTGATACTGGATATGGACTTGGAACACCCAGCTTTGGATGAAAACATAAGGGACTGGGTCAAGGTATTTTCAACATTGTATTGTTGGACATTGTATTGTTGGAGCACACCCTCTCCCCCCACCCCTTCCCTGGAGGGCACTCTCTATTGTGCCTATACGGGAAGGATCCGCCCGAAAGAAGTACCTTTTTCTGGCCTCAGGTATTTTAGAGGATTCATTAGTATAAGGGAAGGGAATTTTGTAAATTTGGTCTATAAAGAACACCCAGCTTTGGATGAAACCATAAGGAACTGGGTCAGGGTATTTTCAACATTAAAAAGCTGTATTGTTGCACCTCATCCCAATATAGTGGCCTATACGGGAAAGCTCTGCCCTAAAGGACTACCTTTTCCAGGCTTCAGGAATATGAGAGGGTTGTTTAGTATAAGGGAAGGGAATTTTGTAAATTTGGTCTATATAAAGGAATAACATATGCATTTTACGGCTGTAAATAACTCGAGTCTAGTCATATCTTAAAGAGAGTAAATTTACAGCGATTAAAAGGGATGCAAAGTTCTTAAAACAAGGTATGTGAAAGGAGTATTATTGAACAATAAGTCGCCGAAGGCTACGTGAATATCGGCGAATAGTCACCTAACGGTGAAAAGTCACCTATCGGCAAATAGTCACCTCGACTTCGCCTAGGTGACTATTCGCCCATTTTCACGTCGCCTGAGGCGACTAATTGTTTTAGTATAAATACATTGATGATTATTCGAGAAAATAAAATTATTCATCAATTTCTGACTCCAAAACATCAACAAATCTTCCTGCCATTTTGAAAACTGCCAGCCTTCAATGTTATAATCACCGCGAGGTGATTATAGCAGGATAAAGCAAACCTCCTAGCCAATCACAGCGCTCTATTTTCGATTATCATCAATGTAATTATACTAATTGTCAATAGAAGGTATAAATACGAAAGGGATACCCTTTCTGCCAAAAATGAAGTATCAAAGAGTAAGGGGTTGGACCTCGGGGCGGAGCCCCCTCTCATAAAACTATTTCACCGGCAGGTTTATAACTAGAAGGAAACTTTCCATTCTTTTGCGGCCATACAGGTATTAAGCGAGCGTTGGGCGGTTGTGTGGAACTGGGCGGAAGAGTGGAAGGAGAAGCTTAACCAGGCTCTAACTGACTGGCAAAATTTACGTGTAGAAGAAGCTGCCTTGCTTTCCTGGCTTTCAAGTAAAGAACAAACCTTTGATTTGATTGGAGAAACAGATATTACCAACGAAGAACAAGTTACGATGAATTTAAATCTGCTCGAGGTAAGAACATCTCGTTTCAGTTATCAGTAATTTATATCGATTCTCGACCCTTCACATGAAAAACCCAAAGAAACGGTGATAATTTCATGCCTTTGATGCTTATTAATTCCTAAGGTCATTTTTCTTTTCGTGTCCTCTTCTTGTGGCAGAGTGAAATACTCTTCGTTTAAAGAACCAAGAACTGATTGAAGAAATGTTTATGTCTTTAAAAAAACTTGGATGATTTTACAACTGGGGTGACCATCAAAAACGTTTAATGAAAGCATGTTATTTGTGGAATAAAAACGAAGTCGAATGCCTTTGTTCACGCCATTATAAATAACAAGAAAATAATGTTACAATCTATAAAAAGTGGTTCTACTCTTAAAAAGATGTTGCCAGTTTTCAAAAACGATTATCAACAATCCTTAAATATATTTCATTTTCGTCAGTAAGAACAGGTTTCCAAAGCACCAGGTTATAAAAATATCGGTATAAACAATTGTGAAAAATTTTAAGTGCGACAGAACAGTCTCGCCCTATTTAGGGTTCACTTAACTAACATAAGAAATCGGTGCGTCTAATGTGTCCCTCTTCACTTTGTCTCTCAGACAGTGGAAAAAGAAATGGAAAGCCGACAAGAGGAACGATTAGACTCACTGCGTGAGAATGGAGAAAAGCTGATCAAAGACGCTGAGTACCATGATGCGACAGCTAAGGGGATCCGTGACCAGGCGAATGACTTCGGCACTTGCTGGAAGGACATCACTGAATCGATTAAGGAAAGGAAAGCAATGGTAAGTGATGTGATTGGCCATTATAAAGTAACCGCGGAATTATCCTTTTTGTAATGCACGTCATCATCATCATCGTTATCATCATCATCATTATCATCATCATAAAGTCGATCTGGATCTGCCTTTAATTTTTACGAACATCCTTCACCTTTTGTTATCCAACTGACAGTCGATGAATGTTTTTACTACCGTGTGGCACGAAACTTTTTGCGGAAGTTTATTTTTGAGGATTGGCGATTGACGTGATTTTTTTGTATTTTTCAGGAACTAATTTTTGCGTTTAGCACAGATTGGTTTTTCTTACTGGGGACTGATTTTTTTGCAAAAGAAAGAAAGAAAGTCCCGGACAAATCATTGATAATATTTTCGTCCGTTTTTTTTTTGAGTACGTGCAATGGAAATACATAGTTTAAAACAACACTACGTTTTGCGTACCCTGTGTAAAACGAATAAAATAGGTTACTTTTCTTTGTCATTCGATTACAAAAACGAACTTCTTTATTTGTACTGTATTTTTGTGTAGCGAATTTAAGTTCGAGAATATTTACTATGAAGTAAATTTTTGCGGGAAAAATGTATACAGTATTTATTATTATTTATTTTTTTGCCCGACCTTTTTTTTTGCGGATCGCTGGAAAAATCGCACACAGTAGTCTGATTTATGCTTCTACCTGATTTAACGGTTAAACAGAAAATAATTTAAATGGTCGGGTTGTAGCCATGTAGCAATAGCCGGTCAACCTCCACTGCTCAAACGACCGTAAAATAACGTTCTGATCCCCTGTTTCAAAATGATTTCTTTTAAGCATTTAAGATTTCGTCCAGAACAATACTGTATTGAGGTTAAGCGAGGCATTAAGGATTGGTTTTCATACATAGTATATAATATAAGTCGAAAGCTTAACCTCGGAACTATGACTAGATTGCTGTTCGTGAATTTTTGTTTGTTTGTTCGTTTCTTTTGATGTTGTCGTTTTGTTCGTTGTTGTTGAATTGAAACCACAGTGGGTCCACACAATCTGTTTGTGTAACCGATTTTTACTCTATAGTAAATGTATTGTATTTACCGTTTGCTTCCTCTATTACCATATCTTGCTAGACATGTATATCGGTCAATGTTAAATAAATGTTGCATTGCCTTACCTTCGGTATATTGTCGCACTTTTCACTCAAAAAAGTTATTTCGAGCGATTTGGAAGGATTTTGAGTTAGCCGTTTACTGTTCCTCTGAGGCAAAAGGACGACAATATACCGCAGGTAAGGTAATATAACGTTTATTTAACATTGACCTATATACATATTTAGTGGTATACCGATATAGTCGAAGCAAACGGAAAATCCCTTACATTTACTATAAAGTTACAATCGGTTACACAAACAGGTTGTGTGGGAGCCCTGTGTTGAGACATGGACTGTTTTTGTATTCTAGCTTCTGGAAGCCCAAAACAAGGTGAAAAGAATGGGAATTTTAATGAAGGAAGTCAGAACTTGGTTGGACGAGGCAGAAAAATTCATCAAGCTCGCTAGTTTGCAAAAGGATCCACAAAAAGAAACCGAGATACGAGAAAAGATCGAGGTCAGAATAAAGTGCTATAAAATAAGCTGACATTATTTTCAGTTACAGATTACAACTGCATCCAGTTTTTGCGTTAAGGTAGAATAACGCAACCAAAAACTAATTCATAATTCGTAAAGAAAAAAATCAACAGAAATTCATGTTTAATGAGTGTCTTTATCTGATAAAGACACGGCTAAACTTTACGTCCAACGTTTTAGACCAAAATAACCCCAAATCTAAATATTAATGTTAGAATGAGTTGATCTTTATTACAGACATTTTGAAGCCGTTCAATAAACTCGCAGTCGTGTATTATCAGATTTAAAAACACTCGGCTGCGCCTCAAATTTTTAAACCTGACTATACACCCCTGCTCGTTTTTGAAACAGTACTTGAAAACAGCAATACCCTTACCAGGGGTATAAATCCTTGCTTTTGGTGGATTTGCACGTGGCTAATCTAGCTAGAACAGGGACTCCAGCTGAATAGCCACAAAAAACAAAACAAATAAAAAATAACATATTATCTGAAGTTAACCCTTCATGAAATTAACGCGGATTTCATTTAAGTTGTGTTAATTTCTTGAAACGTTAACTTCCGCGCCTTTAATTAAGTGGAGAGTAATTCCCGCGACCCTTTATTTTCATTATTTTGGATACACTTCTGACATTCTTGACACCTAGAGTACTCTAGAGTATTCTATCAGGGTGGAGATGAACCAGTAAAAGTGAAACTTTGAGGAACCCTTAAAATGGCCAGATTTAATCCCTTGACCCCCTTCGTACGTTTAAGAAATTACCACGAACAAAATTTCCATTTCAAATTTTACTTTTAACTTTGTTTTGTCTTGTCTCGAAGTTTTGTTTGTTCGAGAGCGTTGGTTAATTTTGCGTTTTTTTTTTGGGGGGGGGGGCGGGGGTTGGGTTTACCCTCCCTTTCGCATTAAATTCTTTATATGAAAGTCGTTTTCCACTAGATTCGCCTTAATTCAAGTCGCGTTAGTTTCCAAGAACTTAAGTTCATGGAGCGTTCATTTCCTATAATGAGGTATAAGGTCTACCTAGACTGCTCCGCAGACGAAACTGAACTTCTGGTTAAGTCTGTCTGCGAAATAGCGCCAAAATCCTCGTTCTGGGCCTCCACCCAAATACCATCATTTGAGTACCCGCCATGACTGGCCTGTTAAAAATCTTGTTGTCGATTTGTCGCTCAAGGAAATTTGAAACGCATTTGCGGTAATTCGTTGAGTCCGAATAGGCTCTGCTTCGAGTACGTTACTAACCGAAGTTGGATTACGTTTGGGACGAAGGCTAGGTACACCATATGTGAACATTCTTTGATCTATTATTTAAAATAGCTTTTTTAGTTGCTCATTTCCTTTATTAATACCGCAAATACTTTTTTTATTATCATCTCTGCAGATTAAATGCGAAGAAAGAGAACAAAATCAGCCTAAAGTTGACGAAGTCAAAAGGCTGGAAGACTTGCTTAGCAGTGAAATCGACAAAAAGTCAAATTATTATTTGCAAAGAGTCACCAAGCCGTTCTACAAGCGGTGGAATGACGCTAGTATGGCCCTTAACAGATATCGCAATGTAGAGTACCCGTTTGTCAAACCCAACGATTGCTCCGTACCTTTCAGATACATGACTCAAATCGGGAACGATTTGGAAGGGAAACGAGAAAATAGTGGGTAAGACAAGGTTTGCTTCTCTTTTCGCACTATCACAAGCAAACTGAACTATTAATCGAACTTCAGAGTTCATAATTTACCAGTAAAGTTTGAGTACTAGTATTTTAAATGATTACTTTATTTTAATTAGCTGGTAACTAGTGACACAGTGTATATGTGGTTTATCCATTTGTTTACTGAGTCTGACCGCATTATGTTTCAAACATGTATTCAAAAACATCGTTCAGCTATTCATTGCTACTCTCCGATATATATGAGTACCTTATTTAATCTAATAACTTATGAACTGACACATGCACTGATATACTAACACATACCGGTGAAGACCATGAAATGGGACATGTCTTTACAGCAAGCTCCCTCTTTAGCACTGAGTGGAGCACACGGAAAATTTAAGGGCGTGTTCCATTCCATGGTCATTGGGACGATCAGGATCAGGATCGACCATCGTAGATCACTCAGATCATGGTACATCAAATGAGTCAATAAGTCCTTTCCCAGGGTGGATTCATCGGTTCCTTTGATGTGTGATGCCTATCCATATCTTTCCAATGGAACACACACAGATTCGTTTTGCTTTGTCGCCACTTAATAGAACATGAATTCAAACTCGTTGAATTTCATGTTACCTGTTTCTGGAACAGAATTTTGTCCGTGTATTGTCTATCGAGTACTCACACTTGTCTGGCCTCAATGATATTGACTGGATTGTCTCCAAAAAGTATGTCCCAGCGTCTTAGTTCGTAAGACGATCTGAGTCACGTTGTTTCGTCTTTTTTTCTGATTTTATATACATTTCTGTTCTGGTGGGTTGTCAACAGGTCCAATGAGTTAGTGGATTATCTAAAGAAGAAGTTTGATACCGTGGATCAAAGCCTATCTGATTTGGAATGCAGTGTTAAGCACTCAGACAAGGATTCCATGGACTTGAAATCCACTAAGAATGCTTTGGATCAGCACAAGGTAACAAAGCATCTTTTCTTCCAATAGCAGTTTAGAAACCCCCACCCCTCCCGCTCCCTTAATGTTAGGCGAATTTTGTTTCCCTATTTGAAAAATGACCTTTATTGTAGATATAATTTGCAAGCTATTTGAAATTGAATGTCATCTATTTCTCGTTTTAAAATAAGCTATCATCGTTCAATTTCGCAGTGACCACGTGACATATTTTGCCACTTATTAGTCCAAGTAAAGCGTGGCATCTGGATTTTGCGCGAAAAAGCACTGAAATCATGTGTTTTTCACCGATATTTCTAGAAAGGTCGCTGCTCGTCGTCAGTAATAAATCCATTTGACAGTTTACAGACTAATGTGTTCTGTGCCCATTCGCTATAAATGTCACTAAGGCAGCATTCACACTTGGTACCCGGGCACAGCACACTAATGTGAACACAACTTTTTTTGAAGTACCTACGTTAGAATTCGGGCACGGTGCCGGTGCCTAAGTTAAGATTGAGCCCTTGCACTCAGGCGCAAAAGTGAGCACCGGTAACTTTTGAGCACACTGTTTTTGTACTTTTGAGGCAGTCCACTGCTTTGTTCTCGCTGCTAAGCTTCAACTAAAAAATGGCGTCTGACTGGAATTAACTATGTACACAGTTACATATCGGGTACTCAGGGTGTGAACACAACACCATTTTGTACCTGTACCCAGGCACTGGTTCCCGGGCGCCATGTGCCGACAGGCCCATAGAAGCTGGTTGATTTCCTTTTTATCTGATTCGTATCTCAGGAGGTACTTAGCCATTTTACGTCAGTAGAATCTGACACATATGATGTTCTGGAGGAAGGAAAGCAATTGATAAAAGACACACGCTTTGACAGAGCACATGGAGAATACTTTTATGAAAGAATTGAAGTAACAGTCATAAGGATAACAACTATAAAGGAAAATATCAACAGAGAGCATCAAAGGTATGCGCCGTGTTTACTGCTTCTTAAGAGCCAAATTTGTATCACACCTGTTGTAACCATCTGTGATAATACCATCCTCGTTCCTTAGAAATAAGTTCAATACTTTTTTGTTGTAAAATATGACTTTTCTTCTTGCAGATTGCACTTAACTAGGATATTAAACAAGTAACACAATTTTTGTTCTCCTGATTTTCAGGTTGTTCGATCTGTATCTTATTTTACGAAGACAACACTTGGAACGGATGAATGGTTGGCTATTGCGAGCTGAGTCTCGAATATCATTGGATGATGTGATAGAACCAACCTATAAGAGAGTGCAACAGCAAGTCTGGGAGCATCAGGTACATGCATGTGTGTTTACTACATAGGCGGTAAGGGAGAACATGCATGATCGCAGGCCATCACGTAATGCCCAATTAAGACGAAGTACGTGATATTCCTTCACTAAGTGACCCAATTCTCATACACTTCAAAGTGGCTTGCTCACAACTCAGTTGTTTGAAAATAACGGATACACTGGTCTTCGCATTATGTAGCGCAAAACAGTGAAACGTTTACTTTCACAAGGATTAATTGAATTATTAACAATAGCATATGCCATTGTCATCTGAGACTCTTGCTATTAAATATCTGAAATATCTCTAATCAAAATCTCTCTGATATTAATATAAATGTCCGTAATATTAAACTCACCAGTACATTTCTATAAACCTGTAGAGGGTAGCAAATTTATTTTTTGGAGCCCCAATTGTACGGTCAATTTTCTTAGAAAAAGACGCCGTTGAAATCGGCGTATTGTTTGCATGTTGGAGGTGTCCGTCCCAAAAAAAGGCAAGGAAATGATTGAAGATCAACAGGGGGCCAATTTTACAATGTGGCCGTACGTGTCCATACCAGGAAGCTCTCGGTCTTTTAAAGTTGTCCGTTAACCGGGAATTGACAGTGTCCTGCAGTTATATTATTATAAGTTGGATATAAAAAGGCTGCAAGAATTTCATGTTTATCCACTGCTGTTCTGTAGGCTTTTCAAGAAGAACTGTCAAATTACTCCATGGCAAACATGGTACTGGATATGGACTTGGAACACCCAGCTTTGGATGAAAACATAAGGGACTGGGTCAAGGTATTTTTAACATAAAAAAGCTGTATTGTTGGAGCACACCCTCTCCCAACCCTCCCCCGGGGGGCACTCCCTATAGTGCCTATACGGGAAGGATCCGCCCGAAAGGAGTACCTTTTTCTGGCTTCAGGTATATGAGAGGATTCATTAGTATAAGGGAAGGGAATTTTGTAAATTTGGTGTATAAAATCGAATAACATATACATTTTACGGCTGTAAATAACTCGAGTCTAGTCATATCCTAAAGAGACGAAATTTACAGCGGTTAAAAGGGATGCAAAGTTCTTAAAACAAGGTATGTGAAAGGAGTATTATTTGTCAATAGAAGGTATACATACGAAAGAAATACTCTTTCCGCCAAAAATGAAGCATCAAAAAATAAGGGGTTGGACCTCGGGGCGGAGCCCCCTCTTATAAAACTTTGCTGAGTACCCGCCAGGTTTGAAACATTATTTCACTGGCAGGTTTATAACTAGAAGGAAACTTTCCATTCTATTGCGGCCATACAGGTATTAAGCGAGCGTTGGACGGTTGTGTGGAACTGGGCGGAAGAGTGGAAGGAGAAGCTTAACCAGGCTCTAATTGACTGGCAAAATTTACGTGAAGAACAAGCTGCCTTGCTTTCCTGGCTTTCAAGTAAAGAAAAAACTTTTGATTTGATTGGAGAAACAGATATCACCAACGAAGAACAAGTTACGATGAATTTAAATCTGCTCGAGGTAAGAACATTTCATTTTAGTTATCAGTAATTTCTATCGATTCTCGACCCTTCACATAAAAAACCCAAAGAAACGGTGCTAATTTCATGCCATTGATGCTTTTTAATTCTTAAGGTCATTTTTCTTTTCGTGTCCCCCTCTTGAGGCCGAGTGAAATTCTCCTTGTTTAAAGAACCAAGAACTGATTGAAGAAATGTTTATGTCTTTAAAAAAACTTGGATGATTTTACAACTGGGGTGTCCATCAAAAACGTTTAATGAAAGCATGTTATTTGTGGAATAAAAAGGAAGTCGAAAGCCTTTGTTCACGCCATTATGAATAACAAGCGGAAAATAATGTTAGAATCTATAAAAAGTGGTTTCACTCTTAAAACGATGTTGCCAAATTTCAAGAACGATTATCAACAATCCTCAAATATAATTCATTTTCGTCAGTTAGACGACGTTTCCACAGTCCCAGGTTAATACAATATCGGTATAAATAATTGTAAAAATTTTAAGTGCGACGGAACAATGTCGCCTGATTTAGGGTTCACTTAACTAACGTAAGAAATCGGAGCGTCTAATGCGTCCCTCTTCACTTTGTCTCTCAGACAATGAAAAAAGAAATGGAAAGCCGACAAGAGGAACGATTAGACTCATTGCGTGAGACTGGAGAAAAGCTAATCAAAGACGCTGAATACCATGATGCGACAGCTAAGGGGATCCGTGACCAGGTGAATGACTTCGGCACTTGCTGGAAGGACATCACTGAATCGATTAAAGAAAGGAAAGCAATGGTAAGTGATGTGATTGGCCATTATAAAGTAATCGTTATCATCATCATCATTATCATCATCATAAAGTCGATCTGGATCTGCCTTTAATTTTTACGAACATCCTTCACCTTTTGTTATCCAACTGACAGTCGATGAATGTTCTTACTACCGTGTGGCACGAAACTTTTTGCGGAAGTTTATTTTTGAGGATTGGCGATTGACGTGATTTTTTTGTATTTTTAAGGAACTAATTTTTGCGTTTAGGACAGATTGGTTTTTCTTACTGGGGACTGATTTTTTTGCAAAAGAAAGAAAGAAAGTCGCGGACAAATCATTGATAATATTTTCGTCCGTTTTTTTTTTTTGAGTACGTGCAATGGAAATACATATTTTAAAACAACACTACGTTTTACGTACCCTGTGTAAAACGAATAAAATAGGTTACTTTTCTTTGTCATTCTATTACAAAAACGAACAGACGCGACTTCTTTATTTGTACTGTATTTTTGTGTAGCGAATTTAAGTTCGAGAATATTTACTATGAAGTAAATTTTTGCGGGAAAAATGTTTACAGTATTTATTTATTTATTTTTTTTTTTGCCCGACCTTTTTTTTGCGGATCGCTGGAAAAATCGCACACAGTAGTCTGATTATGCTTCTACCTGATTTAACGGTTAAACAGAAAATAATTTAAATGGTCGGGTTGTAGCCATGTAGCAATAGCCGGTCAACCTCCGCTGCTCAAACGACCGTAAAATAACGTTCTGATCCCCTGTTTCAAAATGATTTCTTTTAAGCATTTAAGATTGCGTCCAGAACAATACTGTATTGAGGTTAAGCGAGGAATTACGGATTGGTTTTCATACAGAGTAAATAATATAAGTCGAAAGCTTAACCTCGGAACTATGACTAGATTACTGTTCGTGATTTTTTGTTTGTCTGTTCGTTTCTTTTGATGTTGTCGTTTTGTTCGTTGTTGTTGAAACCACAGTGGGTCCACACAATCTGTTTGTGTAACCGATTTTTACTTTATAGTAAATGTATTGTATTTACCGTTTGCTTCCTCTATTACGATATCTTGCTAGACATGTATATCGGTCAATGTTAAATAAATGTTGCATTGCCTTACCTTCGGTATATTGTCTCACTTTTCACTCAAAAAAGTTATTTCGAGCGATTTGGAAGAATTTTGAGTGAGCCGTTTACTGTTCCTCTGAGGCAAAAGGACGACAATATACCGCAGGTAAGGTAATATAACGTTTATTTAACATTGACCTATATACATAATTAGTGGTATACCGATATAGACGAAGCAAACGGAAAATCCTTTACATTTACTATAAAATTACAATCGGTTACACAAACAGGTTTGTGGGATCCCTGTGATGAAAGATGGACCATTTTTGTATTCTAGCTTCAGGAAGCCCAAAACAAGGTGAAAAGAATGGGAATTTTAATGAAGGAAGTCAGAGCTTGGTTGTACGAGGCAGAACAATTCATCAAGCTCGCTAGTTTGCAAGAGGATCCACAAAAAGAAACCGACATACAAGAAAAGATTGAGGTCAGAATAAAGTGCTATAAAATAAGCTGACATTATTTTCAGTTACAGATTACAACTGCATCCAGTTTTTGCGTTAAGGTAGAATAACGCAACCAAAAACGAATTCATAATTTGTAAAGAAAAAAATCAAAAGAAATTCATGTTTAATGAGTGTCTTTATCTGATAAAGACACCGCTAAATTTTACGTCCAACGTTTTAGACCCAAATAACCCCAAATCTAAATATTAATGTTAGAATGAGTTGATCTTTATTACAGACATTTTGAAGCCGTTCAATAAACTCGTGGTCGTGTATTATCAGGTTTAAAAACACTCGCTTGCGCCTCAAATTTTTAAACCTGATTATACACCCCTGCTCGTTTTTGAAACAGTACTTTAAAACAGCAATACCCTTACCGGGGATACAAATCTTTGCTTTTGGTGGATTTGCACGTGGCTAATCTAGCTAGAACAGGGACTCCAGCTGAATAGCCACAAAAAACAAAACAAATAAAAAATAACATATTATCTGAAGTTAACCCTTCATGAAATTAACGCGGATTTCATTTAAGTTGTGTTAATCTCTTGAAACGTTAACTTCCGCGCCTTTAATTAAGTGGAGAGTAATTCCCGCGACCCTTTATTTTCATTATTTTGGATACACTTCTGACATTCTTGACACCTAGAGTACTCTAGAGTATTCTATCAGGGTGGAGATGAACCAGTAAAAGTGAAACTTTGAGGAACCCTTGAAATGGCCAGATTTAATCCCTTGACCCCCTTCGTACGTTTAAGAAATTACCACGAACAAAATTTCCATTTCAAATTTTACTTTTAACTTTGTTTTGTCTTGTCTCGAAGTTTTGTTTGTTCGAGAGCGTTGGTTAATTTTGCGTTTTTTTTTTTTTTTTTTTTTTTTGGGGGGGGGGGGGGGGTTGGGTTTACCCTCCCTTTCGCATTAAATTCTTTATATGAAAGTCGTTTTCCACTAGATTCGCCTTAATTCAAGTCGCGTTAGTTTCCAAGACCTTAAGTTCATGGAGCGTTCATTTCCTATAATGAGGTATAAGGTCTACCTAGACTGCTCCGCAGACGAAACTGAACTTCTGGTTAAGTCTGTCTGCGAAATAGCGCCAAAATCCTCTTTCTGGGCCTCCACCCAAATACCATCATTTGAGTACCCGCCATGACTGGCCTGTTAAAAATCTTGTTGTCGATTTGTCGCTCAAGGAAATTTGAAACGCATTTGCGGTAATTCGTTGAGTCCGAATAGGCTCTGCTTCGCAGACGTTATTAACCGAAGTTGGATTACGTTTGTGACGAAGGCTAGGTACACCATATGTGAACATTCTTTGATCTATTATTTAAAATAACTTTTTTAGTTGCTCGTTTCCTTTATTAATACCGCAAATACTTTTTTTTATTATCATCTCTGCAGATTAAATGCGAAGAAAGAGAACAAAATCAGCCTAAAGTTGACGAAGTCAAAAGGCTGGAAGACTTGCTTAGCAGTGAAATCGACAAAAAGTCAAATTATCATTTGCAAAGAGTCACCAAGCCGTTCTACAAGCGGTGGAATGACGCTAGTATGGCCCTTAACAGATATCGCAATGAAGATTACCCGTTTGTCAAACCCAACGATTGCTCCGTACCTTTTAGATACATGACTCAAATTGGGAACGATTTGGAAGGGAAACGAGAAAATAGTGGGTAAGACAAGGTTTGCTTCTCTTTTCGCACTATCACAAGCAAACTGAACTATTAATCGAACTTCAGAGTTCATAATTTACCAGTAAAGTTTGAGTACTAGTATTTTGAATGATCACTTTATTTTAATTAGCTGGTAACTAGTGACACAGTGTATATGTGGTTTATCCATTTGTTTACTGAGTCTGACCGCATCATGTTTCAAACATGTATTCAAAAACATCGTTCAGCTATTCATTGCTACTCTCCGATATATATGAGTACCTTATTTAATCTAATAACTTATGAACTGACACATGCACTGATATACTAACACATACCGGTGAAGACCATGAAATGGGACATGTCTTTACAGCATGCTCCCTCTTTAGCACTGAGTGGAGCACACGGAAAATTTAAGGGCGTGTTCCATTCCATGGTCATTGGGACGATCAGGATCAGGATCGACCATCGTAGATCACTCAGATCATGGTACATCAAATGAGTCAATAAGTCCTTTCCCAGGGTGGATTCATCGGTTCCTTTGATGTGTGATGCCTATCCATATCTTTCCAATGGAACACACACAGATTCGTTTTGCTTTGTCGCCACTTAATAGAACATGAATTCAAACTCGTTGAATTTCATGTTAACTGTTTCTGGAACAGAATTTTGTCCGTGTATTGTCTATCGAGTACTCACACTTGTCTGGCCTCAATGATATTGACTGGATTGTCTCCAAAAAGTATGTCCCAGCGTCTTAGTTCGTAAGACGATCTGAGTCACGTTGTTTCGTCTTTTTTTTCTGATGTTATATACATTTCTGTTCTGGTGGGTTGTCAACAGGTCCAATGAGTTAGTGGATTATCTAAAGAAGAAGTTTGATACCGTGGATCAAAGCCTATCTGATTTGGAATGCAGTGTTAAGCACTCAGACAAGGATTCCATGGACTTGAAATCCACTGAGAATGCTTTGGATCAGCACAAGGTAACAAAGCATCTTTTCTTCCAATAGAAGTTTAGAAACCCCCACCCCTCCCGCTCCCTTAATGTTCGGCGAATTTTGTTTCCCTATTTGAAAAGTGACCTTTTTTGCAGATATAATTTGCAAGCTATTTGAAATTGAATGTCATCTATTTCTCCTTTTAAAATAAGCTATCATCGTTCAATTTCGCAGTGACCACGTGACATATTTTGCCACTTATTAGTCCAAGTAAAGCGTGGCATCTGGATTTTGCGCGAAAAAGCACTCAAATCATGTGTTTTTCACCGATATTTCTAGAAAGGTCGCTGCTCGTCGTCAGTAATAAATCCATTTGATAGTTTACAGACTAATGTGTTCTGTGCCCATTCGCTATAAATGTCACTAAGGCAGCATTCACACTTGGTACCCGGGCACAGCACACTAATGTGAACACAACTTTTTTTGAAGTACCTACGTTAGAATTCGGGCACGGAGCCGGTGCCTAAGTTAAGATTGAGCCCTTGTACTCAGGCGCAAAAGTGAGCACCGGTAACTTTTGAGCACACTGTTTTTGTACTTTTGAGGCAGTCCACTGCTTTGTTCTCGCTGCTAAGCTTCAACTCAAAAATGGCGTCTGACTGGAATTAACTATGTACACAGTTACATATCGGGTACTCATGGTGTGAACACAACACCATTTTGTACCTGTACCCAGGCACTGGTTCCCGGGCACAAAAGAGTGGACAGCCCCATAGAAGCTGGTTGAGTTCCTTTTTATCTGATTCGTATCTCAGGAGGTACTCAGCCATTTTACGTCAGTAGAATCTGACACATACGATGTTCTGGAGGAAGGAAGACAATTGATAGAAGACACACGCTTTGACAGAGCACATGGAGAATACTTTTATGAAAGAATTGAAGTAACAGTCATAAGGATAACAACTATAAAGGAAAATATCAACAGAGAGCATCAAAGGTATGCGCCGTGTTTACTGCTGCTTAAGAGCCAAATTTGTATCACACCTGTTGTAACCATCTGTGATAATACCATCCTCGTTCCTTAGAAATAAGTTCAATACTTTTTTGTCGTAAAATATGACTTTTCTTCTTGCAGATGGCACTTAACTAGGATATTAAACAAGTAACACAATTTTTGTTCTCCTGATTTTCAGGTTGTTCGATCTGTATCTTCTTTCACGAAGACAACACTTGGAACGGATGAATTGTTGGCTATTGCGAGCTGAGTCTCGAATATCATTGGATGATGAGATAGAACCAACTTATAAGAGAGTGCAACAGCAAGTCTGGGAGCATCAGGTACATGCATGTGTGTTTACTACATAGGCGGTAAGGGAGAACATGCATGATCGCAGGCCATCACGTAATGCCCAATTAAGACGAAGTACGTGATATTCATTCACTAAGTGACCCAATTCTCATACACTTCAAAGTGGCTTGCTCACAACTCACTTGTTTGAAAATAAAGGATACACTGGTCTTCGCATTATATAGTGCATAACAGTGAAACGTTTACTTTCACCAGGATTAATTGAATTATTAACAATAGCATATGCCATTGTCATCTGAGACTCTTGCTATTAAATATCTGAAATATCTCTAATTAAAATCTCTCTGATATTAATATAAATGTCCGTAATATTAAACTCACCAGTACATTTCTATAAACCTGTAGAGTGTAGTAAATTTGTTTATGGAGCCACAGTTGTACGGTCAATTTTCTTAGAAAAAGACGCCGTTGAAATCGGCGAAATGTTTGCATTTTGGAGGTGTCTGTCCCAAAAAAAGGCAAGGAAATGACTGAGGATCAACAGGGGGCCAATTTTACAATGTGGCCGTACGTGTCCATACCAGTAAGCTCTCGGTCTTTTAAAGTTGTCCGTTAACAGGGAATTGACAATGTCTTGCAGTTATATTATTATAAGTTGGATATAAAAAGGCTGCACGAATTTCATGTTTCTCCACTGCTGTTCTGTAGGCTTTTCAAGAAGAACTGTCAAATTACTCCATGGCAAACATGGTACTGGATATGGACTTGGAACACCCAGCTTTGGATGAAAACATAAGGGACTGGGTCAAGGTATTTTCAACACAAAAAAGCTGTATTGTTGAAGCACACCCTCTCCCCCCCCCCCCCTTCCCCGGGGGGCACCCCCTATAGTGCCTATACGGGAAGGATCCGCGCGAAAGGAATACCTTTTTCTGGCTTCAGGTATATTAGAGGATTCATTAGTATAAGGGAAGGGAATTTTGTAAATTTGGTCTATAAGAAGGAATAACATATACATTTTACGGCTGTAAATAACTCGAGTCTAGTCATATCTTAAAGAGAGTAAATTTACAGCGGTTAAAAGAGATGCAAAGTTCTTAAAACAAGGTATGTGAAAGGAGTATTATTTGTCAATAGAAGGTATACATACGAAAGAGATACTCTTTCCGCCAGAAATGAAGCATCAAAGAGTAAGGGGTTGGACCTCGGGACGGAGCCCTCTCTTATAAAACTTTGCTGAGTACCCGCCAGGTTTGAAACATTATTTCACTGGCAGGTTTATAACTAGAAGGAAACTTTCCATTCTATTGCGGCCATACAGGTATTAAGAGAGCGTTGGACGGTTGTGTGGAACTGGGCGGAAGAGTGGAGGGAGAAGCTTAACCAGGCTCTAATTGACTGGCAAAATTTACGTGAAGAACAAGCTGCCTTGCTTTCCTGGCTTTCAAGTAAAGAAAAAACTTTTGATTTGATTGGAGAAACAGATATCACCAACGAAGAACAAGTTACGTTGAATTTAAATCTGCTCGAGGTAAGAACATTTCATTTTAGTTATCAGTAATTTCTATCGATTCTCGACCCTTCACATAAAAAACCCAAAGAAACGGTGGTAATTTCATGCCATTGATGCTTTTTAATTCCTAAGGTCATTTTTCTTTTCGTGTCCTCCTCTTGAGGCCGAGTGAAATTCTCTTTGTTTAAAGAACCAAGAGCTGATTAAAGAAATGTTTATGTCTTTAAAAAAACTTAGATGATTTTACAACTGGGGTGTCCATCAAAAACTTGTAATGAAAGCATGTTATTTGTGGAATAAAAAGGAAGTCGAATGCCTTTGTTTACGCCATTATGAATAACAAGAAAATAATGTTACAATCTACTCCACTCTTAAAACGATGTTGCCAGTTTTCAAGAACGATTATCAACAATCCTTAAATATAATTCGTTTTCGTCAGTTAGAAGACGTTTCCACAGTCCCAGGTTAATACAATATCGGTATAAATAATTGTAAAAATTTTAAGTGCGACGGAACAATGTCGCCTGATTTAGGGTTCACTTAACTAACGTAAGAAATCGGCGCGTCTAATGCGTCCCTCTTCACTTTGTCTCTCAGACAATGGAAAAAGAAATGGAAAGCCGACAAGAGGAACGATTAGACTCATTGCGTGAGACTGGAGAAAAGCTGATCAAAGACGCTGAGTACCATGATGCGACAGCTAAGGGGATCCGTGACCAGGTGAATGACTTCGGCACTTGCTGGAAGGACATTACTGAATCGATTAAGGAAAGGAAAGCAATGGTAAGTGATGTAATTGGCTATTACATTTAACCGCGGAATTATCCTTTTTGTAATGCACATCATCATCATCATCATCATCATCATCATCATCATCATCATCATCATCATGAAGTCGATCTGGATCTGCCTTTAATTTTTACGAACATCCTTCACGTTTTCTTATCCAACCGACAGTCGATAAATGTTCTTACTACCGTGTGGCACGAAACTTTTTGCGGAAGTTTATTTTTGAGGATTGGCGATTGACGTGATTATTTGTATTTTGCAGGAACTATTTTTTGCGTTTAGGACAGATTGGTTTTTCTTACTGGGGACTGATTTTTTTGCAAAAGAAAGAACGAAAGTCCCGGACAAATCATTAATAATATTTTCGTCCGTTTTTATTGAGTACGTGCAATGTAAATACATATTTTAAAAAAAACACCACGTTTTGCGTACCCTGTGTTAAAATAACAAAACAGGTTACTTTTCTTTGTCATTCGATTACAAAAACGAACAGACACGACTTCTTTATTTGTACTCTATTTTTGTGTAGCAAATTTAAGGTCGAGAATATTTACTCTGGAGTAAATTTTTGCGGGAGAAATGTTAGCAGTATTTATTATTATTATTTTTTTATTAGTACTATTATTATTATTATTATTATACAGTTATTATTTTTTTTTGCCGGAACTTATTTTGCGGATCGCTGGAAAAATCGCAAACATTAGAACCCGTAAAAATGTTGCGCCACTCGGTAGTCTGATTATGCTCCTTCCACGGTTAAACGGAACATAATTTAAATGTTCGGGTTGTAGCCATGTAGCAATAGCCAGCCAACCTGCAGTGCTCAAACGACCGTAAAATAACGTTCTGATGCCCAGTTTCAAAATGTTTTCTTTTAAGCATTTAAGATTGCGTACAGAACAATACTGTCTTGACGTTAAGCGAGGCATTATGGATTGGTTTTGCTTCCTCTATAGCGATATATTGCTCAACGTGTATATTGATCAATGTTCAATAAATATTGTCTTGCCTTACCTTCGGTATCTTGTCGCACTTTTCACTTAAAAGAGTTATTTTGAGCGATTTGGAAGGATTTTGAGTTAGCCGTTTACTCTTCCTCTGAGGCAAAAGGACGAAAATATACCGCAGGTAAGGTAATATAACGTTTATTTAACATTGACCTATATACATATTTAGTGGTATACCGCTATAGATGAAGCAAACGGAAAGTCCTTTACATTTACTATAAAGTTACAATCGGTTACACAAACAGGTTGTGTGGGAGCCCTGTGTTGAAACATGGACTGTTTTTGTATTCTAGCTTCAGGAAGCCCAAAACAAGGTGAAAAGAATGGGAATTTTAATGAAAGAAGTCAGAGCTTGGTTGGACGAGGCAGAACAATTCATCAAGCTCGCTAGTTTGCAAGAGGATCCACAAAAAGAAACCGAGATACAAGAAAAGATCGAGGTCAGAATAAAGTGCTATAAAATAAGCTGACATTATTTTCAGTTACAGATTACAACTGCATCCAGTTTTTGCGTTAAGGTAGAATAACGCAACCAAAAAAGTAAATAATAATTCGTAAATAAAACAATCAAAAGAAATTCATGTTTAATGAGTGTCTTTATCTGATAAAGACACGGCTAAACTTTACGTCCAACGTTTTAGACCAAAATAACCCCAAATCTAAATATTAATGTTAGAATGAGTTGATCTTTATTACAGAGATTTTGAAGCCGTTCAATAAACTCGCAGTCGTGTATTATCAGGTTTAAAAACACTCGGCTTCGCCTCGAATTTTTAAACCTGATTATACACCCCTGCTCGTTTTTGAAACAGTACTTTAAAACAGCAATACCCTTACCGGGGGTACAAATCTTTGCTTTTAGTGGATTTGCAGGTGGCTAATCTAGCTAGAACAGGGACTCCAGCTGAATAGCCATAAAAACAAAACAAATAAAAAATAACATATTATCTGAAGTTAACCCTTCATGAAATTAACGCGGATTTCATTTAAGTTGTGTTAATTTCTTGAAACGTTAACTTCCGCGCCTTTAATTAAGTGGAGAGTTATTCCCGCGACCCTTTATTTTCATTGTTTTGGATACACTTCTGACATTCTTGACACCTAGAGTATTCTAGAGTATTCTATCAGGGTGGAGATGAACCAGTAAAAGTGAAACTTTGAGGAACCATTGAAATGGCCAGATTTAATCCCTTGACCCCCTCCGTACGTTTAAGAAATTACCACGAACAAAGTTTCCATTTCAAATTTTACGTTTAACTTTGTTTCTCTTCTCTCGAAGTTTTGGTTGTTTGAGAGCGTTGCGTTAATTTTGCGTTTTTGTTGTTGTTGTTGTTACCCTCCCTTTGGCATTAAATTCTTTATATGAAAGTCGTTTTCCACTAGATTCGCCTTAATTCAAGTCGCGTTAATTTCCAAGACCTTAACTTCATGGAGCGTTCATTTCCTATAATGAGGTATAAGGTCTACCTAGACTGCTCCGCAGACGAAACTGAACTTCTGGTTAAGTCTGTCTGCGAAATAGCGCCAAAATCCTCGTTCTGGGCCTCCACCCAAATACCAGCATTTGAGTACCCGCCATGACTGGCCTGTTAAAAATCTTGTTGTCGATTTGTCGCTCAAGGAAATTTGAAACGCATTTGCGGTAATTCGTTGAGTCCGAATAGGCTCTGCTTCGCAGACGTTACTAACCGAAGTTGGATTACGTTTGGGACGAAGGCTAGGTAAACCACATGTGAACATTCTTTGATCTATTATTTAAAAAAGCTTTTTTAGTTGCTCATTTCCTTTATTAATACCGCAAATACTTTTTTTATTATCATCTCTGCAGATTAAATGCGAAGAAAGAGAAAAAAATCAGCCTAAGGTTGACGAAGTCAAAAGGCTGGAAGACTTGCTCAGCAGTGAAATCGACAAAAAGTCAAATTATTATTTGCAAAGAGTCACCAAGCCGTTCTACAAGCGGTGGAATGACGCTAGTATGGCCCTTAACAGATATCGCAATGAAGAGTACCCGTTTGTCAAACCCAACGATTGCTCCGTACTTTTTAGATACATGACTCAAATTGGGAACGATTGGGAAGGGAAACGAGAAAATAGTGGGTAAGACAAGGTTTGCTTCTCTTTTCGCACTATCACAAGCAAACTGAACTATTAATCGAACTTCAGAGTTCATAATTTACCAGTAAAGTTTGAGTACTAGTATTTTGAATGATCACTTTATTTTAATTAGCTGGTAACTAGTGGCACAGTGTATATGTGGTTTATCCATTTGTTTACTGAGTCTGACCGCTTCATGTTTCAAACATGTATTCAAAAACATCGTTCAGCTATTCATTGTTACTCTCCGATATATATGAGTACCTTATTTAATCTAATCACTTATGAACTAACACATGCACTGATATACTAACACATACCGGTGAAGACCATGAAATGGGACATGTCTTTACAGCATGCTCCCTCTTTAGCACTGAGTGGAGCACACGGAAAATTTAAGGGCGTGTTCCATTCCATGGTCATTGGGACGATCAGGATCAGGATCGACCATCCTAGATCACTCAGAGCATGGTACATCAAATGAGTCAATAAGTCCTTTCCCGGGGTGGATTCATCGGTTCCTTTGATGTGATGCCTATCCAGATCTTTCCAATGGAACACACACAGATTCCTTTTACTTTGTCGCCACTTAATAGAACATGAATTCAAACTCGTTGAATTTCATGTCAACTGTTTCTAAAACAGAATTTTGTCCGTGTATTGTCTATCGAGTACTCCGACTGGTCTGGCCTCAATGATACTGACTGGATTGTCTCCAAATATGTCCCAGCGTCTTAGTTCGTAAGATGATCTGAGTCACGTTGTTTCAGGTCCAATGAGTTAGTGGATTATCTAGAGAAGAAGCTTGATACTGTGGATCAAAGCCTATCTGATTTGGAATGCAGTGTTAAGCACTCAGACAAGGATTCCATGGACTTGAAATCCACTAAGAATGCTTTGGATCAGCACAAGGTAACAAAGCATCTTTTCTTCCAATAGAAGTTTAGAAACCCCCACCCCTCCCGCTCCCTTAATGTTAGGCGAATTTTGTTACCCCATTTGAAAAATGACCTTTTTTGCAGATATAATTTGCAAGCTATTCGAAATTGAATGTTATTTATTTCTCCTTTTAAAATAAGCTATCATCGTTCAATTTCGCAGTGACCGGACATATTTTGCCACTTATTTGTCCAAGTAAAGCGTGGCATCTGGATTTTGCGCGAAAAAGCACACAAATCATGTGTTTTTCACCGATATTTCTAGAAAGGTCGCTGCTCGTCGTCAGTAATAAATCCATTTGATAGTTTACAGACCAATGTGTTCTGTGCCCATTCGCTATAAATGTCACTAAGGCAGCATTCACACTTGGTACCCGGGCACAGTACACTAATGTGAACACAACTTTTTTTGAAGTACCTACGCTAGAATTCGGGCACGGTGCCGGTGCCTAAGTTGAGATTGAGCCTTGTACTCACGCGCAAAAGTGAGCACCGGTTACTTGTGTGCCACTTTTTTTGTACTTTTGACGCAGTCCACTGCTTTGTTCTCGCTGCTAAGCTTCAACTCAAAAATGGCGTCTGACTGGAATTAACTATGTACACAGTTACATATCGGGTACTCATGGTGTGAACACAACACCATTTTGTACCTGTACCCAGACACTGGTTTCCAGGCACAAAAGAGTGGACAGCCCCATAGAAGCTGGTTGATTTCCTTTTTATCTGATTCGTATCTCAGGAGGTACTCAACCATTTTACGTCAGTAGAATCTGACACATATGATGTTCTGGAGGAAGGAAGACAATTGATAAAAGACACAAGCTTTGACAGGGCACATGGAGAATACTTTTATGAAAGAATTGAAGTAACAGTCATAAGGATAACAACTATAAAGGAAGACATTAACAGAGAGCATCAAAGGTATGCGCGTGTTTACTGCTTCTTAAGAGCCAAATTTGTATCACACGTGTTGTAACCATCTGTGATAATACCATCGTCGTTCCTTAGAAATAAGTTCAATAGTTTTTTTGTTGTAAAATATGACTTTTCTTCTTGCAGATGGCACTTAACTAGGATATTAAACAAGTAACACAATTTTTGTTCTCCTGATTTTTAGGTTGTTCGATCTGTATCTTATTTCACGAAGACAACACTTGGAACGGATGAATGGTTGGCTATTGCGAGCTGAGTCTCGAATATCACTGGATGATGTGATAGAACCAACTTATAAGAGAGTGCAACAGCAAGTCTGGGAGCATCAGGTACATGCATGTGTGTTTACTACCTAGGAAGTAAGGGAGAACATGCATGATCGCAGGCCATCACGTAATGCCCAATTAAGACGAAGTACGTGATATTCATTCCCTAAGTGACCCAATTCTCATACGCTTCAAAGTGGCTTGCTCGCAACTCACTTGTGTGAAAAGAACGGACACACTGGTCTTCGCATTATGTAGTGCAAAACAGTGAAACGTTTACTTTCACCAGGATTAATTGAATTATTAACAATAGCATATGCCATTGTCATCTGAGACTCTTGCTATTAAATATCTAAAATATCTCTAATTAAAATCTCTCTGATATTAATATAAATCTCCGTAATATTAAACCCACCAGTACATTTCTATAAACCTGTAGAGGGTAGTAAATTTGTTTATGAAGCCCCAATTGTACGGTCAATTTTCTTAGAAAAAGACGCCGTCGAAATCGGCGAAATGTTTGCATTTTGGAGGTGTCCGTCCCAAAAAAAGGCAACGAAATGATTGACCGTACGTGTCCATACCAGGAAGCTCTCGGTCTTTTAAAGTTGTCCGTTAACCGGGAATTGACAATGTCTTGCGGTTATATTATTATAAGTTGGATATAAAAAGGCTGCAAGAATTTCATGTTTATCCACTGCTGTTCTGTAGGCTTTTCAAGAAGAACTGTCAAATTACTCCATGGCAAACATGGTAATGGATATGGACTTGGAACACCCAGCTTTGGAGGAAAACATAAGGGACTGGGTCAAGGTATTTTCAACATAAAAAAGCTGTATTGTTGGAGCACACCCTCTCACCCCCCCCCCCCACCCTTCCCCGGGGGCACTCCCCATAGTACCTATACGGGAAGGATCCGCCCGAAAGGAGTACCTTTTTCTGGCTTCAGGTATATGAGAGGATTCATTAGTATAAGGGGGGGAATTTTGTAAATTTGGTGTATAAAATCGAATAACATATGCATTTTACGGCTGTAAATAACTCGAGTCTAGTCATATCTTAAAGAGAGTACATTTACAGCGGTTAAAAGGGATGCAAAGTTCTTAAAACAAGGTATATGAAAGGAGTATTATTTGTCAATAGAAGGTATACATACGAAAGAGATACTCTTTCCGCCAAAAATGAAGCATCAAAGAGTAAGGGGTTGGACCTCGGGGCGGAGCCTCCTCTTATAAAACTTTGCTGAGTACCCGCAAGGTTTGAAACATTATTTCACTGGCAGGTTTGTATCTAGAAGGAAACTTTCCATTCTATTGCGGCCATACAGGTATTAAGCGAGCGTTGGACGGTTGTGTGGAACTGGGCGGAAGAGTGGAAGGAGAAGCTTAACCAGGCTCTAATTGACTGGCAAAATTTACGTGAACAAGAAGCTGCGTTGCTTTCCTGGCTTTCAAGTAAAGAAAAAACTTTTGATTTGATTGGAGAAACAGATATCACCAACGAAGAACAAGTTACGATGAATTTAAATCTGCTCGAGGTAAGAACATTTCATTTTAGTTATTAGTAAGTTCTATCGATTCTCGACCCTTCACATAAAAAACCCAAAGAAACGGTGGTAATTTCATGCCATTGATGCTTTTTAATTCCTAAGGTCATTTTTCTTTTCGTGTCCTCCTTTTGAGGCAGAGTGAAATTCTCTCTGTTTAAAGAACCAAGAACTGATTAAAGAAATGTTTATGTCTTTAAAAAAACTTGGATGATTTTACAACTGGGCTGTCCATCAAAAACTTGTAATGAAAGCATGTTATTTGTGGAATAAAAACGAAGTCGAATGCCTTTGTTCACGCCAATATGAATAACAAGAAAATAAAGTTAGAATCTATAAAAAGTGGTTCCACTCTTAAAACGGTGTTGCCAGTTTTCAAGAGCGATTATCAACAATCCTTAAATATAATTCATTTTCGTCAGTTAGAAGACGTTTCCACAGCCCCAGGTTAATACAATATCGGTATAAATAATTGTTAAAAATTTTAAGTGCGACGGAACAATGTCGCCTGATTTAGGGTTCACTTAACTAACATAAGAAATCGGCGCGTCTAATGCGTCCCTCTTCACTTTGTCTCTCAGACAATGGAAAAAGAAATGGAACGCCGACAAGAGGAACGATTAGACTCATTGCGTGAGACTGGAGAAAAGCTGATCAAAGACGCTGAGTACCATGATGCGACAGCTAAGGGGATCCGTGACCAGGTGAATGACTTCGACACTTGCTGGAAGGACATTACTGAATCGATTAAGGACAGGAAAGCAATGGTAAGTGATGTAATTGGCCATTATAAAGTAACCGCGGAATTATCCTTTTTGTAATGCACATCATCATCATCATCATCATCATCATCGTTATCATCATCATCATCATCATCATCATGAAGTCGATCTGGATCTGCCTTTAATTTTTACGAACATCCTTTACGTTAAAACCGACAGTCGGTGAATGTTCTTACTTCCGTGTGGCACGAAACTTTTTGTGGAAGTTTATTTTTGAGGATTGGCGATTGACGTGATTATTTGTATTTTGCAGGAACTATTTTTTGCGTTTAGGACAGATTGGTTTTTCTTACTGGGGACTGATTTTTTTGCAAAAGAAAGAAAGAAAGTCCCGGACAAATCATTGATAATATTTTCGTCCGTTTTTATTGAGTACGTGCAATGGAAATACATATTTTAAAAAAACACTACGTTTTGCGTACCCTGTGTTAAAAGAACAAAATAGGTTACTTTTCTTCATCATTCGATTACAAAAACGAACT